TCATTATCTAGCAAACTAGATTAAGGATTGATTGATAAACTACTCTACTGACTACTCTACTAATTACAAGTTGGGAACTCACTTAGGTATGATTCCCCCTAGCTCCTCAATTAGGTCCAAGTTGCAATTACCTTTGGTTGATCTACTGTTGATTAAACTGCGGAAGATCCTAAATTAGCTTGGAATCTCTTAAGCTGACCAAGCCCTCTCAGTCCGACTACCCGGCAGACGACTAGTCTTCACCGGGATAGAAAGCTGAGGCTATGAACACAGAACTCCACTACCGGAATTGGATTCCAGTACAAAGCATTAGATTGACTAACTCTCGTATAACCAATTCACCACTATCAATCAAGGAAGCTCTCTTAACCTAATCAGATTCTATCTATCATAGGTTAAAGCAGAAATCAAGAGAATTTGATCAAGATTCAATTGACTCAATAAATCATGCATCAATCGATTATAATCAAACAATAAAGCATCCAAAACTTCATACAAGAAAGATCCTAACTCATGGAACTAGGGTTCCTCAAAACCTAAGTGAAGGGAAGTTACTCCATAGAGAAGAGAGAGACTGCAGAAATCTGATCTAGATCTTCAATCTCCATCTCCAAGCTTGATTCCCGAGCTCCAATGGCGAAGAAATCCTCCAAAATAGCTCCAAGAATGTTTCCAAGTCGCTCTCTCTCTCTAGGGTTAGTCCCTTTGGTGTTTGGGATCCAAAACCCAGCTCTCCCCCTTTCCTTTTGCTGAAAATCGGGTTTTAAACATCAATTCCCGACTCACACGGCCAGGCCACACGGCCGTGTGGCTTTCCCAGCTTCCCGTGTGAAGGATCGGTGAATTCCACACGGGCAAAAGTGCCCCTTGCACGACCGTGTGGGTTGTGCCCGTGTGGCTTGCTCAGCCTCTGTTTAATGCTTCGTTTCTCCCTCGTCCGGACTCCAAATCAGTCGTCGTTTGATCCCAGACGCTCGTAGTCTCGTCCTCTTTCTATTCATGACAAGCTTGCATGATTCTTTGTCCATAAAGTGAGGTAGAAATCCATTCTTCTTCAGGTCATACCCGAGTTTCTTCTCCCGAATCGTCAATTGATCTCTGATTGACTTGAAACTTGCGCCTATGCTTCACTTTATGTGCTAGGACCTGAAATGTGACAAAGGAACACAACCTAGCATAAAATAGGCCAAAGACACGATAATTCAAGCTGAAACAATCAAGAAACAAAGGGGAAAACATGTGCAAATACCGAGTCATCAGTCATTTTCTTTCGATTCTGGAGGCTATAAATCACGGAATCAGGCCGATGCTATTCACCACCGATAAAGAAGTCTATTGATCTTATTCTCCATGGATGATAAGTCCATTAAGCACCGATTTGTGCCAATTTATTTTCTGATGGCATTTTCGTAATTTTTTGGGCGACGAAATGTCATTTTCTTTGGATATTGAAGGCTACAGATCACGGATTCGACCTGCGGGTATTCTTCAACGATGATTGAGTCCATTAAGCACCGATTTGGGCTGATTTATTCCGGGTCAATTTTTGGCAGATTCCAAAGAGACAGATTTCGTGCGACTTTTCTAAATGCCATTTTCTTTTTATTATGGAGGCTATAGATCACGGAATCAGGCCGAGGCTATTCTCCACCGATAATGAAGTCTGTTGATCCTATTCTCCACGGATGATAATTCCATTAAGCACCTATTTGAGCCAATTTATTTTTGGATGACATTTTTGTAATTCTTTGGTTGACGAAAGACCATTTTCTTCGGATATTGAAGGTTACAGATCACGAATTCGCCCTGAGGCTATTCTTCAGCGATGATTGAGTCCATTAAGCACCGATTTGGTGGGATTTATTCCGGGTAAATTTTTGGCAGATTCCATAGGGGTACCATCACAGATTTCAGGCGATTTTTCCGAAATGCCATTTTCTTTCGATTCTGGAGGCTACAGATCACGGAATCAGGCCGGGGTTATTCTCCACCGATAATGAAGTCTATTGATCCTATTCTCAACAGATGATAAGTCCATTAAGCATCGATTTGAGCCAATTTATTTTTGAATGACATTTTTGTAATATTTTGGGCGACGAAAGACCATTTTCTTTTGATATTGAAGGCTACAGATCACGGGTTCGCCCTGAGGCTATTCTTCAACGATGATTGAGTGAATTAGACACCATTTTGGGAGGATTTATTCCGGGTCAATTTTATGCAGATTCCAAATGGGTACCATCACAAATTTAGTGCGATTTTTCCGAAATTCCATTTTCTTTGGATTCTCGAGGCTACAGATCATGGAATCGGGCCATGGCTATTCTCCACCGATAATGAAGTCTATTGATAATATTCTCCACGGATGATAACTCCATTAAGCACCGATTTGAGCCAATTTATTTTTGAATGACATTTTTTTAATTTTGTGGGCGGCGAAAGGCGATTTTCTTTGGATATTGAATGCTACAGATCACGGATTCAGCCGGAGGCTAATTTTCAACAATGATTGAGTCCATTAAGAACCAATTTGGGTGGATTTATTCTGAGTCAATTTTTGGCAGATTCCAAAGGGGTACCACCACAGATTTCGAACGATTTTTCCGAAATCCCGGTTTCTTTCGATTCTCGAGGCTACAGATCATGGAATCAGGCCATGACTATTCTCCACCGAAAATGAAGTCCATTGATTATATTCTCCATGGATAATACGTCCATAAGCACCGATTTGAGCTCATTTATTTTCGAATGTCATTTTTGTAATTTTTTGGGCGACGAAAGGCGATTTTCTTGCGATATTGAAGGCTACAGATCACGAATTCGGCCTGAGGCTATTCTTCAACGATGATTGAATCCATTAGGCACCGATTTGGGAGGATTTATTCCTGGTCAATTTTTGGGAGATTCCAAATAGGTACCATCACAGATTTGAGGCAATTTTACCGAAATGCCATTTTCTTTCGATTCTGGAGGCTACACATCACGGAATCAGGCTGAGGCTATTCTCCACTGATACTGAAGTCTATTGATCATATTTTCCACGGATGATAAGTCCATTAAGCACCGATTTGAGCCAATTTATTTCCATATGACATTTTCGTAATTTTTGGGCGACGAAAGGCCATTTCCTTTGGAAATTGAATGCTACAGATCACGGATTCGGCCTGAGGCTATTCTTCAACGATGATTGAGTGCATTAGGCACCGTTTTGGGAGGATATATTCCGGGTCAATTTTTTGCAGATTCCATAGGGGCACCATCACAAATTTAGGGCGATTTTTCCAAAATCACATTTTCTTTCGATTCTGGAGGCTACAGATCATGGAATCAGGCCGAGGTTATTCTCCACTGATAATGAAGTCTATTGATCATATTCTCCACGGATGATAAGTCCATTAAGCACCGATTTCAGCCAATTTATTTTCGAATGGCATTTTTGTAATTTTTTGGGCGACGAAAGGCGATTTTCTTTGGATATTGAAGGCTACAGATCACGGATTCTGCGAGAGGCTATTTTTCAACGATGATTGAGTCCATTAAGGACCGATTTAGGCGGATTTATTCCCGGTCAATTTTTGGCAGATTCCAAAGGGGTACCATCACAGATTTCGCGCGATTTTTCCGAAATCCCGGTATCTTTCGATTCTCGAGGCTACGGATCATGGAATCAGGCCATGGCTATTCTCCGTCGATAATGAAGTCTATTGATTATATTCTCCACGGATAATACGTCCATTAAGCACCGATTTGAGCCCATTTATTTTTGAATGGTATTTTTGTAATTTTTTGGGCGACGAAAGGCGATTTTCTTGGGATATTGAAGGCTACAGATCACGAATTCGGCCTAAGGCTATTCTTCAACAATGATTGAATCCATTAGGCACCGATTTGGGGGGATTTATTCCTTGTCAAATTTTTGCAGATTCCAAAGGGGTACCATCACAAATTTCGGGCGATTTTTTCGAAATGCCATTTCTTTCGATTCTGGAGGCTACAGATCACGGAATCTGGCCGAGGCTATTCTCCACCGATAATAAAAACTATTGATCCTATTCTCCATGGATGATAAGTCCATTAAGCACCAATTTGGGCCAATTAATTTTCGGATGACAATTTCGTAATTTTTTGGGCGACGAAAGGCCATTTTCTTCGGATATTGAAGGCTACAGAACACGGATTCGGCCCGAGGCTATTTTCAACGATGATTGAGTTCATTAAGCACCGATTTGGGCGGATTTATTTCGGGTCAATTTTTGGCAGATTCCAAAGGGGTACCATCACAGATTTCGGGCGATTTTTACGAAATGCCATTTTCTTTCGATTCTGGAGGCTACAGATCATGGAATCAGACCGAGGTTATTCTCCACCGATAATGAAGTCTATTGATCCTATTCTCCACGGATGATAAGTCCAATAAGCACCAATTTGAGCCAATTAATTTTCGGATGGCATTTTTGTAATTTTTTGGGCGACGAAAGGCCATTTTCTTCGGATATTGAAGGCAGAACACGGATTCGGGCCGAGGCTATTTTTCAGCGATGATTGAGTCCATTAAGCACCAATTTGGGGGGATTATTCCGGGTAAATTTTTGACAGATTCCAAAGGGGTACCATCATAGATTTCAGGCGATTTTTCCGTAATGCCATTTTCTTTCGATTCTGGAGGCTACAAATCACGGAATCAGGCCGAGGTTATTCTCCACCGATAATGAAGTCTATTGATCCTATTTTCCACGGATGATAAGTCCATTAAGCACCGATTTGAGCCAATTTATTTTGGAATGACATTTTTGTAGTATTTTGGGCGACGAATGCTTCTGTTGGTGTCACTAGGCTGTTGCTGGATCCAAACTGAAGAGTTTCCAGGCCCATCGTTGCTTCTCTTCAACCGTCTCGCTGGTCCTCCGGCGCGGGAGCAATCCCACCGCGTCATTTCCTACTCGTTCTCCCTGAAAAGAAAAGTCACGATCATCGCCGTCGGAAGTTAGCGCCCGTAAGGAATGAGTGCGTTGTCAGCAGCTTGTAGGGCAGGTACTTCGCCTGTAATCAAAGAACCTCTCTCTCAATCTCGGCAATCCTTCAGTCCTTCCTCCGCATTAGAAGGAGCTCTTTCTAGAGGTAAACCTCGTTTGCCTTTCTCAGTATCCAGCCAGTCCAATACCTCTGATAAAGCCCAGCTCAAACCAGTCGATCGAAGCTACATTTCTCGAGCTCTGTCGAGGAAAGACTGGTCTTTGTTATTAAACCACGAGCTGAGAGCCCAGAGGATAGCCTTGAATCCGCAGTTTGTCGTTAGCGTTCTGCAGAATCAGGATAACCCATTGCTCGCTTTGAAATTCTACATCTGGGTTACTAGCGTCGACCCGATTTTCAACAAGGATCAATCGGTTAGGACAACTTTAGCTAACTCGCTTTATCGGAAGGGTCCCGTTCTCTTATCAGTTGAGTTGCTTAGAGATATTAAGGACTCCGGGTTTCATGTTAATGAAGATTTTATCTGTATTCTGTTCTCCAGCTGGGGAAGATTAGGATTAGCTAAGTATTGCAATGAAATATTTGGACAGATTTCCTTCCTTGGTATTAGTCCTACGACGAGGCTATACAATGCGGTTATTGATGCATTGGTGAAGGCGAATTCTCTTGATCTAGCGTACCTAAAGTTCCAGCAAATGGGTTCTGATAACTGCAGGCCTGATAGGTTTACTTACAACATTCTCATCCATGGAGTTTCGCGAGTTGGGGTAATGGACGAGGCAATCCGGCTAGCCAAGCAGATGGAGGGTTTTGGGTATTACCCTAATGTGTTCACCTACACAATCTTGGTTGATGGATTCTGCAATGCCAAGAGGGTTGATGAAGCATTCGGTGTTTTGAACACCATGAGGGCTCGGAATGTTCACCCTAATGAAGCTACTATAAGATCGCTGGTTCATGGATTGTTTCGTTGCCTTCCCCCTGCCAAGGCATTTGAACTTATGATCGGGTTTATTGAGAAGGAGGCTAAGTTGAGAAACTTGGCTTCTGACACTTTGCTCTGTTGCCTATCTGAGAACTCCATGGCTGAAGAAGCTGGTGCGCTGTTGAGAAAGCTTAGCGAGACAGGCTATGTACCCGATGGTTCCACATTTAACACCACAATGACTTGTTTGATAAAAGCCTTAGATCTCAATGAGACGTGTAAGATTCTTGATACATTTATAAAGCGAGGAATGAAGTTAGGATTCAACAATTACCTATCATTGATCGAAGGATTATACAGGGCAGGAAAGTGCCTAGAGGCTGATAGATATTTTGATCAGATGGTGAGTAACAGGCTTCTCACAAATGCGGTTTCCTATAACATGGTTATTGATTGCTTGTGCAAAGTCAATATGACAGACAAAGCAGGAAAAGCTTTTCTAGAAATGCAGCAAAAAGGTATTACTCCAAACCTTGTGACGTTCAACACTCTTATAAGTGGTTATAGCAAGAATGGAGAGGTTAATAAGGCAAGGAATCTGCTGGAGATGCTTTTAGAACGTGGATTTAAACCCGACATATTCACTTTTACTTCACTAATCGATGGCCTTTGCCGAGCACAACGTCTCGAGGATGCCTTTGGCTGTTTGATGGAAATGGTCGATTGGGGAGTCTCTCCAAATGCAGTTACTTACAATATCATGATACGTTCCTTGGGTGCCACTGGGGATATTGCTGGATGCGTGAAATTAGTAAAGAAGATGAAAATGGATGGAAAGGGTCTCGATGTTTCTTCTTTCAATGCTCTCATTCGAGATTTTTGTAGGACGGGAAGAGTGAGGGAAGCACAGAATCTTCTTGTTTCCATGCTGAGGGAAGAACTGGTGCCTGATAACCGCACTTTTGCTGCTCTTATCAAGACACTTTGTGAATCAGGGAGATGTAATGAAGCTAAGGAGATATTTGAAACGATGGAAGCTAATGGCTGTCTTCCGGATTCTGTTACATGTGATTTGATTGTGGAGAATCTACTCCAGCAAGGCCGCTATGAAGAAGCCAACAATGTAGTGAAAGTCTACAGTGCAAAGGGACTAGCCGTAAAATTCATCAGCGTATAGTAGGATCGAACTGCTATGTCCTTATTCCTTTTTAGTGAACCTTGCTTGTTGTCATTGAGCTGGATGAATCATCTGTCCCCGAGAAGGACAGAGCAGGCCTAATAGTGAGCTGGATGAATATTTGCTACGGAGAGGCCTAATGGATTGCATAATGACTCTTACTTTTGCAGTTAAGGATGATGCAGCAAGTAATGGAATGGTTGAGGTGAGCTTGAACACTTTCTGCTTATATGCTGTTTGTATTCCCATAGTAACTGCATGCTGAATTGCTGATTATATCTTAACTATAGGAACTGTTAAGATTGAGCTAAATTAACCTAGCATACACACTTATTGGTCATGTTTGCATAACTCTGCCATTTCACATGCATAGTTCTGGTAGAGAAGCATATATAGAACTGTTCCCTATGTTTGATTTGCTCTATAGTGTCCCACTTCTGAGTTTGGCACAAGCAACTAAGGTGTAGGAGCTACCTGAACATTACATTTGGCTAGTATTGCATCATATCGGTGATTCCCAACCTTTGCCAGTTCAGTGAACTGCTTCACTATCATGGATCACAGTGTGGTTTTTACTTTCTCAGGAACTTAGTTTATCAGGCATTCGATGTTAAGAAACTTGTTGATGCCGAGTCAAAAGAGGCAGCTGCATAAGTTTAAACCTCAGCGCCACTCTTAGCCACTGATGATGTTGACGAACGAATCCAATATAGACTGAAAGCTCAGTGTGCTGGATAAGTCGAACAAAGCCCCTGAGGAGTCGCGGGGTTTAAAGATGGGTTTGATGTGTGCGAGAAGAGCTCAAACCGATATCTGTATAATAGTTGTTATAGATGAGCCTTATCAAAGATAATAATGGCTATAAGCTAGCTTTAGTAAACAGCATACTTCTGTTGATAATGTGGGCACTCATGATTAAAAGAATGGCCAACTTGATTGATCAGGCCACTACGATTTTAAACCACTGATAAATGATGAGCGAATTCGTCATGAAATTGTAACTATCCAGGAGACCAGGACTTGATCACTGGACTAACTTGGTGTTGTTGGGATCATTGAATCTCAATCTATCACGAATATAGGTTAGGGCGTCATTTAGTGCTCTGGTTTCTACCAAAAAAATAGAAGCTATGCTTGTATTTTATAATTAACCCTCCACAGCAAGCAAAAGGAAGACATAAACCTTGAGAAAGCAATATGAACGTTGTCAAGCAAATGTGAAGTTATTCATTCAGCCACTATAAAAGATTCAACAGGCCATGATCAACATCAGTAACAACTCCTGTTTCTGACAATCGATCAGATAATAAAAGATTCAGGAAAAGAGGATTCACAAGATGAAAGGAGGGCGACCACGCCAGTCTTAGCTAAAACCTTGAAAACAAAAGTGTTCTCCAAAACTTGCAGTAAAACGCTTCAAATGTGAATAGGCTTGTCATGAGTGGCCATGGCAGCCTCCTTCAACGCCTCACTCATCGTCGGATGAGCATGGCAAACACGAGCAATATCCTCGCTCGACGCCTCGTAGTTAATTGCCAAAACTGCCTCGTGAATCAGCTCACCAGCATTCGGCGCCATGATATGGACTCCCAATATCTTGTCAGTCTCCTTATCAGCAATTATCTTCACTAACCCTTCAGCATCATCGATGGCCTTTGCACGACTGTTGGCCATGAACGGAAACTTCCCCACTCGATACTGCACCCCACTTGCCTTCACCTGATCCTCAGTCTTCCCCACTGACGCAACCTCAGGATGTGTGTACACAACTCCTGGAACCAAATCATAGTTCACGTGTCCATGCTTGCCAGCTATAAACTCGACACAAGCAACACCATCCTCCTCGGCCTTGTGTGCCAGCATGGGCCCTGGAATCACATCTCCAATGGCGAACACGCCTTTCACATTGCTTTCAAATTTCTCATTGACTAAGATCCGTCCACCCTTGTCGGTTTCAACCCCAATCTTGTCGAGCTCAAGACCAGCTGTGAATGGGTTCCTGCCAGCAGACACTAGCACCACATCAGCCTCAAGGATCGTTTGGTCGCCACCAGCAGCAGGCTCTACAGTTAGCTTCACGCCATCTCCCGAGCTGTCAACTCCTACCACTTTCGTCTTAAGCATGAACTTCATCTTCTGCTTTTCCAACGAGCGCTGGAATTGCCTGCGGATTTCAGAATCCATGGTGGGGACGATGTCAGGAGCAAATTCCACAACAGTGACTTCTGAACCAAGGCGGGCCCACACTGACCCCATCTCGAGCCCGATGTAGCCTGCTCCGATGACTATCAGCTTCTTGGGAATCTGTTTCAGGGATAGCGCGCCAGTTGAAGATACAATTTTTTCCTCGTCGATGGTGATACCAGGGAGAGACTTGACATCAGAGCCTGTGGCGACAATGATGTTCTTTCCCTTAACGACAGTGTTGCCACCACCGATGGTATCGACTGAGACTTCATTGGGGGAGATGAATTTGCCGTACCCTTTGACGTAGGTTACTTTGTTCTTCTTGAACAAACCTTCGATTCCCTTGGTGAGATTGGCTACTGCTTTGTCCTTTTGACCCATCATGGCGGGTAAATCGACCTCCACATTGGAGACTTTGACGCCATGGTGGGCAAATGAGTGCTGAGCTTCATGGAACATGTGGGACGAGTGAAGAAGCGCCTGAAACGAAAAAGGAAGGTTTATCAATACAACAAACATATGAATAGAGAAGCTAGTGAATTAGATTAACGGCGATGGAGAGAAATCAGTTTTGTGGAATTAAGTAAGACGAGCGCTACGAAACCAATTTCATAAAAGAAAGAACAACGACTGAATCCTAGCTCTACTGCAATCAACAAAGAACCCTAGCTCTCATGGCTGCACTGAAACAGAACAATCAAAATCGAGCATAGTCAAAGCGGACGATCGAATGAAAGAACCGCCTCACTCGTCAACATCCACCAAATTGGGAACAAAAGAAATCGAATCAAATCCTATCCATAGAGCATCAGAAAATCCACACAGGCAAACATAGATCTAATAAACACAATTTTGCAATCAACCAAACGGAAACATAAAGGAAAAAACGTTCGTTCGTTCGTTTTTACCTTGGACGGGATGCAACCGACGTTGAGGCAGGTACCGCCGAGAGTACCGCGCTTCTCGATGCAGGTGGTCTTCAGGCCGAGCTGTGCCGCCTTGATGGCGGCGACGTAGCCGCCGGGGCCGCCGCCGATGATGACAACATCGTTGTCATCAGATCCGGAGGAAGCGAAGCCGCGGGAGAAGTTGGTGAGGGAGAAAGTGTAGCGGAGGGCGTCGGGATTGGAATTGGAGAAGGTTCTCGTAAGAAGGTAAGCCTTTCTCCTCGCGAAGCTTGCCATCGCCATTTTCGCTCTCCGCTCGTGCTCGGCTTTGTCTCTGAGCTCCTTTTCTTTCTCCTTGTCTGTCGAATCGAAATGGAAGCAGCCGTGAGACTGAAAACTCTGCTTTATTCGATACAAAAATTAATTTTAACGCACAAGGGCCGCGGCTAGCTCTTTTTGGGCCTAATTAATTAGTCAGCGAAAATAAGTAATTTTATATTTAATTGAGGGGCTGCTGTGGCTCTTTTATAAGCTAAGAAATAAGAATATATTTTCCGGTGGGTTTCCTTTTTGGCTGTGATGCCGCTGCGATCTTGACACGTGGAAGCGTTGGATCATAAACGGTGGGAATTGGGCCGATTGAGCACGGTCAAGTCAATATATGAATGTTAGAATAATAAGAGAGATTATATTTATGGCAAATGAATTACATCTTTCCCTTTGCCTTGTGTGAAAGCCCAATATATCAAATTAAAGCGCACATCTCAAAATGAATGGCTATCTCTTTTTTCTTGTTTATCATTGAGGAATGAAATGGTGGGTGTGTGAACAGAGCGATCCACCAAAAGTGGATAGCATATTATCCCACTCGCCATTCATAGTTAGCACAATGCTAATTGCTAAACGATGAAGAAATTACTCTAGTTTGTTTATCATTAATGCGAGCAGAATCCAGTCCGGTCAGAGTTGATTCTATCGAGAAATGAAACCAGATAATAAAAACATTCAAATTTATTTATTCGTTCTGATTCGAGTTCGTTTATAATATTTCACGAAACTCCATCAAATTTTCATTTCTACCATAATACACATTTACACTTAAAAGATTCATAACGGCGAGGACAACATTGGTGCTCAAGTAACCCAGCAAGGGTGGCTTCTTCTTGGTTGCCTTATCCGTTGATGCTGATGAGATGATAACCAAGAGGAAAGGTGGCCGCTGTTTGCTACTGGCGATTCCCCGTCACAGAACCCTTACCCTTTCTTCTATCTGTCCGTTTCCCCCACCGAAACCACAAACAACGCTATCGCAGAAAGCTTCCGATAACTGGAAAGATAACCAACTTTCTCATATTCATTCAATCTCCCATGCTATGTGGTCACCATTTGCCAATGCCAAACCTTTTGTCTCCTTTCCAACCATTCATCAAAACAAATTTGCTGTGAACATCCCCAAGCAAATGAATGGAGATCAAATCTGTGCATACTCTATTCAACCCATTCGAACCTGGTACACATCGGTTGAGAAAACACATCTAACCATCTTCAGGAAGGAAACAGAGTATCACAAAATCCAGAAACACGAGAGGGGGCTTTCCTATATAAAACCTACTCCTCGGAAAAGTGATGGGTGGTGCACTCTCTGGCCTTTATTGAACATCTAGACTAGATACATCTTCAGTATCCAAACCTACTAACCAAAACTGCTGGCTGCTTTTTCTCTAACCCTGAGAGCTACCATAACTAGGCACCTATCATCATCTGAAGCAGCCACAAAACAGACGAGAGCAAAAAAAACCCATCATCCTCTATCCTTAAGCCCCCTCTGCCAGGCCAAAAATTAAGTTAAGGTTGAATGATAAAATACAATTCCCACTTCCTACTTTCTGTACAATCTCAGTTTCCTTCCATCAACCCCTTCAGCCGACTCCGAGCCTCCTCGGAAAGGCTGAAGCACCTCAACCTCCTCCTTTGCGGAGGGCACGACTCTACGGGCCTCGGTCCGCGGAAGCAGATCACTAACGCAGTGAGATTATCGGCAGAATGGAGTCTTCCTGCTTCATTCACTAGCTCTTTTGCACAGTGTTCTGGATCATCGTGCCGTCTTAGCCCCCGACGAACAAGGCTTACAGCATACTGGCTTGACATGACATCCCAGATTCCATCACAAGCAATTATCAAGAATTCATCGTCTTCAGTGAGTGCCATTTGTCGAAACTCAGGTTCAGCAATTAGAGGCGATGAAGAGCCATATGGAAGCTTCAGATCCCAGTCACCGAGTGCCCGGGTCACTGATAGGTACCCATTGAGATATTCATCTTCTATTCGACCGCCCATCTCCTCAACTCTTCTGCGTTCAGGCAAATACGAAGGCCTGTGGTCTTGTGACATTTCAAAGGCTGCACCTTTCCTGCATAAAACTGCCCTGCAGTCGCCGGCATTGGCAACCAGCAAGTGATGTCCAAGGACTAGGGCAGTCAGCGCGGTTGTCCCACACGAGGTGCTGATAGTGTTGTCATCAGCAATAGCAATATCTGCTAGCAGAAAAGCTTTCCTGTGGGAATCCATCAGAGATTCCAAGAAGGCGGCACTAATATCGGAAGTTTGGGGCAAACCAGCATCCTCAAAGAATAGCCTCATAGCATTCCTTTTTATGTAAGAAGCAGCATCAGGCCCTCCATGACCATCAAAAACTGCATAAAAGGCACTGTGGCAGTTGAAGAAGGAACCAAGATGAGTAGAGAGGTCGTCGATTCGAATGTGTTCATCGTCCATGGAGGGCCTTGGTCCAATCTCAGAGTGGCTTCCCGATCGGATGTCTGGAAATGACATGTTTGTAGAGGGATCAATAATAGAGTCCTTGATTGCGCGAGGTTCTTTGAAACTGGCAACCTACATGGGAACAAAGAAAAAGTTAGTTGATGTTTGAGAAAACTCATCATAGCAGGTATAGCAAGAAAGATGCAGAACGCTAATAAGCCTGGAAAAAACATAAGACAAATGAAGAGCATTAAGCTAATACAAGCCTCGGGATCGGTCATCTAGTCAGTCACAGTTCTAGATCAACCACCATCAAATTAAATACGTCATCAAGGACAACCCAAAACCTAAGGAATCACTAGGCTAAATGGAGGAAAACAACGAGCATTTATAACATGCCTTTAACAACTGCTTTATTTTATAGGGACTTGATATAGGAGACCCAGAATAGGAATTCAAACCGTATCCAAAGCTAGTATCCAAAACTAAAACCTAATCAGGATTCGGAAGTCCTTGATCACGTAGTTGTTTTGAAAGCAGAAAAGCCAAATCTGGCTTCCTCGTACAGCTAAATGGTCAGCAGGCATGCATCCAGAACTAAATCGACAGCAGGGCATGCATCCAGAACTAAATTGACAGCAGGGCTAGTCTAGATTTCTGCTCAAAGAGATATTCATTAGATCTAGACTTCCTCGTAGCTATGCTAAAATCTCTAGGACGACCTCCAGCATTCCTTCGGCATAATTCGAGGGTGGAGACAGGAAAGGCTCTACTAGATCTCCTATTACGGGAATGTTATTGCCGTCTAATCAAAGATGAATCAGCTTTAGCTACTGCACCGGCGCGGGAAGAATTTCCCGCCTACGAACAAAACTTCTTTAGTTTTTAACCCGCTAAGATCCTAAAGGAAAATTCTGAAACCCTTGAACTCACGAACCAAGAAACCCAACCCTCGAAAATCCAGAAAGACCCAACACAACAGCTCCAAAAGGGTCCTCATATCTCCAAGCGCAAAAAGACTCGCAATTGCCAAATTCATCAGGAAAAGCGGAATCGAGGAGACAAAGAGAGAAAGCGAAGAGAAACCTACCGATTCAAAGGGCGAGACTTCGGCCTCCAAGATCGGTGACAAAGGCGAGGAGGGGTCGTCGACCTTCAAATTGTGGTCCGCGGCGACGCAGAGGTGGTACTTGACGGAGGGGATGGTTTGCTTGCAGATAATCTCGGTCTCGGCCATCATGTTTGAACTGACGATCATTCGCGAAAAAGGGCAAGTACTTGGATGGTGGTAGGTTTTCTGTTCGGGGTCCTTCTATAGCTGAGGGAGAACTAGAAAGAATCGGCAATTAGGTACCGCAGACGAAAGAGAGAGAGAGAGATGAGGGATGGAGATGGGTACGGACGCAATTCTAGGGTTTTGGCTGGGGGAATCGATTGGAATCGAAATCTGGAGGAGCCTGAAACAGAGAAATTTGGGAAGGGGAAACCAGAGGAGTCGGCGAAATGTGGATTATTGAGGATGTAATGAGGGGAAATGAATATATATATGGTGCGTCTTTTTTTTTTTTAAATGACACGCGGTTTCTTTTTCCTTTTTTTTCTTCTTTTTACAGGAAGGAGAGGTGACCGACACGTGGCAGTGGAAGGTAAAAGGCAGCGCGGGAGGGAGACGGAAGCTGACCGGTTTCTCCCGGGCTTTCTGAATCCGTGGCAGCATCGGAGTTGCTATGGGTTGCGTTAGGCCGTGTTTGGTAGGGAGGATAACTCATTAGATTTCTTTCCGATCCCACAATTTCTGTTTCCTACGCAATTGAATTGACTTTATTTAACACGTTTCCCTGCTCTTTTGGTCTCTTTACCTCCAATTTTTAGTTAAAGCTTGAGAAATATAATTTACACGTTTTTTTTTACTCTTGAATATTCTTGATCTATATATTTAAAGACAGTAATTTATATTTATTCCCCAATTCATTCAGAATGTGAACATGAAAAATAACGTTTATTTTATGTCAAGTTATTTGTTGCTCTCTGGCATAAATTTTTTAGTTAAATAATAAAAAAACAACATGGTGTTTCTTTTGAAATTGGTCGGTAAATTGGTGTTTCTTATTGAAATTGGTCGTGTTTGAAATTTAATAATTTATTTTTAAAATAAATATATTCTTTCTAATTATTAAGTTGCATATTGTTTTCATTCTTAAACTTGAATACATCAATCTGTGTTCTTCTTATTGCATTCTGGAATCAACATAATTCATGATTCATAAACAATTGTTGGTTTGCTTGACCAGTATTTACCGCTTATTACAACCCAACATAAACATAAACATAACCCATTAATTTTAAAATCTTAATTTCATGGGTGTGTTAATAATATACCCAAACCGCCAATCATTGAAAATGCCAAGGAAGGAAAACCAGGATTACAAGTATCATCCTCTCTTGTTTTTATCCACTAAGCATTACAAGTACACGGCAAAACCAAAACAAGGGTAAACCACTAATCATTCATCAACATCTATTCAAGTGCTTTTATAATTTTTAATGCAAGTTCCAATGACACTTTAAGAAATCATTTAACTTATAATGTGTTTTGATTGGTTAAATATTTAGTATAATAGTGTTTGAATTATTGTACTTAATTAGATAAACACGACCTGTCTCGATTTGTCAAGTGAAATTGGTAGGCTGCCATTCACTGATATGGCCACGTGGATTGAGGGAACTTCAAGTTGTCCTTGTCTAACCCATTTGGTAATTGAGTTTCGATTAGCCAATGATTGTGAGTTTATGGTACTAATCAACTTAACTTCCACTTCTTTAATGGAAGAGCAAAGCTAAATCCATGCCTAATCACTACACGTGTCCACAAACTAATAATCAACGAGAGCCAATAGATCTCTCCATTAGATCTCAAGGACAATAAAAATTTGCTTACCGAGTATTCGGGACAAAGAAAATCTTTCAATTATGACATATTTAGGAAAAAACGTGGAAAATATGAAGAATAATTTTGGGGGAAAAAATACTTGGCTCAGCTAACAACTATCTACCACTCAAATTTTCTCCAACATTTCATCTTTAATTCTTGTATCTTTTATGCTTTTGTTATTAATTTCCTATCCTTGTTTTAAAACAAGTAACTTGCGTGGTTTAGACTTGTACTTATTTACGTTGCAAGTATCTTGAATTTGTTGTATAATCCAAATCACAAATGATCTTGAATATGCTCCAGTAGTACGATATTGTCCATTTTGGAACAAACATGTACATATTTACTTTTGTGTTCCTTCCCTTGTATAACTGATGTGGTATTTGGACTGTACCGTAACACCCCCACCCCCAAAAGACTATATTGATCCGCTAAACATCTTGTATCGACAGGGGGCGCATATCACCTTTGTATTGAGCTGGTTGTTTGTTTATGTACTCAAACCGTCAATATAGTAAAACCGTTATCTCCAATCATATCATAATTCATAACGTTAATAAAAAGAAATCCTCACGAACAAGGAGTTGATATAGTGATAATATCACTATTTTAAAATATGAACAATTATAGATTCAAATTGTTTAAATAATACTTAACCACGAAAAATAAAACATACATCACCGTTATAAAAAAAAATCCTATAAGCAAAATTACAAATTGGAGTAGAAAACAAACACTCTGGAAGGCAGCTGGGCGAGTGGTCCAAATCCAAAGCCCAGTTCCTCTCGCCCGGTCCCTCTCACCGTCGTTTGTGGGTAATTAAATAATTGATTAATATATGGCAACCTGTTAATGAAGATCCACTCATTCAGTTGGCGAGTTAAAAAGAAAGGTGAGATCGTGAGATGCTTCAGCTCAAACCTCAGCCTCAACGAAATCTCGCTCGTTATATAATAATTATTTTTTTTATAGGAATTATTATTATTCATTCGTGTCCATGTAAAATTTGTTCTCTTCTTGTCCATGCATTTATTTCGTTCCCATGGGTAGTGGAGCAGGACGTGTCAGAAGGAGAATCACTTGTTGGAGGAGTGGTCACTTTGCTTATACATCTTTGCACTCATATTTCATTACAATTCACACATCATCATCCATCAACGAACGAACCAATGAGATTTTTTTTTTGCTTGGGCATTGGATAACATTTTTTAAAGTCAATTTTACTGGACGAAAATAATCTAAGATCACGTAAAAAAAATATCGAAACTCGAAAAGTACATTGAGAGGTTATAGGGAATATCATGTATTCACAGAAACATATGTAAGTTGTCACACGCCTGATATTTACTCGTTTTGTTCTCAAGGTAACACAACAGAGTTCATGAAAATTGTTGACACCGAACATGATAAAAACATTGATCATGAGTGATCACAAGAGGAAGTTTAATTAATGCTTGTGTTGTGAATTCCTTTGTCATGAATAGAGATCGAAGCTAAACACATAACTAAGAGAACGAGACGATCTGAGACTAGGAGATCACACCTTACAAACACCAAACCCGATTGAGTTTTTTTTTTTTTTTTGACAAAAATCTTTATTGAGTTGATGGGCCTGTTAACTTAAACATGGATAGTAGCTCCAACTCCAAAAGGCCCACACGGAGGGCCACAAATCCAAAGTCCTGCCCTTGTCTACAAGCTAAAGGCCCAATCGAAACCTCCGGGTGTAGAACCGGTTTAATAAACCGAAACTCTCTTCGGCCAGTCTGTCCTAACCAGTGGCCCGTGACCCGGAGAATCCACCCCCGGCTCCGCCCGACTGCCTGAGCTAATTTTGACAGAAAGTGCATTTTCCAATCGCGATTTTGTGGCCTCAATGGGAATCCTAGACGATGAACAATCGCCTTCCTTGATCGACAGCTCCACTTCCAACTGCCAACCCCAATTGAGCCCTCTCGTCTCCTCCATTTTTATGTGAGATTAGGGCTTGAAGAAAAGTTTAGCTTCTAGAATGGCCAGGATTAGGGATTTCATAGCTTGAGAGATCGACGGCCGTCTCCTCATTCCCTACTCGTCTCCCTTTCTCAACATCAAGCCCACGAAGTTCAAGAGAAACCCCTGAAAGTTGCTTCTCCCTTGCTGTCTACATGGCAGAATAGCTTGGTGGGTTCCATCCCGGAGGAGCTCGGGAGTTGTGTGGAGCTCACGGTGGTGGATTTTCCGGAGAATCTTCTCACCGGCGCTGTGCCCAGCAATTTCGGGAAGCTTTGCAATCTAGCAGAGTGGTGGAGTGGTAGCCGTTCGTTCAACTTACTGTATGGCATCCTCTTCTCGTTGAACTTCAATGTGAGTTTGATATGGCTTCCGGAAAAAAAAAGGAATAGTGGGTTGCTCATTCGCATTTCCTGAATCAATTGTGGATTGCTGCTTCAGTTCACTTCCATTTTCTCACGAGTTTATGTGAACGATAGTAACACATACAGTTTGTGAATTAAGAAAGTTCCAGAAATTAACTGGTTCAGGAGACAGTGCAGAATTCACATGCTTGCGCTCTGTGATTGTTGCAGCAGGGAAAGTATAGTAATATATGTGTATTACTTCTGATATTGAATTCCTTCCTTTGCAATGGCTGCCGACAGGAATCTGTAGTTGTGGCTGGAGCTGTTCGATGCATTGATGAATTCCTTCCTTTGGCCGGTTTTTCTTCCTGTTCTTTTCATCAGCCGTGCAACCTATCAGAAGAAACTTGCCTCAGCTGTTGCTGCTGCTCTAGGACCACTAAGTTTCCCTCTCTTCACTGAATGGTTCAATTGATGGCGCCATTCCGGTCCTCGACCAGTGTTGACCCAGGATGGGAACATGGTATAGCTCAAGATGACAGGAAAAAAAAGGTGAAATGCAACTACTGTGGGAAGATTGTCAGTGGTGGCATATACAGATTAAAGCAGCATCTAGCTCGAGTTTCTGGCGAGGTCACTTACTGCGACAAGGCTCCCGAGGATGTTTATCTAAAGATGAAGCAGAATCTGGATGGCAGCCGCTCCTCTAGAAAGTCGCGCCTCACAGAAGACGAGGGTCAAACGTACTTAAATCTCCATTATGAAGATGACGAGGATTTGGCTGCTCCGGCTATTGCTGCTGCCGCTGCCTCTGCTCCAGTTGGTCAAAGAACCAAGGGAAAGCAATTAATGGCTACTAACGACAGGAGTTTGGCGGTCAACTTCACCCCACCACGGTTGGGTTATGTTGACCCCGGTTGGGAGCATGGAGTTGCTGAGGATGAAAGGAAGAAGAAGGTGAAGTGTAATTATTGTGACAAAGTGGTTAGTGGTGGGATCAATAGGTTCAAACAACATCTCGCTAGGATTCCTGGAGAGGTAGCACCTTGTAGAAATGCTCCAGAGGAAGTGTACCTCAAAATAAAAGAAAATATGAAATGGCACCGTACTGGGAAGAGACAGAGACAGCTCGATTCCAACGGCGTGTCTTCCTTTTGCGAGCAATCCGATGAAGAAGAAGATGAACAAGACCAAGATGCTCTCGTTCATTTGAGGCAGGAAAGGTCCACAGTTGGTGAGAAACGACTAAGGAAAGACTGGAAAATGGGTCTCAGGGGTACGTCTCCAGTTGGTGGTTCTGAATCATTCCAAAAGAAGTCAAGATTGGATTCCATTTACCTTAACTCATCCAACAATCAGCCACCACCACCATCTCGCTTAAAAGTGAAGAATGGGTGGTCTAGAAGATCCCGTAGGGATGTTGTTTCTTCAATTTGCAAATTCTTTTACCAAGCAGGGGTTCCAATAGAAGCAGCAAACTCGCAGTCCTTCCATAGAATGCTAGAGTTAGTATGTCAATATGGAGATGGCTTGGTGGGCCCTCGAAGCCAGGTGATTTCGGGTCGCTTCCTTCAGGAAGAAATTGCAACTATTAAGGAACACCTACTTGAGTATAAAGCATCATGGGCAATCACTGGGTGTTCTATACTGGCTGATAGTTGGATTGATGTTGAAGGTCGGACACTAATCAACCTTCTAGTTTCTTGCCCGATTGGTGTATACTTTGTTGCTTCAGTCGATGGTAGCGACATTGTAGAAGATGCTTTAAGCTTGTTTAGGGTATTGGATAAGGTGGTGGAGGAAATGGGTGAGGAAAATGTGGTACAGGTAAAAATGCCAACTCTGCCTGTTCAAGTTTTTAACCAGATATAGTCAAAGATTCCTCGTTCACTTTCCTTTCTTCATTCCCTCATTATAGGTGATCACTGACAATACACCGAGTTATAAGGCTGCAGGAAAGATGCTTGAAGAGAGGAGGAACCTATTCTGGACCCCATGCGCCACCTACTGCATAAATCAGATGCTTGAAGAGTTTCTCAAAATAAAGTGTGTGGAAGAGTGCATAATAAAGGGGCAAACGATCACGAAACTAATTTATAACCGCATTTGGTTACTAAATCTTTTGAAGGAATTTACCCAGGGACAGGAACTTCTGAGGATAGGTGCCACCCCTTCCGCATCTAGCTTTGCCACTCTACAATGCTTGCTGGATCTCAGAACAAATATAAGAAGAATGTTCCAGTCAAGCAAATGGGTGTCATCTGGAATCTCTCAATCTGAAGAGGGAAAAGAGGTGGAGAAGATTGTCTCAAATGCTAATTTCTGGAAGAAAGTACAATGTATTTGCAAGTCAGTGGAACCAATAACTCAGGTTCTTCGGAAAGTTCATAGTGGGGAAAGTCCATCAATTCCATTCATCTACAATGATTTGCATAGGGCAAAACTTGCCATTAAGTCTATTCACGGGGACGATGCTTGTAAATATGGGCCATTCTGGAGTGTACTAGACAATCACTGGAATTCATTATTATGCCACCCACTCCATTTGGCTGCTTACTTTCTGAATCCGTCATTCAGATACTGCTCCGAGTTTGCCATGGTTAGAAAAGACAAGTGATACCCTTCATTTCAAGCTGGTTTGCCTCGGTAAACCGTCCTAAATTTGCTTTTGTTTGCTCGTAGCATTCGGGGGTGATGCGTGGATTAAATGATAGCATTCTTCGACTTGAGCCAGACAACTTGAGAAGGATTTCTGCATCTAGGCAGGTAACAATTTAGCATTTGGTCATAATTGTGTGGAATTTAATGTTTAAGAGTGCTTCCTCTGTTATTGAGGAGAGGAGGAGCTGAGGATTTTGTTTAGTTCACTATGTGTAGTTTTCTGAGGCTTATATATGAACCATAAGATTAAGTGATAACTAGCCATATTTTTCCTCAGATACCCGATTACAATTCTGCAAAGGGTGATTTTGGGACAGAATTGGCAATCAGCACAAGAACAGAGTTGGACCCAGGTAATAACAATTGCTCTTATGTGATGGATAGTGCAATTCTCAGCTGCATATACTAACTCAGGTTTATTTGCAGCTGCATGGTGGCAGCAACACGGAATAAGCTGCTTGGAGTTGCAACGGGTAGCTGTACGCATACTGAGCCAGACTTGCTCCTCATTCGGTTGTGAGCACTGGTGGAGCATATATGACCAGATCCACATCCGGAGGCAGAACCGTCTATCTAAGAAGCAATTAGATGACCTCATCTTTGTTCACTACAACTCGCGACTCAGAGAGTTGCAGTCGAATAGAAGTATGGATGGATCAATATCGGTGGACAGCTTACTGGCGGAGCATTTACTCGGGGACTGGATAGTGGATGCAGAAAGACATGGGGTGGGGTTGTTCGAAGATGAGGTATGGTTTTTTGCTCTCATTTTCCTGTTTCCTCGCAGGTGTTAAAAGTGCATGGGAGAGTGATACTTGCAATGACGTGCAACTGCATTAAACCAACAATGATTTTGTGAATACATCTTTCATGATAGCTTGTAAAATATATAGCACAGAGTTGACACAAATAGGGGATGTGGCTTTGGTTTGTGTAGGGGGTAGAGAATGGGATTGGGGGTGAAGATGGAGACGAGAAAGAAATGCTGGATTATTTCGATGGAGAAGGTGAGAAAGAAACTCATGAAATGGTGAATAGAGGTGATGTTAACCCTCCTGATGCTGGCGCCGACGGCTGTGGCAGTACTGACGAGGAAGAGGATGAGAATTTCTTGAACGAGGATTTGAGCGACGAAATTCGGAGCTAGCTAGCTAAGAGAGATGTGGTAAATATTGTTGTTTCTTACTTCTAGTCGGGGAAGGGCTAACTTGTTAGTGATTTCGGGTTCGCTGGTTCATTTACCTTCAGTCTGTACACTGCATTGCATTAGAGTTAGTGAGTTGGTGCTTTCTTCCCTCTTCTGTCGTGTGCATTCGTTCTGTTTCTCTTTTCATGAGGGAGTAGTAATAGCAAACAACAGTTCTGTGCAAGTTCCTTGATTAGCCCTAATTCCTGCCTGACGATCGAGCAATAAATTCACAAATGACTATTCAAGCAAATTTCTATTGAGCTTTAAGCTGATGTGGCGTCAAGATGAATTGAACAAACGCCTAAAATCAGGAGCTCAAGGGCACATCAAGAATTTACAAACTGACGTCCAAATTATTACAACAGCCCCATTCAAAAATTACATTTCAAGAGCTGTCTGATCTTCAACACGAGGTCTCACTCAACCCTCTACAATATATGCAACCAAAGCCTCAGCTTGCTCTGCTTTCAAGGCAGGGGTTCCTGTGAATCTCCCAACCGAGACAGATGGAGATATGCATCAGTTCCTACAAACACCACAGAATCTGTGAATCAGCGCAATGCATTCACATGGCAAGGTAAACCAAAACACAGATCGACACATTAAAAGGACTTAAGAAACTTCACTCACCATATCCTTCCATGGAGATAATTTGAAGATCGCCTCCAAAATACCGGGCATACAAGCGGCTAATTGGGATACCATACCCGTATCCAGCCATTGTAGCTGTATCAGCAGTCCCTAGATCATCGTGCTCATCCAGTGGGTTTTTTGCTGTGCTGTAAAGGTAAGTGAAAATTTTCGGAAGACCACTTCTCCGTATGCCACCTCCTTCATCTGAAACCTGGTGCGAGGCAAGAGGCATGGATGTTGGACCAACTACTTGAAAACAAAACTAAACATACGTACCAACTGGGGAAAATGAATACAGAAACATCAGTGACTCACCTTTATGGTAACATCCTCTATTCCATCAGCAACAATTATCCGTACAGGAGGTGCTACTTTATCTGAGTCGAGATAACGCTCTTGTACTGCCCGCAGTGAATTCTTGACGAGCTCAAATACCATAAGATGCAAGTGTGCAGGAACATACCTGTTGCAAGACCAACATTTCATGGATAAGAACGTATATTATACAGAATGGCGATCTTAATCTATGGCAAGGTAGCAAGGGGAACAAAAATAGATCATAGACAGACACCATACACTTACGGGAAAGTGAAATTGGGATCCCCGTAGATGTCAATATCTGGGGCACTGCCATACTCCCGGAAACAAACAGAACGAGCATCCTCACTAGCATCACGTGCAACCTCAAGCGGAGACATTTTAGTATGTATACAACCCACACAGTGAGGAGGGGGATTCGGATTCTGCAACTCCACATGCTGCCCTGGGCATCCCATCCCAATTACATCATTTAAGATTAAAAAAAAAAATCAGATAGAGTCCCAATTACAAACAGAAGTCCACTGAAGGACAGAAATCTAAGACATGAAAAGACAACAGTGAAGTGAATGTGAAGGAGGCAGAAGGGAGATAGAACTAACCAATCAGCATACGAATACCGATTCTGGACATATAAAACCGATCCAGAAACTCATGAATCTCATCTAGAGCTTCGTAATCAACATTCGGGTCCAAGCCTTTCTTCAACTGTTGAACGCCTAAGGCCATCATGGGAACCACATTGTTGTGCCTCACCTTAATCGCTTTGATCATTTGCGTAAACTCCGTCTCATCATTTGGATCCTTTATCTCCGGGAACAATCTGAGATCACGGAAGGAATCCAGGTACCAATCTCGCACCTGACAGCAAAAGGGCAGAGTAAGCAGTTGCAGTTGCGACTTGAGAATTGGACCTATAGAAAGTCAGAAAGAAAGCATATACGATACTGTATCTAAGGAAGTAAAGAAAGTGAATTGAGATATAAACAGTAAACATTACAAAGAGGGATATCAACTTATATTTATTACCAAATGGAGAATTAGGATCATCATGATAATTTAGAAACATATTGAAGACTACAACCTTAACAAATAGTATAAATTTGAATGGGGAGCTACCATTGAAAGATGCAAGTAAGACAGTCATTATCCAGCCACAACCGACTACACAATCTCTGAAGGAGCGCACTTCACATGCATGATAGCCCCAATATTGTATTGTATTAATGCTCAATTTAAAAACAGAAAGGAAGAACGAAAAGTGTTCCCATTAACCAACCTTATAATAACGAAAAGATTGACAAGATCAAGCACTAAACAACCACTTCATTTCATTCCTATTATATTAATAGTAATGAATAACAAACTGGGTTCCAATCCAATCCAATCCATCATCAATCATGAAAGCAAGCAAGCAGCAAAAACTGAAAAGCAAACCTTGAGGACGGCGGGCTTGTGAGAGAGGCCGTAAGGAAGCGTCTCGAGGTCCATGACGCGGCGGGCGATTCGGATGGGCAACTCCTTATGGAGAAACTGAGCAGAGATCAGGAGGTTGCGGAGGGATGGCTTCGAACCGAATTCCATCATGTAGCGCAAGCTCACCCCGTTCTGCTTCATGCAACCCCACCTCTGCACTTCCTCGGTCATGCTCTTCCCCAGCGTCTCCATTGCCTTCTTCCTAGCTGCCCCTGCCATGGCAATGATTGATGATGTTGATAGGTCGCTACTAGCAAGCAGTTCTGGAGCAGCAGCAGGGGAGGATGAGGCCGACGGCAAAGAGAAACGACGACATGTACAGCCCTAAACCAGAAATCCCAAAAGAAAACGAAAGGGTGAAATCAAAGAGAAAGAGAGCAGCAGCAGCAGCAGCTAGCAGAAGTCTCGCTTCCTTCTCTTCTTCCGATTCGCCGGAAATGGTCGCCGCCCGCGCAGTTCTAGCTCTAGGGTTTTGGGGGAAAGTAATGGGGAATCGATCGGAATCGGAATCGAAATCTGGAGGAGAAAGCGCGGAAAAGAGAAATTTGGGAGGGAGGGAAGGAGCAGGGGGAAAACCAGAGGAGTCGGAAGCGAAATAGGGAAGAAGAAAAACCACTCAGAATAGAGAGAAATGACTGGTGGCTGTAGTCGATTCTCTTATCAGAATAAGGAAAGCGGTTTTAATTATTTTCGATTTTCCCTTTTATTTTTTCCGTTGGATATTTTTTTTTATTTTAATTTCCGCGAAAGTGCCTTGCTTTACGCACCCTTGGATCTCGATCCTACGGCTGAGGAAATTTGAAGCTGGCGAAAATAAAATTTGTGTCGCTTTTTTTTCTTTTATATGAAATTAGATTTGTGTCGTACACAGAGGAATTCAAGCATTACAAATTTTCATATTGAACACCATCGATGATAACTTTAGATCAAACACCCTCGTTGCAGCATCTTTTGCACTACTTATATTTTTTTATGAAAGTGCATTGAATATTGATTAGTTAATAAGAAGTTAAACAAATGAATCCATACTAGTTGTTCTCATTGATTTCACTTTCTGGTGATTACAACTACTACATGTATAGGAAAATCAGGAGAAAAATAGTATAAAGTCAATTCCAAACTATACTCTAATAAATATATTGGGTTTAGTATGTTCAATCAAGCGTACTTGGTTGCAGGAAAGATAGGATATCGGTCAGGACTTCGTCCGGCAGGGAGCTAAGCATGTCGGCCGGGGAGTTCTGTCACGACCCGAAATGTCGTGACCGTGTTGATCGTCTGAAGAACGCGACCATCTGGTTGTCTTGCCATGAGAAGGGTAAAGGGGGCGACATTAGCGATAAGGCGTTGTCTGCCTGTGCATCGCATCTAGTCGAGTCAGGATGTGGCTATGAAGGGGATCGTTGCAAGAGAAGGCACAACTGGTCGGAGGCTATTGCCGTCTCCCTGATGAGCCCAAGGCAGGGCGAAACCAGTTGGCATGCGTATGCAGAGATGCTGGTCTTGAGGAATGAGTGCACCTCAAGACGCCGCACGGACTTCAGAAGTCTATGTCCGTGACAGTTCCCTTCGTCTGTCCTCACGATTTTGGTTGTCTTCGTCTCCATTGGTGGCCGATGAGGAAGAGAGAAAACCTAGGTAGGAAGAAGATGGCCGGTTCAGCTGTCCCTTCCCTTGGTTTGACATGGTTTAGCAGAGTGTAGCCAATTTTTATCATTGTGGAGGGAGGAATTGGATGAAGAAATGTTTGATATTTTGGGGTAGTATGGTTCCTGGTTTGGTTCAGGTTCCTCTGAAATCTAAATAGAAAAGAATGCTCCTCATGGGCATCACTTCAACTAGGCCCTCCTGCAAAATTCTTGTAAAAGCTCCAACGGGACTAGATAGTATAACAACACCCCTTGTGTTGTTATTGTAACAACACTAGTCTCCAACCAATAGGAAGCTAGGATTGTGATGACTTTTTATTAGATGAGTTGACCTAGTGTAAAATCAAAGCAGGGGTATAATTGTCATTATGAAAAATATGTTTAAATAAAAAAAATAAAAAATAAATAAATTTTTTTTTTTATGTTCGGACCAAAAATTTGGTCGCCGGAATTCGGCCACCGGTCGCCGGAAACCGGAATATGCTTTTTTGTCGCCGGAATATGTTTTTTTGCCATCGGAATATGCCACCGTCGTCGGAATATGCTCACCGGCGTCGGAATCTAGTCATCGGGACCGGAATATGCCTATCGGCGCCGGAATCTACTCACCGACGGTCATCGGAGTTTGGTCAACGGTCTTCGTTGACCGGTCAATGGCCAACGACCACCGGATGTTGTGGTCTGCATTGTGAGATTTATGGTTTGGTTTCTCACATTTTTGTATTCCTTTTGTGGTTTGCTTTATCGCGTTTGTGGTTTGCATTGAGAAGTTTCTGGTTTGCTTTATCGTGTTTGTGGTTTGCATTAAGAAGTTTCTGGTTTGCTTTCAAAAACTTTGTGGTTAGCATTGTGAGGTTTCTGGTTTGTTTTAATATATTTGTGGTATGCATTAGGAGGTTTCTGGTTTGTTTTTGTGGTTTGCTTTAACGTGTTTGTGGTTTGTATTATGAGGTTTGTGGTGTGTTTTTGAAAATTCTGTGGTTTGGTTTGTGAGGTTACTGGTTTGTATTAATAGATTTTTGGTCTGCATTAGGACGTTTCTGGTTTGTTTTGTGGTTTGCTTTATCGTGTTTCTGGTTTGCATTAAGAAGTTTCTGGTGTGCTTTCGAAATTTTTCTGGATTGCTTTGCGGGGTTTCTGGTTTGTTTTAGGAAATTTGTGGTCTGCATTAAGACGTTTCTAGTTTGCTTTTGTGTGGTTTGCTTTACCGTGTTTGCGGTTTGCATTAGGAGATTTCTGGTGTGCTTTCGCAAATGTTGTGGTTTGCTTTGTGAGGTTTGTGGTTTGTTTTAGGGGATTTGTGGTACGCATTATGAGGTTTCTGATTTGCTTTTTTGTGGGTTTTTATCACGTTTGTGGTCTGCAATTGGAGGTTTCTGGTGTGCGCTATGAAAGATTTGTCATCTGCATACCAATACGATAAACATAATAATACACCATCATCTTTTCCACAAAAGCCACCTCCTCGCTTTCTCGACCACATCTCAACATCAACCCACTTTCAATACCATCGGAGCACACACCTGCTCTGATGACAGTACCAAAATCAGGCAAATGAACTCAATGAAATTGGAGATCTACAGCATCTTTCTAATTTCAAATTGTGACAAATCTAATAAGTAGTTCGTTACCTAGAAGGATCGCCATGAGCAGCTAACCAAGGCTCAACCATGGAAACGCCAAAGCTATCGAAATTGCCACTCTGAACTCCTAACCCGCCATAAACGCCCAAATTGGACTGCTTCACAAACCAATTCAAAACCTTCACTCCATCCTCATAAGCGGCAGGGTACTTACTCTCGGGCGCCAATCTGTAGCCCACTGCCACGACCAATGAATCCCAAGCCTTCGCCACCCGCCGGCAGAACAAATCGTTCTCGGCTGACTCGTTGCTCCCGCTCACAAACCCGCCGCCGTGGAACTGCAACACCACTGGGAGCTTCCTCAGCAGCCGTCGCTGCTTCCCGGAAGGAGGCAAGTACCCGCCGTAACGTGGGCAGATCCCGGATCCGGCGGAGACGACGGTGTCTGGAAGGAAGATCCGGATGGAGAGTGAGGACAGTGGGTCGATTTGGCGCCACCGCCGCCGTTGCCTTTGTTGGGAAGGATACAACTCCGACGGAAGATGCAGGATGGACAGAGTCAGAGGTCATCTGGGTGGGAGGAGGCAGAGAGTGGGATTGGATGCGAGGAGAGAGACGAAGAAGGTTTTATTGATATTTTTAATTTTGTGTGTTAGTTTACTTTTTTGCCCTTAATGAATTCTGTTGTTACTATAACAACAACAAGGCTGTTGTTATACTATCCGGACCCAGCTCCAACCAACCACATGTAAGTTTTTTAATAGTGAGTTATTTTTTATATTTTAATTCTTGATTTATTTAGCATAATTAAAAATATTAAATATTACGAAAGAAGAATCCATCAATAACAAACCGACACGTAGATAGTTGGAATTTCTACATCCAATCAAGGTTGGAGCTAGTGAGATTTTAAATTAGAAAGCACAACATCAACATTACGGATGGGATTGCAAAGAAGGATGATAAATGTTGTGATCTACTTTACAAACACGGCTTGGTTCGAGACCGTGTGAGAGACACGATGTGAGAGGGGCCGCTCGGCCTAGAGGGGGTATTTGGGGGTATTTGGGTAATTTGTCATTATTAGAGAGGGAGAACTATTTAAGCTACAGTCTTTGTTATTTTGAGGAATCAAGCAGAATATCAGAATCCCTAAACCTAATTCCTCATCTCTTCTTCAATTCTCATCTCAAATTCCCAATTCTCAACCCTAATTCTTCTATTCTCAACCCTAACTTCTGATTCGATTATCCGTGTTTCTCACAATTGGTATCAGAGCCTGTCGATATGAGTTCTCAAGGACTCTCCGATAGGGACCACGAGCTCGCGCTCGATGCTCGTTTACGGGACGTTCTCGACCGGTTGGAGCGCGTAGCCGCCGACTGGCGGCGAAGGGGCGACGCGGTGGAAGGGCCGAGCTCCGCTGGCCCAGCGGTGCCGACAGCAGCGCCGCGGCGGGGGTTGCTCGAGCAGGAGAAGGCCGCGTCTGTCGCGGCGAGTGCGACGCGCGACGCGACGTCGGGGAGAGCGCTCGACGCGCTGGGTGGGCCTGGCTCGTCGCGGCTGAACGAGGAGGAGGAGAGGCCCTCGGCGGCGGCAGCAGCTCCGCCGGCGAAGGAGGGCGGCGCCGAGCTGGAGATCATCTCCGCGGTGGCCGCCGGCGTGACCGCGGGTTCGCCTACTCTGCGTTTCAGGGCGCAGGTGGCAGGGGAGTGGGGAGTGGCCTTGGTCGACAGCGGGGCTTCTCTCAACTTCGTTGGGGCAGAGTTTGTACGCCGATTACCCACATCACAGGTGACAGTCGTCCCATTCGAGGTGAAGGTGGCCAATGGGGCGCCGCTACAGTGCACCGGGAAGTTGGCAGGAGTGACAGTGATGATTCAAGGGCTGCAGGTCCCTCTTGACTTGTACGTCCTACCCTTGCAGGGCTTCGACATCATTTTGGGCATGCCTTGGCTGACGAGTTTGGGACCGGTGACTAGCGACTGGGTGAAGATGGTTATGAAGTTCAAATGGAGGGACAAGGACTGGGAACTCCAGGGGTTGACCACGGCAACTGGGCCGGTGGAGTGGGGTGACCCGCAACTGGAGGAGGAGGCCGAGCTAGCTGTGCTCTGTTGGCCACTGGGGTCAGCCGATCCGCAGCCGTTAGCCCCAGACTTACAGGCATTGCTGGACCGGTACGAGGAGCTCTTTGGGCAGCCGAACCAGCTTCCTCCACAGCGCCAGGTGGACCATCGGATTCGGCTGAAGGAGGGCACAGACGCAGTTAACGTTCGCCCCTACCGGTATGCACATAACCAGAAGGCCGAGATCGAGAGGCAGGTGGAGGAGATGATGACAGCCGGGCTGATTCGGGCAAGTTCCAGCCCGTTCTCCTCGCCGGTGTTGCTGGTGAAGAAGAAGGATGGCACCTGGCGGTTTTGTACAGACTACCGAGCACTCAACACCGCCACTGTCCGAGATCGTTTTCCCATTCCCACGGTGGATGACATGCTCGACGAGCTACGGGGTGCCCAGTACTTTACCAAGCTCGATCTGCGGGCAGGGTACCACCAGATACGTATGCACGAGGAGGACATTCCTAAGACGGCTTTTCGGACGCATAGTGGCCATTACGAGTACCTGGTCATGCCGTTCGGACTCTGTAATGCACCATCGACATTCCAGGCCGCCATGAACGACATTTTTCGGCCTTTGCTCCGCAGGTCAGTCTTGGTATTCTTTGATGATATTCTGGTTTTCAGTAAGACTTGGGGAGAGCATATGCAGCATTTGCAGGAGGTGTTTGAGATATTACGGAGCAACCAGTTTTATGTGAAGGCTTCGAAGTGTGCCTTTGGGGTCCAGTCAGTGGACTATTTGGGCCATGTTATTTCAGGTGACGGAGTTAGAGTGGATCCGTTGAAGATTCAGTCCATGATGGACTGGCCGGTGCCGAAGTCGGCAACAGAGCTGCGGGGTTTCCTCGGTCTTACTGGCTACTACAGGCGGTTCGTGAAGGGGTACAGTTCTATAGCCGGTCCGTTGAATGCCTTGCTGAAGAAGGGGGGATTTAGCTGGAATCCCCACGCAGAGCGAGCTTTTGTGGAGCTCAAGGCCGCCCTCTCATCGACACCAGTTCTGGCCTTACCGGACTTCTCTCAGCCTTTTGACATCGAGACTGACGCCTCTGGCCGGGGAATTGGGGCGGTTCTCTCACAGGAGAGGCATCCCATCGCCTTCATGAGCCGTACCCTCCCTCCATCTAAGGAGGCTTGGTCCACCTACCAGAAGGAGATGCACGCCATTACTGAGGCGGTCCAGATGTGGAGACCCTACTTGATCGGTCAGAAGATCCGGATCTACACCGATCATCAGAGTCTCAAGCACTTGATGGACCAGAGGGTGTCCACCCCAGACCAGCATAAGTGGGTGGTGAAGTTGATGGGATACGACTATGAGTTGCACTATCGACCAGGGCCGATGAACAAGGCCGCGGATGCCCTCTCGCGGGTGGAGTGGAGGCCGCAGGTGGCGGCAGTGACAGGGCCGGTGGTGTTGTTCTGGGAGGAGGTTAGAAGGGCGGTGGAGGCGAGTCCGTTCCTGCAGGAGCGCCGGGATATCGCTCTCAGTCAGACACCTGGTAACTATACCTTCAGGCACGGATTGGTGTTTCACCAGGGTCGCGTGGTTCTACCTCCGGCCACCTCCCTCACGACGACTGTGATGAGGGAATTTCACGATTCGCCGGTGGGCGGCCATTCGGGGTACGAGAGGACCTTGAGGAAGATTCGCGGTCATTTCTACTGGCCACAGATGACCCGAGAGGTCAAGGATTACGTTGCATCCTGTGACACCTGTCAGCGGGTCAAGGCTTCCCAGCTGAGGCCAGCTGGACTACTTCAGCCACTGCCAGTGCCAGAGCGGGTATGGGAAGATATTAGCATGGACTTCATCGTGGGTCTTCCGCCATCAGGTGGAAAGACAGTTCTTTTGGTGGTGGTGGATCGCCTCACCAAATATGCACATTTCATGGCCCTAGCCCATCCGTATACTGCCCGGAGTGTAGCAGAGCAGTTTGTCTGGGGGGTCATTCGGCACCACGGGTTCCCCCGCTCGATAGTGAGTGATCGAGATGCATTGTTCCTGGGCAGGTTCTGGAAGGAGGTGTTCGCCTTGGCGAAAACGGAGCTGAAGATGAGCTCGGCATATCATCCCCAGACAGATGGGCAGACTGAGGTGGTGAACAAGATACTGGAGCAGTACCTGCGGTGTTTTGCTCACCAGCAGCCGCGCCGTTGGCTCGCTATGCTGCCCTGGGCGGAGCTGTGGTATAATACCACATACCATCGATCTATCCAGATGTCTCCCTTCGAGGCTCTCTACGGGAGGACGCCACCGATGCTGGTCCGGTACCAGTCAGGGGCGAGTGCAGTGGATGTGGTGGACAGGTGGTTGGCGGACCGGGATGAGGCACTGCAACAGTTGAAGGCCAATTTGGCCGCTTCCAACAACAGGTCGAAGCAGCAGGCGGACTCCGGGAGGCGAGACGAGGAGTTTGCAGTGGGCGATTGGGTCCTACTCAGGCTGCACCCTTACCGGCAGACGTCAGTGTTCAAGAGAGCTTACCAGAAGCTCGCGGCCCGATATTTTGGCCCGTACCAGGTGCTGGAGCGGATCGGAGCCGTGGCGTACAGGTTGCAGCTACCGGATGCATCTCGGATTCACCCGACTTTTCATGTCTCACTTCTGCGCAGGTACCGAGGAGTAGCACCGTCTGACCCACCACCCGAACCGCCGGTGAACGAGAATGGCGCGTTGGAGCTGGAGCCCGAGGCTGTGTTGGATGTCCGCTGGCCCCTCCGTGGCAAGAGGCGGGTCTCCGAGAGCTTGATTCAGTGGAGGCACTTGGCGCCGGAAGAGGCTACTTGGGAGGACACGGAGACTATGCGTCAGACCTATCCGGCCTTCGATCTTGAGGACAAGCTCGGTCTGGAAGAAGGGGGGAGTGTGAGAGACACGATGTGAGAGGGGCCGCTCGGCCTAGAGGGGGTATTTGGGGGTATTTGGGTAATTTGTCATTATTAGAGAGGGAGAACTATTTAAGCTACAGTCTTTGTTATTTTGAGGAATCAAGCAGAATATCAGAATCCCTAAACCTAATTCCTCATCTCTTCTTCAATTCTCATCTCAAATTCCCAATTCTCAACCCTAATTCTTCTATTCTCAACCCTAACTTCTGATTCGATTATCCGTGTTTCTCACAGACCGACACGCCTATTTCCTAACAATACATAACATGTGTTCAGCATATTCACATACGGTTATTCCTCGTATATTAAACGAGCATATAAAGCATATAAATGAGTCAATTACGGCTAGCTTCCGGTTGTCCAATCAGATTTTGACGATATCAGCACATGCTGACCTGAAGCCCCATATCAGCACCGTAATCGGACTAGTACAAAGGAAGGCAGCATGCAGATTGCAGCATATACAATAATACAATACAGCTTGCTTCTCTTGATTATACCAAAGCAACCCTCCTTTTCTACCATTTCCCTCAAATACTACTAACAGTAATATAGACTACAAAACTGAAAGCAGAAGACAAAGCAGACAACAGGGTCAGTTTTGGAAACCTATACACCTCTTTTGCAATCGCTCTCTATACCTAATAATCCCCTATTTCATATTTTTTTATCTGTAATCTTCTGTACAAAAGAACTCCTTTCCAGCAGAATTGAACGTTATGCGACTTTTCCTTCCTAGTGGTAACCAATCTTTCGCATTATACCATCGGTGACGACCTTTTGCCCCCTCTCCATCTGCAGTTTTTACCTGCATGATAAAATGTCAGACACTGCAGACTCCGGAACTTGAGTTTCAAGCGAAGTTTATACGATAATTCTGAATGTGCTCGTTTCACTTCTCAATGCAGCAAAGCCGCGTCTGATATTTGGGAAATAGACTGAGACTCGTGAGATTAGTAATTAATTGAAGGGAGTTCCAGCTTGGGAGCTCAATAGATGGAAAAAACACTTTCTTTTATCAGGTGGAAGCCCAGGCAAATCAGTTTAATCCATACCTTTCCATGCGGAGGATTTCCTCTAAAGCTTAGCAGACAGAAATTGAATTCGTGAATTAGCCGGAGCTGCTGCCAAATGTCGAGTTTGAACCTTGTCTGGGGACCTGAGGAGGAAGCCAGGCTGAAGCCCCTTCTTTCGTAGTTGTTTCGGTATTGCCCCCTTCTAAACTTGGTGAATACGGTTTCATCACTTTGTTCTTCAGCAATTCCTGAATAAGAAGCCAGGACCAAAACGAAAAAGGAACACATCCAGTGCGAACTGCATCAAATTCCCACTCTAGTTTGAAATTCTTCAAACTCCAGTTTGATATAGGATTTAGGAGTAACAAACCTGTAGTGTATTCCGTCCATATGTGTTCATTGCTCTTTCAATCGAACAGTAAACCTCCAGAGCTTGATCAGTTTCACGGCTGCATTTTATTTTACGAAATTGTTCCCTTGACTCTGTCGGTCTACTTCGTAGATATATGAGTAGCTTTGAAGGCGGGGACTTTTGCTGGTCTTTCTTCCCATGACTCAACTCCATGGTCACCAAATCGCTCCACAGCACGTCCCAAACTACTGAACATGGATCCCTAGCTGGGCTGAACTTTCTCTGACCAATAATGTTTGAAGGTTGCTGGAAAACAGGCATAACAAATAAGGTTTCCGATTCAGGAACTTTAGGTATTGAGAAAAACCGAGAAGAGGACATGAAGCATTGTATTGAGAACTTACTTGCAATAGCATCACCCTCCTGTGTGTGACCATAACAATCTTTCCCTTAGGGAGAATGAAATGATCTTCATACGCATCTGATAAAGCAAACTTCCCGCGTACTTTAAATAGATCAACCTGCCCAAAAAATGAACCCGACTCCGCCAGTTGCAATATAACCTGGACAAGGGCAAAATGCAATTCAGGGTACAAATAGATGATCCAAATGAAGAATTAGCGGCTAACAAATTCAGAACTCAGAATCACAATATCCATGAAGCCCTATGATTCTAGATAACTTGCTCTGAAGATAAAGATGGCTCAACTGATCATGGCGAGTAACAATTTTAAGGACCCTATTAAACAAACACTTGCACCAAGAGATTCCATAACTGTCCATTCTACAATTAGCTACTTCCTCCCAACTCAACTTGTAGGTCCTAATGATTCCTAACTGCATGTAAAATCTAAAAGTTAGGTGATAAACAAAGATCATTAATTTAGCATAAGAACAATCATATATGAGTGATGCTGACAGAAGGTTCTCTTTCAAGAGTGATAAAGGATTGCCACATTCTAATAGAAGAAAAAAAGCTGTTTCATCATATCAGCTGCAGAATTACATGAACTAGAAAACGCCATCGTGATTTCACTCGGATCTCGATGTTATATAAAAAGAACTATGGAATTACCTGGCCTTGGGCCTTGTACTCATTGTATGGTCGAACCAAATTATCACCGCCAATAACACGGGGCAGTCTCCTTCGAAGAAGCTGCTCTTCTGATGTTATGGCAGATGCTATCTTCATCCTCATAGCATTGGCACCTTCAGTGGTTTTAGACAGAAGATCTAGAACCCCACTAACAGGTTGAGCAGCTGCACCGATTATTCCTTTTCCAACACCCTGGACAAATCCCTCTACCCCAGAAGATTTTGCACCTTCAAGTGGCTTTGTCAATATACCAGTCACCCCTCTGAATAGCCCCTTCGCAAGAGCTCCTCCTCCCTCTCTGATGACGTCACCAATGTCCTCTACCCCTTTGTTCTCCTTTGAGCACACAAATCAAATTAGTAGATAGAGAATATTTTAACACTGGAACAACTCAGCAACGTGTACAAATAGGAAAACCGTAGAAGCAACAAGGACAAAGTAGACCATGGTAGGGTTACTCTTACAGAATAAATTGGGCATTTGTTGTGGCTAAAGGACCATGACACGGAATGCTAATCACATGGTTAACGGACACTCACTCAATCCTACTAAAAGAATTGATCTTAAGAACACCGCATGGAGAATGTTAACAAACCTGTCTTTGACGACCCTGGATGAACTTCTTATCCATTGACAGAGCAGCAACACCTTTACTCATGTGTCCAAGGGCACTGCTTGCATTACCCAGTATATCAACACCAGAGAGCAGTTGAAGAGGCTGCCCAAGAACATCCTTCTTAACGTTTGTAATGGCTATGCTAATCATTGTACTCTGCCTCATACAAACGTTCTCATGGAATCTTTGATTCACTCTAATCTGTTAAGACCATATGAAAACAATCATCGTTGTCATTTCCAAATAATATTCAAATAGCAGTTGCGGGAATTCACGTGGACTCAAACTGAAATTTCAGTGTCTAAGCCCGAAACAAATTTATAAAAGGATAATATTTTCCCACCAAGAGCAAACAGGGACCGAGCATTACCATCTTTTATTTTTTTTATTTAATGAATTAGATTCCATCTTTCATGTGCACTGACAACGAAACCAAATAACTCAAATAAATGTACTCGGAACTTAAGGACAAATACAGAAAACTTTAATAGCTTACAGGCATATTTTCAGTGTTGCCCAAAGAAGTCATCAAGGATGACCAAAATCCAAGCACTCCTCTTGGTCGCTGACTCGGTGACATGGCCATTGATACTTTAAACCGAATTTCAGAAATGTTGAGAACGCTGTATTTTACATAGTTCAACGATCAGAGATAAGAAAAAAACTATGATAAAAGTATTTTGAACAAGGCCAATGCATACCCAATTTCAATGATAGGATCAACAGAAACAGCAGTTGTTTGTGTCTCATATAACCTACTGAAGTTGACTTGTTGCATCATCTCATGAAGGCGCCAAATGATAGGTTCGTGAATGTTTATCAAGAAGGCAGCACTATCAGGTCCCTATCAAGCAAGTAAAAAATATGTAATCAAATAACACAACAAACCGAGTGGAACATAGGACGTAGAGTGATTCGATATATGAAAGCTCACACTGAATCCAATGTACGGATAGACACAAAGATCAAGCGAGCCATTCGATTGCATTGTCATGGAAAACTTCAAGATATAGTCTGCCTCATCTCCAGTCTTTTGTGGCCTAAAAAGAACTGGCATGGGAGTTAATGGCAGCTGGTTGTCCACTTGTATTCCATGCATTCTTAGTTTGAACCTGAAAGTGAAAAGTGTAAGAAGTAGGCAAGGGTATGTAGCAACTACCGGGAATGGGGTAAAGTTAAAGATATCTCACCTACTGAACCCGGATCCCAAACCAGTGGAATATGCCAAAAGCAAATTTTGGACTGAAAAGTATAAAATCTCCTCAGGTGTATGATCAATGATGGAGATTCCAAGCTCCGCAAGCTCCAAGATAACATGGAATTCAGAGTCTGAGTTGGATGGAAACTGCTGTTGTTGATAATCATTTCCAGGTAGCTGTGATGATGAGGAAGGTCCTCTTATCCCTACAGCACCTGTAGGTTCACTTTCTGGCATCCAATCGCTAATCTTCACAACATTAACCTTGTCTTCCTTGAGAACGGTAACACGCAAGGCTCTAGAAGGTCCATCCTCTTCCTCAATGGGTTGGTGATCGGAAATTTCATCAATGTCAAATGTCAATGATTTCGATGAGTTAGACCCATCTGTGAAGAGTTCCAAAAACTTCTTTCTACCAAGATCTTCCCAAAAGAAGGAACTGGATGAATTGGGAAGGAGAAGTTTCCATGAATCACCAACACCACCCACTTGCCTAAACCGAATGGGCAAGAACATGGAACGATTTTCAATCCTGTTGGATTAATGATGAGGGGAAAAAAAGGAAACGTTAAACCAAGGAACCGTAAAACAAATTTATCACTGCGTAGTGGCTATGATGCAAGGCAACATTTCATTACAGGAGTAATGTACTCAACAAAATGAACCATATTCTACTTGGTGTGTGTACTATGATTTGCAGCAAACAACACCAAGAAAGCTCCAAAAGTAACAAAAGCAAAAGGTTTGCATATCTTGATAAGTTTAGTAAAACGAGAACAAAGTCCAAGGCAATTACATAACAATAACTGCTTTTCCAATCAACAAAATACATCTTTCATGAAAATGAAAGGTTTACAACGTAAGTTAATTTCTGCTGACCTGTAAGGACTGGATGACGAGTTTGGACGGAATATAACTTCATAACGGGATGTCTTTGTACCACTTCTTACTTGTATCTTTAGCTGCAGTTGATTATCCCCCACATCACTTTTTAAGGAGATACGCATTGTGCCTTCATTGTAAACACTAAATGGCATGCTCCACTGGTATCCATCAACACGCAGCTGCAGTCATAAGAAAACAAGTGAAAACCTGTACACACAGTTGGAAAATTGTAACTTCTTGAACACTACCAACCTTCAACATTTCAACTCTGGCAAAAGACTGCCATCTGAAAAGCTTTGGAGGATTCGTAGGATGAATCCATTCCACCAAGTGGGAATCACACTGCTGAAGACAGAGACTGGAACCAACCCTGTTGACAAACAAGGTGTGTGGCTGAAAGTGAACAACCTGCATGTCGCACAATCAACAGTTATCGGGTAAATTTGGAACTTCTCAACTCCGAAACACAGATCACACTTTTAGTTCCATAACTTCTAATCCCATGCCTTCTAATGCATTCTCCTTTATAACAGGAGACCAGGGGGCATACGTCCGAGGATAACCCAGCCCCCATGAATACCCAGTAAACCCACGGAAGCGGGCAAATCGGGCTTACAGCCCTGCCAGTAGCCATCAAAGGATTTAAATCTAATAATGTTGGCTATGGGAATTGAACATGAGAGCACACCGAGCCAACCCCCAAACCTGAAAACTTGAGCTACCCCGTGGTGGTTCACCTACTAAGGCATAGAAGACTAATATACAATGAAGGAAGTTTCTAGGACTGATAATTTCAATCCAATAATATACTCCTAAGTTTAATATACACTACATAACCTGAACAAAAAGAAGAAATGTACAAAGGAAACATATGCCTGCATCATGCAACCAATAAACACTCTGAATAATGAAGTCAAACCTTTGTTCTCTCCGAGGTCTTCAGTAGGGCTGAGAGCTTGTAGTATGATCCATCCGAACTAAAAGCTTTCACGTCAACTCTTTCCTGGAAAGTTTTTAAACAGCAGACATAATTGTGAAAGTCAGCAACAGAAGAATGCTGGAAATTTTCGGTGAAGCAGACAACTTTAGGTCCCAAATCACCTTCTTTTCCAGCTCAAGGAGAGATATCCCAGGACTGTAGGTATCAGAATGTCGAACAGCAACAGCCAGGCCAACTCGTGCAGATAGGAAGGCATCTTTCTGTGACGGGAATAGTGTTACCCCACTACGACCAGCAGGGTCCTGCAGTGAGAGCATACTTGGTATGGGGCTTGTGTCCTCAATTACCTCAACAACGTCGATATTTCTTTTCATGCTAGAGCGCCGCCTCTCCATCGTGGGCGCTTTTGAGGTATGTTTCACGGACTTTACTCTAGAAAGTGACTGGGAATCCACATCTGCGTTGTCAGTACCCTCAATTTCTACAACTCGATATGCCAATGGCAGAGATGAAGTATTTACAATCCAATATGGAACAAAGATCTTAATTGCTTTTGGAGCGGCAATGGTGCCTCCCATGTCTCGCTCAATGTTCACACGCAGCCTCCTATCATTCCAAGGGTACAGTAAAATCAAATACAATGTAAGAGGACATCATATATAATTTTGCACAAACAAATACATATTCTTAAAGCTAAGCTGGAAACCTATCACCAGGAAGCTGTCCGATAATACCTCAATCCTTTCAGATGAAATGAAATACGCACAGACAAGGATTTTATAAGTTGAAAAGCAATCAAGAACCTTGGTGAAAACCCATGTTACATAATGTTTAATACTACTTGTCAGTATCAGTATAGTCCATTATGTCACATAATGCTCCTGTATCTGAGACAAGATGTACAGCTAAGAAATTTCAGGTTCAAAACTAATTCCAGTACTTGATAAATTCATTTAACTGAAGCATGCAGACAGCTGTTAATGAGCCGAGCCAAGTCGAGCTTTTCCTTGTTCATGCTCGGCTCGTTTATAAACGAGCCGAGCTCAAGCCCAACTCGTTTATAAACGAGCCGAGTCGAGTCGAACACGAGCCAGCTCATTTATTAAATCTTGACACATCATTAAGATCGAAAGTTCGGCTCGAGCTCAACTCTAAGATAATTTATAATATAAACACCCTAATATTTATATGTCATATGTGATACAAGTTATTACCTAATGTTATGTCATATATGAGACGTATTTGCTTACATATACTCAATGTATTAAACACTATATGAGGTGATATATACAATTTAATAATTATATGCATCATTAACAAACCAACTCATAAAATATAGATTGATTTTCTCATAAGCTGTAGTCGAGTTGGCTCTCTAGTCACAATGTTGGGACATCTCATAAGCTCAAAACGAGACAGTTCATGAGTTGTATTAAACGAGCCACCTAATCGAGCTAGTTCACGAGCTTCACGAGCCGAACAAGGTAGAGCTCAAGCTCGGCTCGTTTATTAACGAGCTGAGCTTTTTTTTAATCGAACGAGCTTTTATCGAGTTCAAGACCGAGCCACTCACGAATAGCTCGACTCATTAACAGCCCTAAGCATACTATATAGCCAGATAGAAGACTCTGATATCATGTGTACCAATTTCTTATTTTTAATAAGCAGTTAAACTGTTACCAGAAAGTGTGACTATAAAAAAAACTGTTACCGGAAAGAAAGTGGAATCAGTTAAGCCAGGCTATGCAACTAATATTGTCCCAACGGTCTTTTACAAAAGAAGTGGAACAACAAACCTTTTACTTTGGTGGTGGACCATCCAGAATGATGAAGCACGATCACTTGAAGCAAGATCCAGAAGTAGGATAGGAGGCTGCAAACGGAAATAACAATCATTTTTTGTAATGAAGGACTAAAATATGCCTGTAACTTCCTAAGTTTTTCAGCTGCTAAAAAAAATCATCTTCCTCTACATACATATTTCCATTTATAACAAATATCATGCATATTTTCTCTGTTTAGTACCTTCTCTAGAACCCAACCACCGTGAACAAGCAACGTAAGATAGATTGGCTTATGGATATCAGCCAAATAGATATGTACACTCTCTCGGGAGGAAATTACACCATGCTGTTGCTCGGTATAACCACCTTTAGCCTTTTCCCAAATTGTGAATTCAGCTGAACATGATAGCTGATTTTCTAACTTCAACGGAGAGTTGATGGATATTGTCCAATCATAAACAGGTTTATTCAGCTCAGTGGTAAGAACCGAAGCATCAGCACCTACACTGAGCCAATATTGTTTGCTTCCAGTGCTAGGGCAGCAGCACAGGACATCTTTCTTCTCAAGCTTATTTAATCTAAAAGCAACAGGCATCTTACTTCCCTGCTTCAAAGTGCTTTGTCTAGAAAGAACAGCTTGATCAGTCAGGGTCTGATCCTTCCCAAGTCCATAGGAAGAACCAACACTCACTTCTTGGCCCCATGAATAAGCAGATTGAGAATGACCAACAGAGGGCCGAACTTGTAGACAGTGATCAGAATCTTTTGATGTACTATTCCATGGCAAAACAGCTGAAGATCCAGGATCTATGACGAAGTCACCATTACTCTTGTTGAATCTTGTCTGTACTTCTTGGCGTCTTCGAACCCATCGCCTTCTGCGCACAACATCGAGAGAGGATTTTGTGCGAGAAGTTGGAGGCCACTTGAAACTATGAAAGTCAAGTCCATATGCCCAGCCATCACCATCAACCACCTCAGATTTGTCAATGATCCAACTAGAAGCCCATTGCCATCCAGGTGGTAAAGGAGGTTCAAAGAAGTCCTTCAAATTCAAGAAACAATACAGTAAGCAGAATTAAGTAAAAACTAAAAAGAACCCAGTTATGTGAAGAGAACAGTTAGATGACAATATGCTCACCTTTGAAGAGTAGGAATAGTCCCTTGTGCTCCATCGACCAGGATCAGAGCTTTGAGAACTCTGCCACTTGCTTCCCCAACCAGAAGTTGGATGATAACGTTGATTCTCAAAAATCTCTTCTTCAAAAACAAGAGAATTCTGGGAACTGGACAAGGGATCATTACCATCAACCATAGACATAGGGCGCACTGATATATCCAGCTTAATATCTGAATCATTAACCACTGTTACAAGGCCCCTAAAAATCGCATGCTTCTTTCCATTTTTCATGATAACTTCCATGGCTATAAAGTCTTTCTGCAGTGACTTAGGAACCACTGACAAAGGCAGCAAGGAACGAATGCTCTCCCATGAACCACTGGAGTCAAGTCCAACCCAGAAACCAGTATCTCTATTGGTAGAATCCCCGGTTTCTTTCCCTCTCTGCATATTTGCCAGCAAACTTTTCTCAAAATATGTAGTTGATACCGACAAGCATCCAGAATCTTGCATGTCATCGTCCTTGTCATGCTGAGCCAACACATGGTTTGACAATAATAACAGCTGTATTAGCCATGACAGACACAAGTAGCTTACAAATAGAGTGCAACCGAAATAACAGTACAGTAAAGCCAAACAGCCGTTTCAGTAGAACAGTGGCTCACCTTTCTTCTCAGAGGACGTGAAACAATATTCTGAATGTTGTGAGGTTGATGCAGCATCCTTACTGATGCAACCTTCTTCAACAGAGCTGCTCCATGACCAATGGGCAATGAAAGTGCACCAACAACTTCACCTGCACCATCAATATGCGTCTTAAGGCCATCAGGTGGCTAGTTGGCGTTACAATGCACTATACAATAGTAGAAGCTACGAAAAAAAACTTCATAAAAATATGGGCAAGCAGATCTTGACATGCACACTTTCCAGCTCAAAATTGGTCGGATTGAACTTCATGCATAAAAAGCTCAAAATTTTAAGATTTATTGGCCAGAGAAACAAACCCTTCCCAGCTTTGGCAGCAAGATTTGTCACCTCCACTTCTAACCTAGCAAGTCCCTGCCACACGCAAACTCAAATTTAAGATAAGACAATATATAACAAATAAACTTGAGCATTATGTATTATGACAACATGAATCCAAGCGGAGGAAAAACAAACAAACTATCATACTGACACATAAACAACCAATATTAATACATTTTACGACTTTATGGCCAAGTGAATAATGGAAGTAAATGGAATCAGTATCTGGGACCCTGGATGGGAAGAGGTGACAACATGCATATAAAGACAGGAAAGTCCGGTTTTAAGGCACTGCTGCATCCGCCTGCCTAGCCATATGGAAAGGAGGCCCCTCCCCGTCAGATGCGTGCCGGAAATATAGTATAAGTACAACAGAACTTTTTTTATGATAAGGGAACGTTATTAGGCAGATACTCAAAGCTAACCATAGGCAAATATTACGAATAAGTATAACACAACATAAATCAACGCCAAGTTACTGATTATAGTCAAACAGATCAGCCTATAATTTCTTTCTTACTCTAATGTTTCAGTGTTCCAAAATTCCACAAAACTAAACTTTTTCAAAAGAAGTTAGTGGTAGCGGTTGGCGATTAGTGAGTTTCTACTAATCTATGGGCGAAATTATATATCCCAGTCGAAGTGCAAGATATAAAGCCACAGTATACCTTGCGAGGAATTTCAAATATGAATAATTCATTCCATTTAGCAGTGCCTATAGCAAGTTCATCGAGCAAGGGTTTCACACATTTAGTCCTTGCACTCTGAGGAAAAAACTTCTGTTGGTCTGTTGCCTGACTATCAACAAGAAGGCGTAGAGCACAAAACATGTTGTGGCTGTTACCATCATCAAGAATGGGCAGATCCTGCAAAATAAAACGCAAGAATGTCAAGGCTAATTTCGCAAGACAATAGTTACGGCCATCCAATAATTGGGGGGGAAACTAAATCAGCTGTGACCTTGGCTTCAAGAATGTGAACAGCAACATAACAACGTGCTTCCCTAGAGCCATCCACAGCCTTTAACCTATCAGAAAATCTAGGTGGTGGTACCCAGACAGAAAAACTATCATTATGTTGTAACTGGTCAACGACGTCTATATTGTCTTCAACCCTTTTCAGATACAAGTCACATCCGAGCTTATTTTCAACTATAACTGTCTGGAAATCATCCTCATCCAGAGCAGAAAAAGCTGCTTCCTCTCCCGGCTTATGCTGACTTCCAGAATCCTATGCAAAACCCAATATCTCAGTTTATAAAAATCAGTAGGAAACTTCCAACAACATAATCAAGTGAAAGCTACCATACCTCGTTTAGCTTCGTTGCTTTCTCGTCAAGTTCCAACTGCTTCCTCCAAGAAAAAAGGGTCCCCACAAAAGTCTCGAGATTTGCTGCGCTGATATTCATATTCAGGATACTGGTAGCAGCAATTCGTACTCTCTTTGCAAATTTTGATGGCGGGTGGACATTTGTATCATAAGTTTCAAACCTTGGAAACAAAAATGAATCACATTAGTGACGAATATGTTGTCAATACAACTGAAAGAAATAGAAAACCAAACAAAGATTTTACTTGAATATCCCATCAAATGGTTCCACGAGAGGTTCCCATGCTTCAAATTGAGTGTTGAAGGTTGATGCAGCAATGGACGAAATCAGTACAGCATTCATTGACTCCATACGACCATGTGTTGCCAGCTTAATATTGGTGATTGTGAAATCAAAAAGAGGTGTCATCTGGAAAGGTTAAAATTATGTTAAGACTACTGCTGAGGACTCAACCTTATTGATAAGACTATGATATTCTAGTTCGTAGAGTACAAACCATTCCACATAAGCTGTCCAAAACAGTGACAGAGAAACATTTTATCTTCATTTCAGCTGTCACATTCTCTCGTGACTTTGGCTTTGTAGAATCGCCAATTGAGAATGCCAATCTGCTTGAGGGCTTTTTAAGGTCGGAGCGAGCAAGAAAAGTGCAGGCCTATACAAACAAGACATGAAAAATCATTATAATCTATCCCTAAAAGGCACAAAAGAACAAAACAGCACCAATAGAATAATAGAGAGTATTTTAAGTATCTTAGGAATCCAATTTTAACCACGGCAAAGGAAATCATGCATGCAGCAGCCATGGGATAGTATGTCAGGAATTCAATATCAAGAATCACAAATGGTTTGGCTTGACCTGGTTTTCCACTCTCCAAATGCTCCAGCACTGAGACGCCTTTGAGCTTGAAGATCTCGAAACAGGCACTTCAATAATATTTGCTTGGTTAACAAGATCCATCCTTGGACAGCAAAATGAACTTGCAGTTGGTGGTTCATCAGTACGTGTGACTATGCATCCCAGTGCAGCATAACCAGGAGGAGCAATTGGGAACCAGAAGAAGACTTCATCTATCCCTTTCCCCATAATGTGAGCAACTTTAGTGAATTGCACAGGTTTCGAGGCAAACTCAGGACTGTCAGCCTTAAAAATTATGCCCAAAGCAGGTGGTTCCAAGCTGGAAAAAGGAAAATGCCACCTTTGGTTAGCAAAAACATAAATTAGACAAAAGTATGACATCAACAGACCACATGCATGAAAAGTACATATAAAAATGTCTAACCCTTCAGCAATGCAATCCCCTAAAACAGCATAACCAGGACGTGCAATAGGCCGCCATATAGAGACTGCTCGCCGGATATCACTACCTCTGTCCCACCATATCCTCTCAAAGTTAGGCGTTGACATGTAGCAATTTGTTGCTTTTGATACTGATCTGATAACATCCCACCCAGATGAATTCTCACCATCATTTCCAGGTTTCTTTAATTCCTTAGAGTCGTCACCATTTGTATCCAGTATATTGTCTTTTGGCAAAGGATGATTAACATAGTTCCATTGAAGAAGATGGCTGAGGTCACAACTGCTATCTCTGGGAGGGTATTCACTTGAAGGATGGGCATAAAATGAAGCAATCACATTGTCCATACGCCAGATACTGAACCCAGACAAAGAACTAGGTTGTGGGGGAGCACAAAGTAAGCATTCTGCATATGTTGTAGATGCTGCAAGGTCAGAGCGTAGGCAATAAACAATGTGGTTAGGTGGCGGTTGCCTTCCTACATGTGCTACACAACCCAAAGCTGCATAGCCTGGTGGTGCAACAGGCATCCATATAGAACAATCAGAATCCAACTCAGAACTCCCTGCACACTCAAATCCTTGAATTTCAGATAGCAAAGCAATAAGATTAAATCCAATTGGCTTCCGCACACGTCCATATGAGTTATTCACAGCCATCACTGCAACTGAGGGGGGAATTGGCCTGACATAAAAAAAAAATGAGCATATACATTGTCAGAGCACAGCATATGACTAGACTATAGCACCACAAGAAAACTAAAGATTCTAACAAAGATAGCAATAGTATGCCATGAGCAAAAAAGAGAAATGCATATAGCAGGGCAAGGCAAAGAGATATGAGGATGTGACCGCAAAACATGAGCGTAAACGCAGCAGAATCTTTCAAGAGAATCAGAAAGTAAGTTCAAGCAATTCAACAACTTGGTGTACCGACTAACAAGTCAATTTAAGTAACTCCTTCCATCTATACTGAGAAGACAAGCTGATCAATATGTGGATCCAAAAGCTGACATCAGTGGATACTCCAAAACAATTTAAAAAAAAAAAAAAACAGCAAGATTAAACTTACCTTGAAGTCACACAATCTCCCAGTATAACATAATTTGCTGGAGCTCGAGGTCTCCAAAAGGTTAGCTTGTTACGAGGTCCATTTTCTGCATATGTACCCAGCCATACATTAGGCAAGTCTCGCATATCGGACAGCACAATGGAGATATATAAAGAATCAACAAGATTAAGAAAAAAAAAACCTTTAGGAGAGACCCAAATTCGGTCAAAGTTGGTACAAGGAGCAAGAGGAATTGCATTTCCAAATTGCAAGGCCGCAGTTGCTTGATTCTGCAGGTTAAGCAAAAGGGAAATGGTACTCAAAGAAAGGTGGAAGCATACATCTGTTGATATCAAAGATATATTTGTTTTATCCTTAATAGAAGTATATCCTCCTGAAATATCCACTGGATCCAGAATCATCAGCCCGGATCCAGCCTCCACCGAAAGATCTTTCACTGCAGCACGAATCCATGTATCATTTTCTTTCGATGCATACCTATATAACAAATGAGTATACATCAGCAAATCTGCACCTCGCGGCTATGTAGCCCACTTCATCTCTTTACTTCTTACAATTAGAGTAACCTAATCAGAGTGAACAGTAGTATTTCCAGGCTATGCAAGGAAATTGTAAATAGAAGAAGCCTTACATGAAGCTCAAATCCATTTTTGCACGTAGAAGCTTTTCACCATAAGAAGAATCATCAAGTGAAGATTTTGTGCTGTCATAGAATGTCAGCTCAGGAGAAACAACCTAAACATTACCAAAAATGGACAGAAGCAGTGAGGGACATATACATAGGGAGAAGCCCAAACACATTGATCATAAATACAGAACAAACAGCTAAGGAAGAGTAAGAAGTGCATTGACACGATTACTTATCATTCCCAGAATTCCACAGAGAAACAGATTCTACGTAGAGAAAGTTCTAGGTATATTGAAAGAATTTATATTACTAAGGTGATATTTTACGCTGGGACCTCAACCTTGGGCTACTAGAGACCGTAACTTGCCAAGAATCACGGTCGAAAAGCAAAGGTACATACATATGCACACACACAAATACAACTAGCTGATTTACAGGAGGAACCAATGTGCCCAACAATCAGTAAAAACAGTTTTATCCGTTTATAGAAACTGAATAATGGAGGAATGCACCCACTTAGCTCACTAATAAATGAAAATGGAACTCCATTTACATTTGTCACATTTACATAATACAATGGAATGAACTTTGGTGATTCTAAAAAAATTTAAGTGGTTCTTTTTCTAGAAAACATGAAGTAGGAAGAGAGAGAAAGCGGCAAAGAAATGTAATGGGCAATTAAAAAATTTATCCAATTAAAGTGGGACCCGTCAAGGCCATTTCCATTTAGAGTGCGTCTAGATTTAATTGATTTTATCTGTCTAAATTGCATGCAATAATGTGAGATATATTTGCAAAACATTGTTTTGTTCAATGCATTTGTGTTGAAATTGTGTCAGAAAGTAAAAAGGGACACGTGAGACCCAATACTATAGAGGAAATTTCCAAACACTCCCCACCCTCAAGTAATTGAATTGCATCATTTGTATGCAATGGAGATTGAATGTGCAATTGTAGCTGCACTCATATACATCAAAATCGTCAACGAAAAAAGATGCATTTGTTCCATTGCATGCAATAGCAAATTTCACCCTTACATTTACATCCAACCAAATGATTTCCTAACCAATTTCTACCTATTTCATTTCCCAACTGTTATTTATTTCAAACAACAGAATAAGAAATATCAGAATAAGTCTTTGTCCATCCCAAACAGGCTGCAAAAAAGTACATCCAGGGAATAACCAGGGGAAACCAAAAAAATTACCTGAGCTTCAAAAGTAACACTTGGTAGAACATCTGAGTCAATTTGGGAGTTGAAACTGTTTGATGCACCAGATCTTTCATGCATATAATCCAGGAGCCTCTCTTCAGAAGAAGAGTTCTCTATCAACGAAATATCCACACCGTCTTCTACGGAGATCGAGTAGCTGGCATCGTTACTCAGGTGTGTGTATTTCGTCAAAAGGAAACCATTCTGGTGGATGAAATAGTATAAGAAAGCAGCTAAAGGACCAAACCCCCCAATCAAATTGACAGGAAATAAAGATAAGATGTTCCAGTGAACGGTAAGAGCAACTAAGTTGCACAGCCGTGTGTTTTGAAGACAGCCAAATCTTTAGGCTACCAAATGTCCATAAATCTAGTGAACAATAAGGCTAACAACAAGAAGCCACTATAAAGTAGCTGGGCAGTATCCCCCTGCACCGTCCAAAGTGGATTTTTCTATCAGGGTTCAGTAGACAACTATTCCCCTAGGATAACCCTTCGGGTTTGGCTTAGTGGTAAAGGTGATTAACAAGCACGATTACTACATAGAAAAGCATGACAATGTAACTGAATGAGAGAGAAGGTACCTCAATTTTTATATTAACGAAACGCAACCGTTTACCACGTCCAATAATAATGATTGGTTGAAGAGGCAAAGTATCAGCTTCTTTCAGACAGCTCTGTTCGCTTAATATTATAGTATTACCACAGCCATCATAAGTATACTCATCAACTCCCTTCGAATCTGCAACTAGCCGTCTATTAGGAGACAAATGCACTACATCTTCACTTTGCTTATAAACGGGGTCACATAGCACTATGTAATTGCTCTTGTAAATGATATCCTTCTTTGGGTCCAATGACTCCTCCCTTCCAGTAATTTGGCCAAGTGATGGCACAAAAAATTCACCCACAGCTAGAAGGAAATCCGGTACAACAAGAATACGAGGCTGTTGAATGCGGAGCACAAATGACTGGGAAGAAGGTCGCCATCTATAATCCATCAAGAACATTGTTGAATTTATTACATCCACCTCGAGGACAGCAGCAGAACTCACCCTGCGAAAACTGCCCTTGTTTAGCGGATACGGTAGACTTCCACAAGAAGCTTGTTTACTAGCATCAGCTGAGGATCCAAGCATTAAGCGCATTTCAGGTTTCGTCCCAGGACGAATGTCTACAATAGAAAATTTGGGGATAGTGACATAAAGATCCGTTTCAGACAATGAAGTAATCCTGTATGATACCCAAAGGCCTTCAAGCTGAAAGACCACAAAAAGAAAATATATTAAGCCATGACATAAAACACCTTGTCAAAACTGAAAATTTGCAGACTTGCAGAGAATTCATATTCAGAACAGAATAACTTACGGCAAGATGAGCTAAAGGTGACTCATGAACACCATTACACAACTCCAGTAGAGCATAATTTATTTCTACAGCCATTATGCTAACACTGTGCGCAAGAAGCATTTGACTATTCATGTTGACCTTATCCACCAACAGTTGCATTGGATCTTTGGAATCAGACTTGCTACCACGAAAGATTGGAGGAAGAGATGGTTCTTCATTCAAATTCATGGATACGCAATCCAGAATCACTTTATATTCCTTATCTGACATGACACCATGCAGAAACCCCACCTGGCCAATTCAAGAGCAATGGTGTAAGAAGCCACGAGTTTCATAATACCAAAACGTAATGAAAAGCTCGGGTCCAATTGAGTCTCCCTCAAATGCCAATCTTCACAAAAGCATACAAAAGGAGGAACAGCAAAAACCCAATTATATCAACCATAAATCTCACCCTAACTTCAAGTGCAAAGGTTGGCACTTTTCTGAATACATCCCGCAAGCTGCGCCTGACATAAATGTCCAGCCCTTGGCCTTCTCGCACCATAGGCTTTCCTAAACAACCATCAATCCCTACAGACATATTGATGCCAAGAATCTGCAAAGACAACATAAGTTAAAGAACGGGAATTCAGAGGACAAACTCAATCACTCGTACAGCTATACCTCGGCATGAAGTACATCCATGTGAACAGCCGATGGATCTTTCACTGGACAACCATGCCAACTGAGTTCATTTGACACCTTTAGCTGGCCCAGGTCAAGTTGAATGAAACTGCAACAATGACGATGCCAAAATATTAGCATTTTGCAACTACAGCAAAAGGCAAACAGACAACATTCATGCAAGAAAAGTGAATTGGGGCTTGCATTCGTTCATTTAGTACAACTGAATCTTCCAGTTCAGAAACAGCATAAACGCGAAAATTTATTTTCACTGGAAGTCTCTAGAGATAATACGATGGATTACTATCAACATTTTTTTCTTTTTCCAATAACAAGTTAGCTGATGGAAAATCAGTTCCGGAATTTACCCTTTTCTCTTAAAGAGAAGAAAACGGATAAAGCCTTTCAAAGCATATTATATAGATAACTAACTTATTATATCTTTGACATTCATTTTCTTCGTCGTAAACAAAAAGATTGGGTACATACTCTTTGCTTGTTGTATTTCTAGGAACAATGATAATAGGAGTGTCAAGTGAGAGGTCGAGCTTTAGTGCAGTAGCCCCATCAATCTCATATTTCTGAATAAGCCACTCAAAGCCCCCAACTTTATCTACAAGTTTAATTGCTTCTTCTGTCTGAGGAGTGGCAAGTTGCACAAAGTAGGCAGTTATCTGTGAAGACAAGACCATTGCAGTTAGCATATTTCCAACACAAACATATTTTCTTGGGCCAAAACATCATGATGGGTTTTACTGCTTCCATTAGAGTTTTTAATGGGCTCTTAAGAAATAATTTCTTGAATTAGTCATGGTCAACTAACCGTGGATGTCGAAAAGTTGGCTTATATTTACATTACTAATTTTCATCTTACATCCACTAACTGTACTCGCAAAATAGGACATGTCAACAAAGATGCAAAACAACTACCCCACTCAGCTAATTACAAATAGCATTCAACATACCTCACGGACAAACCTGTACAGGAAAACTATGCGCACAGCAGAAAGTCGGCCACTCAAGCTGTAATCATATCCTTCATAGTCATCATCCTCGGCGCTATAAGAACTAAATTTGAACTGGAAAAGAAACACAAACATTAAAACAGTCAGATATTTCTCGAATTTTGTAGCATGCAGCTCACAATAAGACGAAGTAGGCACCTTGATAAGAGATTCAATTCCTGGATTACGAATATCACAAAGCCAACTCCAACAGTGATCCGTTCCAAGAGACATGTCACAAAGCTTAAAATTTCCTAATGTGCCTTCAATAGAGAGAGAACTTGGGTGGACCTGTAAAGTTTATATAAGACAACTCTACGGTAAATAAAGAATTTCAAACTTAAAATCCCTCAGCAATTAGACAAACTCTAAGCGGGACTCACCTTGAGATCGAAAAGGAAACTCTCTTGAATTAACATTGCCAGCTGAGAGCCATCCTCCTTGTTGAGAATCACAGTAACATTGTCAATGTTCATGTTTAGATCAAATACAACACGATTTTTACCATAACCCAGGAGCCCTTTAACACGACCAGTGTCTTCAGTCTTTTCTTTACTTTTTGACTTGTCATCTACACTCTCCACCACATTCTCACTACTCTCCGCGGAACCCACATTACCCAAATCAATGCCAAAACCAATTAAGGCAACGAGAGTTGGTCTGTTGCAGAAGAACTCTAGCTTGGACATACGGATGCTCATCTGAGAATTTAAGAAAACAGATTTAGTTAAGCATTGAAAATATGGACATCAACAAGGAAAATAAATGAAACCAACTTAGCTACCTGTGTATCGATTCCCTCATAATCTGGTGAAGCTGAATTCCTTGTGGAAAAGACAACAGAAACAAAGTCTACATGATCATCCGCCTGTGCCTCATAAAATATTTCAGATGAAATGCTCTTCCTTTGCATCGCATTTTCATCAGCAGAGTCAAATTCAGAAGAGACAGAGTTAGACATATCCAATCTCGGTGAATAGATGGGATCAGAAAGATTTAAAAAGTCTGGCAAGGCATCCGTGAATGTATCATTGTCATCATATCCAACTACAGACATCTCTCTCCCCTGAGGCTCAGGAGTGCGAGGGGATGCAAGCGGCTTATCATTCTTAACCACAGAGCAAACCAAGTACTGCGGCTTTGTAGATGGATAACATTGAAGCTCATCTCTAATTTTCAACGAATGAAGCTTCATTTTGACAGTCAAGTCGCCTAATGAATGGATCAGGTACACCTGTAATTGCATGTGCAAGACCAGAAGATACACATGATAAGTGTCTCTATCCAAAGCATGATATGCAGCAATTCCAGGGAGTTCTCTCAATCCCAAGGAAGTTAAGGAACTGATCGTTAAACTGCCAAAGCAGACAAGAGTAGATGTGCACTGATACAAACCGAAATTATTTAATTGCCAGATAGCAAAACGCTACTCTTCATACATACTAATTAAAAATATTCATTCCAGCCATCAAATACTCAAGATGACAGTAACTGGAACAAATTTATTTAAAAAATCGGATAAATAATTCATGGAAAATAGTGCAACACGGAATCATATGTTCAAAATAAGACTATGAAGAAATGCAAATAAAAGAAGAGATTACCTTTCCCCCACTTGCAAGAACCTCGGCAATCAAAGTTTCTTCCGCTTGTTTGTCGACTTCATCTCCTGGCTGTAAGGATATAGACAAGAGTGAACTACATGATGCAGAATCTGCACAAGCCTCCAATGCAGTAAAGCAAATGTACAAGTGGGAATATCATTCATAAAAGCATTTCATAATCTGCGAATCAGTAAAACGAACTCTTGCATGCTGACATGCATTGTGGATTCTGATATCAGTAAGCTGAGAGTTAAGCAAGCTCTTCCAGGGAAAATTTAACACTCATGTCCTCTTCAACAATTTCTTTTCATTAGTAGAATGCATGAACGTCTATTACTACTCCATGGGATAATTTCATGCCCAAGTTCAAAAAGAATACAACCAACCTTTCCGTATATACAGATCTTTGTCTCCAACAGTGCACCATTGACAACAAGATCAGCGGATCGTGTATTTGGGGTAAGAGGCTCACTGAATTCTGCCTCTCCGAGTAGACTTAGTAATGGAGGGGCCTTCATGAAGAACAAAAGTAGATTTTTTAGATAAAAACCAATCTGGCAAAATGCCATCATTTCCAATAAGAGAAAAACAAAAAGAACATAGTCGTTTCCCTACAGAAGCTTGGTATATAGTTTGTGTGAGTCCTTTCAACCAAGTAACTTTCTCATCCTCATCTGAAAATGCCAAAATCCAGGTACTAGAAGATTCCAGTGCCTGGGACAAACAGGAAGGATTAAGTCCATAAATTGCGAATACCGTTGAAATATAATCACCAACAGATTTATAAGTGTAATGATAGTGAGCATTATAAAACAAGAACATGCAACAGAACGGCCCACTACTTCATCTAAAACAAGAACAGGTCTAATACATTTCCAGTTTAGGGCTAAAATACTTCAAAGATAGCCAAAATTATTGCCATTCCATCCGGAATTAAAAATCACTCCACTCCAGCACCACGAAATCCAATCCACATCGCCATGCTACACTAGATTCGACTCCGAAGAATACTGGTTGCTAATAACTGACAGGGATATCTACTTACTGGAAGAGCAACATTAGTTATCAGTTACAAGAAATCATGTTCATTCGCTAATGTTGTGAGTTGTGATAATAGCTATTTGACCTTTAGACCTGTTGCAGACAGAGAGTTGTCCTGTGATTCCATGGAACACATAAAATAGTAAAATGCAGTCCAACAGTGGAAAGACGAAGGATGAACATAAATAATATTTCAAGAAGAACAAATCAGAGTACAAGATATCACTGTGTGTCCTTATGAAGAAAATAAAACTATACTTTTCAAACCATACTACGGTAACTAGGGAATGTATGAGGAACTGAGCAAACGCCAGGATTGGATTACAGCTGCTTAAAAGAAAGAAGTCAAGATTCCTTCCTTGATATTTACAATAGAAATCAGTTTCTAATATAGTCACAGGGTTCATAACTATTATAGTTTGAGAGCGTTGGAATGTATAGTCTGAACAACAAATCTTCACTATCGTAGTTTACACACTTTACCTTCATCAAATACCATGATATGTTAAATTAACCACTGCTCAGTTAATGAACAAGTTTTCGTCAAGTTGACGTCAAATCACCTAGTATGTTTTTACCTTCTGAGAAATCTGATCACGGAGTATACCGTCAGGAATCATTTATCCGAAAAGCTCATTTTTATAAACCAAAGCAGGGTGTATTGACAACGTGAAACAAGGATTATATCGTGCATTACATGGATAATTGAGAACACTGTGCATAAGAGGCAGATCAAGAAAAGCACAAGTTACCTGCTGGATGTCCATTCCCCTCAAGCTCACAGCAATGCAAAATGGTGAACCACCAACACTTGACGGAGGTACCTCATTTACCTGCCTTCCAGCCATGCTACAGAAAGTAAAACATTGTGAGGAGTACAATAGCACGTTGAGCTGCAAGATACAAGGAAGAAGAATATCCAAATTTGACGCAAAGAAAAGGGCAGATGGTAACAAAAATGAAAGATGGACACAACCAATGAACAAAGGGGAAGAGGCAAACCTCAAGTATCGCTGGTGGCTTTGGGAATCGTGAGATTCAGTGACATAAAGATATAATCCAGACAACACAAGAAAACATTGCTGCCACGTGGCAATAGAATTGCCAATCCCCTGATCAGCGAATTTGACAGAAGAGTTATATACCACAAGCATTACTCCCCAAAAAATACAAATCTATGTTTGTGTGTGTGAACTCATTCCACAATTAAAGATACAAGGACATACCTTCCAGACCAGTATTCGTGCATCAGTAGCAATGTCTGCAGAATTCCAAGCAGAAATTTGCTGAACATTGTTGACAGTAGATTGCTCACAGCTCTCCACTGTATTAGATACTATGTTCAACAACTCCATTAGTCTATGATATCTTGCTGGAGAAAAGTGAATGCTCAGATTCGGAACTTGAACAGAGATCCGTGTTGATGGGTACCGTGGGTGTGGCACTTTGATCTTTAACAGGAAGATTTATGAGCATCAGTAAAACAGTGTGTGTTTCAGAACTGTCACTACCAGAGAGATCGAACTCATATGTGATCAACTTCAAAACGAGGGCAGGAAATGGAACAATACAAATAACAAAACCAGGTTGCTCATCAAATGATTTCTCTCCTAATTGATACTAGTATCCGATCACATATTTAATGATGAAAATGCAATGAGAAAAGGAGTTACATGTCATACCTGATCAACAATCACAACCATACCGCATCTATCAATCATTGAATAGAAGTCACCCTCCTCAGAATCAGTAAAAAAAGCAGCAATATCTCTTCCAGATATGTGAAAGCGAGAATATAGGCTCTGCTTGTGTTCATCAGACTGATTTTCCTGCATCGTTATAGGGAAATTATTTAAGCAACCAACTATAGAAACAGCAACTAAGAGCTACTGTACAATAATACTGAAGCCTACCATGGTGTGTAATGTGAAGTGGCCAAAGTCCAGAAGAAAGTATGTATCACATGTGGAAGACCCAACAGCCTTTATAGGTACTCTAACTTTTGGAGCATCCAAATCAATATCAAAGGCAAACCTAGCCAACAAAGAAAATAATACAAGTCAATAAGACAATTAGACAAATAACCAATTTACGGGAATGGAAGTATTGCACAGAAGAAAACAGGTGGAAAACAAAAATGCCGGGGGAGATTCAAGTCCCGATGGAACTCTGAATCATTTAAAAATTCCATTGCCATTCAAGAACGTGGCTCAATTGCTCATGTAATGAGCAATAAGGAAAAAACCCAACCGCATAAGCAATAAGAAGAAAATGAAAATAGAGAAAACAAGAATGAAAGGAACTGAACGGGAATGAACCTGCATTGTTCTTCCAGTGCTGTTTGGAATTGCTCCTGTGCCCTACGAGTTACTTTCTCAATTTTCATCTGCATTTGGAATGAGAGATCACATCAGCTTCAAGAGCACATGGCATTAGAGTTAATATCCCATCTGTACCTGCAATGCATTTGCCGTTTCCAGGGCTACTGTGGGGCTAACGGCATTACTCCTCTTCATAAATTCAAAAACACGATCAAGACTTTCCATTAAAACCTGCACCAAAAGTGTATCGACATTTTTCAGACGAAAAAAGAAGGTCAAAGGAAGGAAATTATTAAGTATGTGGAAGAAAGCAATAGTCGTAACATACAAAAGTATGATATATTAGTCAAATGGCGATCAGTAGCTCAACGATTGAGGCAATCCAATCAGTTGATGGAATCATGATTCACTAAAGCCTCTATTTCTATATACTTCCCAAAAGAAATGGCTATAAGAGAAAAATATGCAAGTTTCCAAAACCCAGTGTCATAATTGCCACTTCTACATACACATTTCAAAACTAAGCATACAACAATGAAGCAGGCATGCTAAGGACTTTTACAATGTCCAGCTCAACAAAGACAACAATAACCTTTTAGAACTGCCAGAAGCATCAACTGTTATTTAACAGCATTTCTCAGATGATAAATTTTGGCAACAAGTGCACATAATGATCCCACGGCAGTAATCTGAAAAGCTAAGTACTCACTGTGGCATGACAAGGGGATATGGTGGCTGATAACCTCCAGTCAATATTCTCCCCCACTGGTGAGTGTACAAAACTGGCAGCTAATGCATTCTCCTTCTGCTCACTGGAAACACTCTGCAGGGGAGAGAAAACGACAGCCCAAGTCTTGGTAAAAACAAGACATAAATCCATAAAATACATCACATCTAGCACAAATAAAAAGAAACCTACCAAGAATAATAGACGAAAATTAAACCAGGGGACAATGAGGGTCATCAGCATAGACAAATCACAAATCAGAAGGAAACAAACCTGAGCCAGTGAACCTTCTGGTGCAGATACACCATAAAACTTCAGTAATACATCACAGTGCATACTCCGGCTTCTGAGTTTTGTTGACACGTGCAGACGCTCAAACCTTCCGCACACAATCTCAATCCCATTCATATCAATGATCCTGGCAGCAGCTTGCTCAACAGATACCGTTAGCAAATATTTGATCATATTCTGCATGTCTTTCCCCAAGTGTGGTTTCAACTCCTCATCTGGCTGGAAACTAAGCAGATTGTTAATAGCTTGCCATTCTTCTTTTGTGAGACTTTCTTCCCCAAACTGTGCTCCCTCAGATACATCTAGCTCAGATGCATCATCAGCATTTGTGCGCCTGAGCCAGTGCGTATAATTCATTAATAAAAGTAACACAAGATAATTGCAGATATATTAGATAAAGTGAAGCCCTCGATCAAAACCATCTCCTACAAATTGATAATCCAGAAAAGGAAATCAGAACTTTTATCACTAACCAGCCAAATGAAAACCAACTATTCTTTTTCTGCCTCCTCTGTTCAGCAGCTTCCTTTGTTTTAGCAGTCTCAACTTTGGCATGTGCAAGTAACCTAAAATAAGCCAACACAAACAAGAACGTCAAAACACGGGGGAAATCACTCTGTTTCACATTATAAACATTCAACCCACTACTGAAGATCAACAATCACTACGGCATCTAGGACCTGTATGCTTAATGCAACTTCCTTGTACAAGGCGTAAGGCATTACAGCTTTATGATCAGCAATGTGGTCCAAACATTATCTCAAAGATTGACAAAGAAATTAAAGTGAACCAATCAAGAAGTCGAACAAAAATGGAGCTAGGTTGCAAGAGTCAGCTACCATTGAGCAGTGAGTCAAAGTTGACTTCAAATGGTCAAAGGGGGTCATACTTCAACAAAAGTTTCCAGAAAGTAGGAAAATGCTAACCACCAACATCATGATCATCAACAGTGAACCAAACTTTGCACCCAGGTGAGGTGGTCACACAGATCTTACTCTTCAACAAACAGTTCCAACAAGGAACAATGTGTCATTTCCAATGATATGAACCAGTGATGCCCTCATATTAACCACCACTCCTCGCTTGAGCACAAGGTTATGAATAAACATATTTAGCATTAATACACCATAAAACCAGCTGACATCCGTGAAGAACATTTTTCATACGACCCAACTTTACATTCATTTAGTTCCAACTGTAGCAGAATAAGTTAAGTCATGCACACGTCATCTTAAAAGTGATAACTTGACTTAAATTCTTACAGGAGGATCATACACTTTCTTCAGCAAATCAAGGAAAATAGCATAGAAGCAAGCCTCATACCTCCACAAGAGAATAACTTTGGGATCGAGATCTTTCTCTATTTCTCTAAGTTCTGTCATATGGGTATCAGAAGATTGTTGCAGTGAACCAGCATACAACTGTACATAACGGTTACGACGCTGACAGAGATGTCGGATTCGGTCCCATGACAGTCGATAGCTTAAACAGAGAAAGTCATCAAATCAGTTGCAACCACAAAATTAAGTTAACCATGATAAAACATACACAAGTAACAAAACTGGTTCACAGAAAGTAAATGCAATCCATTTAAGATTATAAATATCTACATAGGATCTTCCGATTCATCAAGCACGGAAATGTTCCACATAACAGCGACTTCATACCACATTTTCTTCTGCTGCAAGATAGCCTGAGCAGCATAGCGCCACCAAAGACAAGGATCTTCTGATACAGGCACCTCCGGTCTCAGATGAGAAATTTCGACGTATGTCTTGTATCTCGAAACAACCTCCAAAAGTTTTATCCAGTCGTGATATTGCAGCTGTAAGAAAACCCATTGCAAAGTTATTGAAGCATTATCAAGTTGATGGTCAGCCAACAAAAATAGTCAAAGTACAACAAAACTGTAAAATAAGAATTTAAAACATTAACAAAAAAAATTATACTGTTTCATGGAATTTAAAAGTGTATTAGAAAGTAAGTCGTCGCAAATGTGAGACAATGAGAATCTCAGATAGTTCCACACCTCTGTCATTGTTAAGGAGACATCTGTCAACACAAGAGAAGCCTTCTCAAATGGAACCTCCGGATTGATTCTCTCTTGCTTCCCAAGACGATGATACTTAAGGACGCCATTAATAGGTGACACCAAGTAGTTACGCCCAGTAGCCCATTTTGAAACTGGTCCTTTACTGGCAGCAGGTTTGTTTATGCCATCTTCAAATATCTTAAAGGGAGAGGGAGAGAACAAAGAAGATTATAATTAATTTCACATTCACTACTAACAGAGGGCAATATGAGGATTAATACCACTTGACTACCAACCTCTACCCACTCTTTTGGAGTGAGACTCTCCCAAGCCTTGTTAATCTTCCAGGGAAGACTATCAGAATTATGATACATAGCAAGCCTCTCGAGCTGCAAAGACTGTTACATAAACAACAGATGGATCAGAAGAAACCATGTACGTTATTAATAGCATGCCCTACAAAAGCTTCATCCTGTAAACTGATGACATAAGTACCGAAATACCTGCATTACGAGACTCACGCTCATAATCATCCAAAACCTTTCAGAAAATCAAAAAGAACGTGGAAGCAGTAGCCACTCAATGGAGCATATGTACTAGTATACTCATGACTAGAGTTTTACAAGTGTGATCCAAAAACCTAGGTAGATATGGAGATAAAGCATGCTTTCTCAATGCAAAAGATATATAAATGTCATTCCAGAACCTTTACTTTGACTAAGCATCGAACCTACGTTTGCATGAAAACCACGAAACTGTCTCAACTCCTGAAGCTGCAAGCTACAAAAGCTTTGCTCCTTGGGAGTTTACATGCATCCCTTTCGGCACAAACAGCACGGAAGGGCTTTCATTCACATATTCGCAAGAACAGCACCATAAAGAAGAAGAAGAAAAACAAAATTAAAAGATAAACCAAGCTACCTTACGCAGCTTATCCAAAGCACCGCTTGCATCAAATGTTTCATTTCCCTCTTCATCAGTTGTGACAGCAGCCAGCTTGGCCAATGTGACCCCACAGGAAAACGGATGCCCAGGATTACTGCAAGTTAAAATAGATGTGAACCAGGATAATGAGCTGAAGGAAAGAAATGGAAGGAAAGTCTTCCCTAAAGAAGCAAAAGCGAAGACATAGTCAGCTCTTTCACCAACTACCTACCAGAGACGAGAACTTTCCAGAAAAGGGAAAAAAGAACACAAGTAAAACACAAACAAGGGCTGCCAACCTCGATGAATCCTCATATCTGACATGTACATTGCTGATTGAAATTTTAAGATTCCCAATAACAGTTGAAATCAGGGAACCGAGCCATGAGTTTCCAGGAGGAGGCTGCAAAAAGATCAGAGATCACCACAAGATTGAGCTGCCAAGCCACACCAATTCCTTCCATAGTTACACAGAGAGGTGAAAGAAATGTTGTATAGTTCACTTCGGCCAAGAGTATAGGCACAAATCTCACGGACTCACGGTATTTAATGCTGAAACATGAATGCATAAAACAATCAGGTAATAACACTATTGGATCCCTAAAAATATGTGGGGTCTTAAAACCAATTATGAACCTTCAAATTCTAGCTTCAGCAAAAAGAAAAAGGTGAAGGAACTCTCTCATTAACATAGCTAACAAACACAAGTAATTAGGCACATATCTGAAATCAAAATTCGTTCACTCCTTTTCTATTGAACTCGCATATATGGGTTCTTTCCATATAGGTGAGAATCTAGAACCTAACATTTGTTGGATATTTCCATCCCTACCAAAAGGCCAGCCTCTTTGGGGTTTTAAAAATATTTGGCTTTTGTTCCAGCCTTAGAAACAGCAGCCACAGTTCAGAACATATAATAAAATTGGTTCAAGCTGGTGCTTTACCATCACAGTACGTTGAGCTACACAAGCAAGAGAGCAAAAAAGTATGTGAGGCAAAAGCATAGGACTAGTCATGCTTGTGCACATGAGAAACGACGAAGTTGAAGACCCTTGCAGAATAATCAACATAGAAAAATGCTATACTGTCAAATTATGAAAACCATTGAATATGAACTCAGAGTGAAGCAAAGGACATACACTTCCCGGCTTTGACCGGGAAATTCCTTCAAGAGTGGCTGATTCTGCGTCCTGCAGAAACAGAAAGGTGCACAAAGTTCACATCATCAGAAAACAAAGCGTCAAGACTCTTTTCCAGAGTGAAATAAGCATGATAAATGAAGAAAACATGAAGAAAACGCAAAATGATATTGATGCCAGTTACTTCTGTAGCTCTGAAAAGCAACAGTTGAATCATTCCTGCCTATCACAATGCGGGTGAGGACAGAAATACAGACAGTCATTGAAAGTTCAATAGCTACTGATTCAAGAAGAATCCATTTCTCAAGAAGTGAAATACCAAACAGAGGAGGATAGCTCTACATGTGTAGGAGGAGGTCAATGCAATGTTTTGGGCTTGATGGATAAACAATCTACATATCAGTTATTATGATCCCGTGACTAAGTTATTGGTGCAACAATAACAGTCATTGTGATCCATAAGGTGGAAACTTAAGCTCCAAGGATTAACCACTATGAATCAGGACAGAAAAAGATACAGTAGAAGAATCCTACTCGAGACCCCACCCTTAGTGATGATCAAATCACTAGGTGAAGACAAGATCTCATGAAGGAAGGTAATGCAGCTACATGAAACAAAAAATGATGAGTATCAAGCACAATCACACCTAATTGTCAACTGCATCTTTCTGTGCACAGAATGATCAACTTAATCATTCTCCCGCCCCCTTTTTCTTTGACAGGGATCACATTAACATTTGATAAGTAGAAAATGAGAAAAGAATCACAAATTAGAACAAGATATTCACCTCAATCTGTTGAAGTTTTGCTTCAAAAAGTTTTATCCTGTCCTCCTCCTTCAATAGATATTAATGCATAGTCAGAGAAGGGGAGAGAGAGAGAGGAATATTTATCTGGAAATCAGGAATAAGCAATCATTCACCAAAAAAAGACAGAACCCAACCTTAAGAGTCCGGTCATCGGATGCCGGATGAGCAAGAATAAAGACTCGATCAATGAGAACAATAACAGGTTCTTTGCCTAAACCTTTCCACGGAACCTGCAACATGAAAGGATAATATAAGAAACCCATGTACCCAAATACATAGTACAATATTCCTGCTCAAAAGAAGGAAAATAAATTGGGACAAGCCGGGCCATATTATCTAGACAAATCTTCAGTGTATTCAACTTGTCCTAGATTCAGGATTCATTTCCTTTTCCACCAGGACAACCATTGTCCACACATGTGCTTCAATTAACTGAAACTACCACATTCTGGGATAAATATAATTTTCACAAACTTCATATCAATTGCGAAGGCATTATTTTCTCCAAATCCACATTGTGGTCGATAAAACTCTGCCCAAAGTTCTACAACAGTAGCCCAGATTTTCAAGATCACAAGGGAAGCAAATTCCATGAACACAAACATAAGTAAATAACCATGATCTTGGTAAGCAGGAATGAAGTCATGCTTTCATCCTCATCCCCAGTTAGAAGTGAGAACAAGCAGCTTGTCACATTCCCGCAATATAAGTCAACTCATTCCACAGTTAACGAAACACCAAAGAGGGGGCGAAATGACAGCCAGGTTTGTGGGTCCTCACAAGAAGAGAACTCCACACAACAAAACGCCATGAAGTTGCGGAATCGGTTGGATAACAAGAAGCGGAAAGAAGTAGCAGCATTACCATTGGATATTGAAACATATTAACTACCTTTAATGTTATGGTACCAACAAAACCAGCTTTCACAGTGACAGGAAGTTTGAGTGAATTTAGCGCCTCAGCCTTCAGTTTCAAGTCCTTGAGAACCACATCCCCTGCAATAACCGTTAGGCTGTAGTAAGGAAGACTGGAACAATGAATTATGGTGGAAGCTGGGGGAAAGAATTCCCACAATCCACTCTACTGGCTCCAAAATAGCAACCAGATATCAAAGAGATGAATGACAAACCCTTCCAAACACTGATTCGTAAAGCCTCCGATGATAGTCCATGAACATACTCCCCCAAATATCTACGGAGCAAATGGAGGACCTACAAAGCACGACATTCCAGACAACAGGGTAAAATACACCAAACACCGCCCCCGTAGACGCTGCTTCTAAATTAACGAGAGGCATTCTCCTAAATTCGTCAAAATCTCAAAATCCTTCTGCAAAATCTTCCACTGAAGTTATACAAATTCAATTCATCTAATCCCTAAAAGCGGAGACTTGAGCAAAGCGGTAGCTACATATCAAATTGTTTCATCTGCTCTAACTAACCATGCATATAGCCATGTCACAAGCCGAGTTCCTAACTATCATATTCCACTAAGGAAGGAAAATCACGCCAACCGAAAGGAGTAATTACGCACGAAGAGCATGAATTCGCAATCCAATCCGAACTTACGTGAGCCTCGAACATGGCGATCGATCCACCCCGCCGCTGCTCGTCAACAAATTGAGAATGATCGGCACGGAAGAACCGCCATTGAAGCCTGCTACCGAGTGCTCCTTACGGTCGCCGTCCGGAGAAGGCGGGTAAGAGGAAGTCTCGCAGATTGTTTGATCTGAAAGCGGTGGAGGAGTAGAAAGGAAGGAAGAAACGAAGTTGGAAGGAGCAAGAAGAGAGGACGGTTTTCTGGAGGTGACTGACCGCGAGAGAGAAATAAAAATGTAAAACGAGGCCCAAAAAGGTCCCTTTGTTGTTGGCCCTTTGCGATAAGCGCTTTACAGTTAGCGGGACAAAGTAGAAATGAATGGCGAATGCTGACCTAATCCGTTCAGGGCTATTCCATCGGTTTGATCGGCCGCATAACCGAACCGAACCGAAACTTGTTAGAACCAGAACTCAAATTAGTCACTTACCAGCAAACGAAATCGTTAAGAGCTTATTGAGGTTTTCGGTATTTTGGTTAACCGAAAATTGATAGGCCCTTAACTGACTAGATCTCGGTCAGAATAAACTAAGAATTGTGAGTTCGTACTAGAGGTTGAACCAGAAATGTCACTGATAGGTCTTTTAGGCTAAAACTGTGGTTCAACCGCCTCATACCACTAAATACTTCCTACCATTTTAACATCCGATAGGAAGTTTTTCTGGTCAACCCACCGATACATTACGGTCTTTTCAATCATGGAATAAACCGAAAGCCCGAAAAATGAACCTTTAAATTGTGTTGACACTTATCGATTTATTAACAATTTTCATTTTTAACCGAAAATCGTTAAGGACCTGCCGATTTTTACATGTTAAGGGAACCGATAAGCTTATAAAATCGGTTCGATTTCGGTTAAATCAAAACATCAGAAAACCAACTGCTATCCCTAATTATAACTGTATCCAACAATAACAAAATGGCCGGCGTAATGGTATAATAATGCCTTCACATTATTGCGTTCACATAGTGGTCGACAAATCATAAGCATGTTTTAGTTAACTATGAGGGCATGAATGAATGGAGGAGCATAGTTGTGACCGGATGGATGGAGAAGAGAATCGGAAGAAAAGGACGGCTGGGGGAAGGTTCAGGTGGGCCTACTGTATATGTAGTGAACTAATCTCAATAGGGCCACAGTCCTGCAGAGCCACACGGGTGGGGGATCTTTTGGGCTCAGCCTAAGATCCAGTTCCAATCCCAGACAAGAGACAAAAAAAAAAAGTTAAAAATGAATAGAAAGGCTGCTCCATAACCATTCAATGTTTTTTACAGTTTAGTTACCAACCGCACTTTTAACCTTTGTCGTCGGTCGCCCTTCACAGTTCACCGCCAGGTTAAGTAATCTCATGTTGGGCTGGAAGGACTGGACACCTATGCCTCTATGGTCCACTATCGTCCTGCTTTGGCCCATTTCGTTTCTACTTCATAGCACCATCTAGTTTCCCTTCGCGAAGTGTAAGCCCATTATGCCATGTGCGTAAGCCCAATAACCATGCCGCCTAAGTCCTAACGACACCATTGCATAGCCATATCATTTGTTAACTATTTGCTTAATAAGTGTGGGTAATAGCATTGCACAAGATGTGGGACTTATTGCTTATACCTAGATTGATAAATTATAAGAACGTGCAATAAAGATCAATCTTGAGTGTGTACTAGTTGGATTGCATTGTAGGAATCGAGATTGTGATTGGCCGTACTTTTATCTATTACCTTCGATATTACTAACATTGATTTAACTATGTACGCAATAAGTATACTGAGTCTGGGAAAAATCAATGAAGCTTTCCACGTGAAAGATAGTACTTAAGGTTGAGCGTTCTGCAACAAATTGTACACGTGCAATGACACTTTTATACGGATTCACTTGTTTAGTTAGATGTACTAAACAAAAACGTAAATTTTCATTTTCACGTGTATTTGAAAGCAACATAACTTAAGTCAGTTATTATATATAATACAATATTGTGTAGAAAAGAGTAAAAATATAGGAACAAGGATAGTTCAAACGAAGTGTATCGTTGGTATCTCCTTTTCTTGAATATAATTTATTGCACATCAAATGCGTATATCTCCTCTCCAACTTTTCTCCGTCCTCTCTCTTGTTTTATTTGACCTTCCAATTCCAGCCTTCTTCAGGGCTGCCGTCGGCTTCCCATCTGCTGCCGGCGGTAGCCCCTCGTTCCCCTTTTCGTTTTCTTGCTTGTTCTTTTCTTTGCTATGGTGGTTTGGTTTCCATTTCACTTTTCATTCTCTCCAAACAGTCTCTTTTTAGAGATGTCTTCACTGTTCTCTGATCTGATACGTCAGATCTAGAGTTCTCTCTATCGAGGTTGCAAAGAGAGGCTGATTTTGGCTCCAAGATTGGCTTGTCTTCTCGTCTCTTCGTCTCCCGTCTACCTCCTTGCTTCACCAAACATATTTCGGTGATTCGGAGATGCATAGGCCCTCCTCAGTGAATCGGCTTGGACGCGATGGGGGATTAGAAGATAGAGACTGATCCATGGTTTGTTCACCGGCGTTTGCCCTTCTGTTCTGAAGTTTCGGCTCGTGCTTGGGATTCTGGCGAGCTACTGAAGACTTTTGGCCCAGCGAGGTTTGTCGAGATGAGATCTGTGTCCCTTTTGCTTGTCTCCTCCGACCTTCCATCTGGGTTGAGACTTTCCTCTGTTCGACTTCCATGATGGTGGCGTTTGGTGGTCGGATTTTCGGAAGGTTTCAGCAGCGGCGGCAGCACCATGGGATTCATGCGGCTAGGGTTTGAGGAGGCTTTGTTTTGGGCTCTGTTTGTGTTTGTGGCTGTGGGCTCAGTTTTGTCTTGAGCTGGGTGTACTGCTTTGGGCACTTGTTTGGGCTTTGGGCTTTTCTTTTTCTTGCTAACTGTATGTGGTCTTTCCTTTGGGCTTACCCCCACTTTGTACACTCTCTCAGTTTGTAATGAAACTGATCCTTGTCAAAAAAAAAATGCGTATAAATTTTTTGAAAGCACACCAAATTCAACATCGAACACACAAATGAAGAACTTTCTAGTTTCTAAAACATCAATGCTTGCTCGCTAGCTCATAAACACTTCCAGACGGCCCTTTCCATTTCAGCATTCATCTGTATTTATTTCATACCTTCCTCTCCCAGCTAGAAGACGTTTCCCGAAGAGGGGACCGGAGAAGAATTCTATAATCTATACACAGAGTTACAACCAACAAAGTGTACTAATTAACTCAGTGTTTCTGACCACTGAAAGCCACAGCGTTAACAGTGTGCGCAGCATAGCAGAGGTCATTAACTAATGTACTTTTGTCCTTAAACCCACCACCCCATACGATGATTAACAACCACTAATCAGCGTCATTTGGCTAATCATGGTTGGCTGCATGACCATAATCACACACTAGCAGACAATTTAGCCCCAGTTTTATACTATAATACATATAAGGTCGCCCCGTGACTGACATTGTACATTCCCAACCCGTGAATCCACAGGCGGACACGTGTCGTGTCCTCAATCTCCCAGTTCCAACGAGAAATAAACAAAAGAAGGAACAGAAAATTGGACACACGAGAAGTATATCGAGAGTCAGATCGGAATCAAAGGTGGCTGGGTGTTTTAGGCAGCCAGCCTTCCATGTGAAATTGTGAGCTTGTCTGTCGTGCAAATTTTTGTTTTCCTTTTTTTATTTGTTTTTTCCTTTATTTTTATTCGATTTATTCGTTTGTTGCGTGAACTCCTTGGAAGGAAAGGATTGGGTTTCTGTGTTGGAAATGGGAGAAGGTGAGAGGGATCATCTATGTCGATGATTGTCGACACGACTATGAGCTTTGGCCCATCCATCCGGCCATCCGTTATTGAAACTTGGAAGAAAGGGATAGCCAGAAGAGTAACCAATATGTATTAGAAATTGTGGGGGCTAATTGGGCGGGCCCATTTGGAGGAAGGGACCAGGCTCAAGCATGCAACAAAGCCTGCTGGCATGCCCACGTGACATGGCTGCTGGTAGCCAAGAGATGTTTGAGCTCTACTCTATGTAGCAACAAGTGCAAAAGTACGGCATGACGCACGAGGTTTGATCGGAAAAATCGTCTATGAAAGTTGATATTGCTATATAAATTTATCGGTTTAAAATGAGTAAATTATAGTTATATCACTCTTTAGTTACAAAAAATAACATGTCACGCATTTTTTCGGCGTAGTTTCAATACAATTCTACAATATTTGGTAATGACAAGATTATCAATCACATGACAAAATACGTTTTTTTTTTTTTATTGAGGATGCAGCCTTTTATTAATCTATCTAATTTTATTGTTTCACGGAGATTGTAAGGAACTGGTTAAGTACCATATATGAGCCTGTATAAGATCCAGCATAACTTTCTCCCAACAACTCGAGTTATTGGAACCAACTGATTTATGATATGGTATTAAAACTGGTTTGTCCTTGACAGGTCACGTGTTCAAGTCCTGACGACCCCCAATATTAACCGTTGTCTTCAAGCACAGGGTATGACGGACCTATGCAAATTTCAAGCCCATGAGTCGGCTTTCGTTTGAGGGGGCGTGTAAGGAAGTGATTAAGTACCGTACATGGACCTGTATAAGATCCAGCATAACCTTCTCCCAACAACTCGAGTTATTGGGACCAGTGATTGACTGAAAGACTCTTTGTGAATGTTTTATGGTAGATTTTTTTTTCCTTCTGCTTCCTCAGATTGAAGAAGTTAACATAAGTACATAATCGAACCAAATATATCGCAACAAGTCAAATGAACAAGTCCTATGTCACTTGGTTGTCTATAGAAGGATGGGGGTTCGATTTGGTTCGGTTATCTGAACTGCAAATCATTATAAACCGGAACTCGGATTAACCAATTGTCCAAAACCAAAATTGACGAGCCTTTCACATGTTTGATCTCGGTCAGCATAAGCCAAAATATGCAGAAACCATAGCCCTAACTTGGAGCTGAAGATTCTTGTCATAAGTCATAACCTTTGCTCCATCCGTGATAACGGCACACATGACACTCGACGACAGAAGTAGCCCACCACACATTCATCCTTTCTCATTCTCACTGCTGCCAGTACGGCTGCCCTTCTATGATTAATAATCTCATATAACTCACAATGATGATCTCTGTTTTTCTTCCTACATTCCTTCACTAGGTATTACTTTGAAATCATCAATCATTAAGAAGACGTACTAGATATACGGATATGTAAAGGAATAGTATAGTTTTTTTTTTATTATCGTAAGTATTAGTAACTGATCTAATACACAAATTTCCTCGATTGATCGAAAAATACGAATATACAAGAGAACAAATGATTGCACTTCTAAGTAAGATCCAACCATTTCTCGCATCCCGTCACGTAAATGTGTGAATTAGTTGGGGCCATAGAGTTGTCATTAGGGATGGCAATTATGCCCATACCCATGGGTATTTTACTATCCAACCCAATTGGGTTGGATATGAAATCCAAATATATGGATATGGGTAAAGTTTGATGGGTTTGTACCCATACCCATTTACTTTGGGTTGGGTTGGGTTTATAACAAATGGATTTGGGTTTGTACCCATGCCCAAATACAAATTACAGTTTGGTACCTAAACTTAATAGATATGCATATTTAGTACCTAAATTTAATTTTTTTTGCAGATAAGTCCTCAAAATATCGATGGAAAATTACGTTTTGGTACCTAAATTTTTTTGGTCTTACATTTTGGTACCTAAATTTTTCAAGTTTTACAAATAAGTCCAATTTTTGCATGTGTAGTTAAGACACCTTCAAGTAAATGGATATCCATATCCAACCCATACCCATTTAGATAATATCCATATCTAACCCAAACCCATATACAAACCCAAACCCATATACACATCACCCAAACCCTACCCATAATAGATGGGTCTACTTGGGTTTGGGCAAAATTACCCATGGGTGGGTAAATTGCCATCCCTAGTTGTCATAACGTAACTCATAAATCAGTTGGTTCCAATAACTCGAGTTATTATATTATTGTTAATTATGGATATTATACCACTCTCTAAAACACCACCTTCAAATGAAAAGTCAACTCACGAGCTTGAAGTTTGCACATGCCCTCCGTACCTTGTGCTTTAATTCAAGTGTTAATATCGAGAGTCGTGAAGATTCGAACACACAACCATTTCATCAAACCAGTTATCATACCACAGATACTAGTTGATTCCAATAACTCGAATCATTGAGATCAACTGGTTATTGACAAAAGCAAGAGAGATCTGTATCACTATCAGCGGCGGATCTAGGGGGGCGCCCCTGGGCCACGACCCAGCCCTCCCCTCGATCCGGAGCTACTATAGCCTTTGTAAATTTCATATTTAAGGTAATCGTTTATGTTCTCGTCGGGTTACGGCCAAATCCTTTCTATTTTTTCTTCAAATGTGGTCCAGTGCTCTACCCAATACTGGATCCACCGCCGATCATTATCATGGGTCAAGGAATAATATACAGACAATGAAGACATGCTAAAAAACAGAGAGCCATCAGCCATGCATTATACTAATATTAATATTAGTACGTACAGCCAGCTTAGCGAATGAATTTTGAGGATGTGTCTTGAGTCTTGAGTGTGAGTTGAAAGGTTGGGTTTTTGGATTCAACCCGTGAATGGGGAAGGAGGGAGTATTAATTCTGTTGTCTCGGCCCTACTGCTACTACTTACTACTGCGGCTTCCTTCCGTCCGTGGTGCTCCCTCTGTTTTTGCTATTGGCCACTCACCCACTGCTAACCAACAACCAAGAGTCACGAGCCTCGCCAGCTTTTCAATCAAAACATACACACGCATCATTGCTTATTTGCTTTCATTCCCCCCCACTCTTTAAAAATTCAATTCCCTCTTGTCTTTGTGTGTGCATATTTCTGCTTGTGATTTGCTAATGAAAGCAAGCAGATGGAGAGAGGCATATATAACAGCATTTAGGCCATAAATACAGGGGAAATGTTCTTGTCGTCCCTGTTCATCCCAATGAAAACAATCACACATGTCAAATATTGTGATTTACGGTACACCATATTCATCAATACATGTATTGATCACAATAGATCATTTGAACGAACATGGAAATCAAACGAGCCTCAGAATTGAGCATAAGTATCTCGCGTGTGTGTATATGCATTTGGGTTATCATTGTTATTTACTTAATTACCATTAGTCGGTTAAGCAAATTAGCTAGTATAAGTTAATCTCACCAAGATGTGGCTCAAGTAGTAAGACACAATAATTAGCACGATGTGTTCTCAACTTTATCTCCCACACCCTATCATTATGAAAGAAAATCATTTGATGATCCGTATTACACACTTCCGTAAATTTGTCGAATATTCATAGAAATTGAGTTCGATTTAAAAGTACGAACCGAACCCTCTCATCATCCCAATAACAGCAATGATCTGTATAGAAAGAAAATGAAACTAATTAATAAACCCTCGTGCTCTTTTGTTAACACAAGCACACCACATAATGTGCACCCAGCGTGGCGACGTTAACGTGACCTTCGTGACCAAAAGATGTTGCGCCAGCTGCGCTTTCCAAACATTAGACGCTTGCCTGCAATTTTTTTTTCTTCTTTCTTTTGTTCTCTGTTTCTGCATTACTCGGAAAACAGAGCATTGAAAAGCCGGCTTGTTGGCAGTGGCTTTGCCCGTAGCAAAATGAACCATCGTTAGCAAAGCATTAACGAGACTTGTACTAAACAACGCCACAAACAAAGAGGCAGGGGAAGGCCGAGGTGAAACGACGCTGCAAAACCCTAACTGTACGCTAGAAGAAGGGACCAGCTGCTGCTGCAGAACAGAACAAATTCTGTTTTCTATCTCATTCCCACTCACATGATTCAGCCACAGCGCACTCATTTGTTTTTTTTTTTTAATTTTCTCTTGTGTTATAGATAGTACAAGTCTACAAGAAACTTGGTTTTTGTTGCACTCCCGTTCAATCACGCATGGTTTGTAGGTCATGCAAGGTCCTCAACCCTCAATTTTCTATGTATTTAAATCAAGTGCTAATAATGGAAACTAAAAGAATGTAGGGTCCGACAATTTTGATTGATCTGCTCGAGATTCAACCCGTTTCGACCCGCATTATCGTACGATGGAAGCGAGTATCACTTTCGTTGAGTTCCTTATACCTCGGTTTACAATAAATTTATCAAAACCTTTCATTAACTAGACTAAACTATTCATATCAATATATCTTTTTATTACGTGTGTTAGAATGGATCGACCATCCCACGCTGTGCGAGCGTTGCCCAACCTATCACACACTCGATACGAAATGGCTAATAATAATTCATATTGAGCTATTCGTCTATACTTGCTCCATTGTCGACGATGTGAACACACAAATTTTTGTTTGATCACTGAACATGTGACATGACTTACAAAGACAAGAATTCTCGCATATTATACCAAAGGCCAGAATTGCTAGAAAGAATTCCATAACTAGTGATCACGATACCCAGATTCATCCACCCCACTTGGTCCAGAGCTCAAACACATGTCAGCCTCAGAAAGCATGAGAGGAGGGAGGGAAAACCAAAAAGCAACAGAGACACCTTCTCCCACGCTCCAGTATAAATGAAGGCCATTATCTTCCATGTTCGTGGTCCTTACTCCTTCACCATACTTACTTTGCCTTAATTTCTCCTTCTCCAGTTTTCCAGTCACCTATTGGTTCATTTCCTTCAAATTCCCCTTCTCTTTCACTCTCTCTCTCTCCCTTTCCGTCAGCCAAAAAAAGCTGCATCGTTGTTCATTGCAATCATCCCACTCTGCCATTTACAGATGGAGATGAAAGCTCGGGTTCTTTTCGCCATCTGGGTAGCAATGGCGATTTCTCTTCACAATGCGAGCATTTCTCAAGGCAGACATACTTTCCACAAGCCGAGGAAAGGGAAACATACAGGGACAGTGACGTCATCCCCTGTTTCTCCTCCTCCTGCTTCCCCTGTTCCTTCTCCAGAAAGTGGTGGTAGCAGCAGCCCTGCCCCGTCGGTTCGGTCCGACCCGTACCCGAGCCCCGATTCGGACTGCGTGTTCGACGTCCGGTCATACGGCGCCGTAGGAGACGGGGAGACGGACGATACGGCGGCGTTTAGGGCGGCGTGGAAGGAGGCTTGCGCCGTGGAGTCGGCCACCGTTCTGGCTCCGTCCGGTTACAGCTTCATGATCACTTCCTCCATCTTCTATGGGCCTTGCAAGCCCGGCCTGGTTCTTCAGGTGGACGGGTGCCTGATGCCGCCGGATGGGCCCGATTCGTGGCCCGACGGCGACAGCAAGCAGCAGTGGCTGGTGTTTTATCGGCTCACTGATATGAAAATCACGGGGGAAGGGACCATTGAAGGCAACGGCGATAAGTGGTGGGATCTCCCCTGCAAGCCTCACCGGGTAATTATAATATATTCTGAATTACGTAATTAATATTCTGAATTACGTAATTAATATTCAATTATCTTTTTTCTTCGTATACGTTAAAACTTAAAAGTAAGAAATTTTTTTTGTTTATGGTATTTTCAGGGTACGGATGGGATTGGATCAGGATCATCAGGATCATGTGAGAGCCCTGCTGTAAGTTATTCCTTTTCCCCTCACAATTCAATTGTAGTCAGTAGTCACTGTAGTTATGCTGCTGATTACTCTAATAGAATATAATAAGAGGTAATTAATTAACTGATTAGTGCTTGATGAAATGGTTCAGTTAATCAGGTTCTTCATGAGCTCAAACTTGGTGGTGAGTGGGCTGAGGATCCAGAACAGCCCACAGGTCCACATGAAGTTCGATGGCTGCCAGGGTGTGCTGATAGAGAAGCTGTCCATTTCTTCGCCCAAGCTCAGCCCAAACACAGACGGAATCCACATTGAGAACACGAAAGACGTTGGCATTTACAACTCCATGATCAGCAACGGTGAGAGTTTTTTTTTTTTTTTTATAATTGATTTAGTTAAGTTATTTAATTTAATAGATAATAAATATAAAAAAATAACAACACAGAACTGTACCTACTTTATAGAATCCGGCTGGATTGCGAATCCGCTCACATCAATCGCCCACTCGTAATTGTTCAAATAATTTGCGGATAGATCATTTTTAAACCGCTATTCAACTACCCACATGTCCACACAAAACTGTAGTAATGCTATGGCCTATGTATTTGTAGATACGGTCCACAGTTGTTTTGGTTACGGCCTGTTGGGTCATGTTTTGATGACAATTTTGGGTAAAAAAAAACAGGGGATGATTGCATATCAATTGGGTCCGGGTGCTCGAATGTCGATATTGAGGGCCTAACTTGTGGGCCAAGTCACGGGATCAGGTACTTTTTCCCCCTCACTCTCATCTTTCTGTGTTTTCTTCCCATGTTTGGCCTAGTTTTCATCATCCTTTCTTTCCCCACTCGCTTACAAATGGTTAATCATTTCTGTACCGAATTATACCATAGTGGGTGAAATTGGAAATTGGAATATAGTCGATATACACATGTTCATAGAATACAATTATTAGATAATATAATATACTCAATTAGTAATATATCAATATGATAATGATATTGACCAGAACAACAACCCATGTTAAATACCGCAGATAAGCAACTTAACTTCATATTACATTGTATAAGTTACAAATATATGATTCAGTCTAGCATATATGTATAGTGATTTATTGTATTTACCTCTTATTACCCATATATGGTAGTATCGGGAGCCTAGGAGTGCACAACTCCAAAGCATGTGTGTACAACATAACGGCCCGAAACCTGGTGATCCGCGAGTCAGACAACGGGGTCCGGATCAAGACGTGGCAGGGTGGTTCGGGGTCCGTCTCCAACATCCACTTCGAGAACATCCAGATGGAGAACGTTCGGAACTGTATGATGATCGACCAGTACTACTGCAACGCCAAGTCATGCTCCAACCAGACCTCTGCAGTCTACATCAACGACATCTCCTTTCGCAACATTAAGGGCACCTACGATGTCCGCAACGCCCCCGTGCGCTTCGCCTGCAGCGACGCCGTCGCATGCACCAACATCACGCTGTCTGAGGTGGAGCTCCTCCCCCACGAGGGCGAGCTCCTCGACGACCCATTCTGCTGGAACGCTTACGGGGTCGAGGAGACCGTCACCATCCCTCCTGTTGACTGTCTGAACGACGGGGAGCCTCAGAATGTTGGGGAGCTCGGTAACTATGCTTGCTCGTGACGCCTGCCTGACTGAGAGTGAATGTGGTTCGATCGAGTTGTTCGCGATGAGTACTGATGACACGAGTCGAGTCAACACAAGTCTGATCGAGTGGTGGTGTTAGTTTCGAGTTTCGATATATTATATGATATATGAATAGGATAGGGGGGCATATAGTAGAAACTAGAATTGTAGAGGTTGGGGTTTAGGTGGTGTCGTATATGTAGAGGAGAGGACACTTCCAGGGCTATTATATGGCCATTATTGATGTGCTATTGTGGGGTTGGAGGGGACTTGTCACTACTCACTAGCTATAGTAGTTATTAGCTTCCATCATCATCCCTATTTGGGGCTATTTCTTATGATTCCCTTATTGTGCGATGAACATAAGGTTTGAGCACATGTACGTGTGCAGTTTACTGTATTATTGTTCACTTTGGATAAAATATATGATTGCTAGTGGGCTCTATGGTCTCATTTTGAGTTATAAAATGTGGGCATGATTATGTTTGGGCATACTTATACTTGATATTGTTTTCGCATAGTGTTGTCAACATTGAATCTCAAATTTAGAACACGACATAAGTAATCATATTTACTTTGTCATTGAACCATTCCTTTCAAATTTCTCATCATTGGCTTGTTTTGAAATGTTGATGCTGCATATATAGTTGGTCTCTGCGACCGTCGTAATACTTTATATGATTGCTAGTGGGCTCAATTGATGATCTGGTTTCATTTGGAGTTAGATAAAAGGTGATTATGATTATATTGAGCGTATATCTACTTGATGATGTTTTCTCAGTTTGTTAGCGCCAAATTTCGAACTTCTATGAAATGATTTCACGGAATTCAACCTTTACGAGCTATCTAAGGGTTTGGGGGTGTTGGAGTTACATTCTCATTAAATCAATCCTTTTGAATTTATCATCACCAATGGAGTTGTTTTAAAGTGCTGTTATTTATATTTATAATTGTGTTGAGAAGCAGTGATGGGCCTAAAGAAATTACGAAACCCACAAAAACACGGAGTTAAGCAAACTATGAACCCAATGTCCATAAACACGATCACCTTGAATAATGGGCCTTAAGAAAACTATGAAGCCCATAAACACGTCCAACAAAGAGCAGGCCGAAGCGCGCCGGGCACCTCTTGGTCTATTCCTTTCTGCCGCCGACGGTCACCTTGGCGATTTACGACACAAAAACACTTGCAGAACCAGACTAGTCACCGCGCTCTGAGTCTGCAGTCGGCGATCGCCGTCACTCTTCGCCGCTGAATACTGCGTTTCAGGTTCGATCTTCCTTAGCCTGAGAGTGAGAGCTATATCAATCGGTCTGCCTCCTCCTTCACTACTTTTTATGTCTAGCTATCCGATTGAAAAATAGGAAGAGAGGAGCCAGGAACCCTAACAAACAACTGTGTTGATTTCGGTTCTTAGCAGATTAAAAGTGAACAATGCCGTCTCTGCAAACTGCATTGCCGCCTGAACTTGCCAACAACGTTCTTAGAGTTGAGTATCATCATTTCAATTCATTTCCTTTTCAATTCATTGCGCCTTCAAAGTATCAGATTTCTGGGTTATGGTTTCGTTCTGATTACTGGCTGGGAAAAATCGGAGCTGCGTAATAGTGACGATGGAAATGGTTCTGTTGCAGCTTTACAAGGAATGTCTTCGAAGAGCCAAGTTCGTTGGTCATCAGGTAAAATGAAAAATAAGCCTCACCTATTTTCCCCCCCTTGTTTCCTGCTGCTATGGTCACTGCAAAGAATTCACCTATGGTGGAACGTGGTGTGTGTTTGAATTGCAGCAACACAACACGGCGTTGTTGGTTGAAATGGTGAGGCAGCAGTTTAAAAAGCACAAGCACGAGACCGACCCTGACAAAATCCAGAAGTTGAAGGACGAGTGAGGCTACTTAAATTGCTAGACTTTACTGTTCCATATTTAATGTATGCCTCAGTGAATTCGTTGATTGATTCTTGTTGTGCTGTTTGTTTGGATGGCAGTGCGGCAAGAGGACTTATAAACCACATGCTCTACGAATCTGAGAAGATGTCTGGCCGTAAGTTCAGCAAGAGCGCTTAGTCTTTTCGCATCTTAGAAGGTTGTTGTTCCTTGGCTTTTGCTGAGCAAAGTTGCTGTCCTTTAGGTATAGAAGAACAGATTGAATAATAGGAAACGAGTTTTCTTTTCTGTATCCTCGTTGCTTCACGTAACCTTTGCTTGAACAGTAGTGTTTTGATGGCTTGATCATCTTCCACCAGTGGTTTATGTGCTGTCTGTTTGTAGATGTAAAGCTTATTCTGGAAATGGCCAATGGAAGCCAGTTTGTTAAGATGGATCAAACCATTTTGGCGATCTCGCTATCTTCTATTTTGTCCCATCGCTTACTTGTTCCCTTTGCCTTAGAAGCAATCAAAGTAGCTGAATTTAACCTTGCTTAGTTGGACAGAGGTGGGCATATTAAGGTATGTAGAGCTCGTCCTGTTCTGCGGAAGCTTAGTATAGTTTGCAGGCAACTGGGATCCTTATAATTTGTTCCCATTGTGAAATGTTGGCCATTGAGGGAGGACAAACACCAGAGCAGCTGTGGCAAGCTGCTTCTGAAATCCTTCCCGTTCAGTTGTCTTTTCTTTATATGCCACTAATCTTTCTATCTTGGACTTTGATTTTGCTCCATCTGCTTCCATTGGCTGCAATACTCATAATAAGCCTGGAACCAGTAATTCATGCAAGGTATATTAGGATTCCATTAGTTCATCTATGAATACACCATTGAATGTATTTAAAATGTCATTTTGACGGATACAAAGTGCATCATCCCGTTCGAAATGCTTGTAATTTAGAAAAGATTTGTGCAGAAGGTTATGTATCGCCTGAAACGCTTGTACTCCCGGAATACGTTATTCAGTAGCCCTGCGTCGTCTACACTCCACAACTAACAGAGAACTGTATATAAGCTGGCACAAGCTCTTCCAGCACAACTGTGTCTCCGAGCAGTGGTTTAGACTGTAACAAAGGCGTTCGGTTAACATATTTGATCGTTGGAGCTACAGTACATAGCACAGGTGTGAACTTAAAACCTATAGTCTACCAAGTGAAATCAGTGATCATGGATTAAAGATTGTGTTCATTAGAGATGAGTTGTTTTAACAAATGAATGAGAATGAGGAGCATTTTACATTTTTCTTATGCCCCTTACAAAATTCTTCAGCAGCATCACTAATATCTATGTACTCCGCTTCTCTGTTTTTCGTCAGTAGGAAGTGAACCCTACTACACCTTCTTTTCTACCCAGTTTTACCCAAGTGCGAAGGTTTTGAAGTAAATGGTCCTTTACTCGCTTGGCGAGGGCTCAGATCCCCTCTGAAACGAGTCACACTTCCTCCCCTATCTGCAACTTGAGGACCCTCGACGGTCTTCAACTCTTCCGACGCCAATATCGGGCCACTGCACGCCCGTTTTATCTCGCCTCTGCCTCGTGTAAATATCCCATCTAACATCTCTCCATCATCAGCAAAGGAAGCTCTCCTGCTCAACATCTCTATGTCCTGTTATGAAAAATCAATAGCAACACGTTAAGGATTCACTTGAGACTGAGAGCTCGCTCAAAAACAAAAAGGTTTCCAGTTCTTTTTTTTGTTATTACAGTGGTTGAGTTGAATGGCATTGCTGGAATCTCTTCATACTCCGCAGCGTCCAGATCTTGAAGGTGTGGTCCTTTGAAGAACTGGGGCAGCATGTATTGCCTCACAGGGACCAGAAGCATGATCATCAAAGGGAAGAGAACTCCAGCTATTGGGATCCATGTGATACCAAAGCACACTAGCAAGTAACCAGCTTGGAACAATGTGAACATTATTATAGTCTTGAACGGGACGGTTTCCAAGAATGTGGCATGATAATCTTCCAGCACTCTAAAACACAGGAGTTGGATGTATAAGGAAGAAGAAGAGTAAGCAAGTGAGGGAGAGAGGTAGAGGAGGGTTTATGAGATGGATTACTTGTATCTCCTGCTAGGAGCAGTGAAGATGAGCAAGATCCTTTCCCAGAACTGGTTCCCTGGCAAGCTTTCGATAGCCATGAATGCGAAGTACCCCCAAAGCACTGAAGTCGGGATCTTTTTAATCAAAGGCATGGCACCAATGCACAATCCCACCATTACAGCCTGAAGCAAGTTGCTTAGCCGTTGTTCTTTCACCTCGACGGGCAAGAGGTTATCGATCTCCTTCTCAATGTCGAAGACTGTAGTGTCAACTGGGGCATTGAAGCTTCCCAGTCTTGCAGCCATCTGGAGCGTCGAGTCTTTCAGTTCCTTCAAACCCTGTTTGGTGGCAGTAAAAAGAAAATCTCAGTTTACAGCAGATGAAGGAAGCCAATTGCTCCAACTCTCAGGTACAAATGAGGACACACATACAGGAGCAGCAGATCCCGGGGGGATCGGTGGGCTTTGAGCCTGTTGGTAAGCCTCTTTCATGCTTGCATAAACTTGCCCCAAGCTTGCATTCTCACTCATGCGCTTGCGTGCTGCGGCCAAGAGTTTTCTACGAAGCAACTGTACCAAAAGGGCGATGCACTAATGTTAAACAACGTTCGAGCAACAGTATCAGTAATTTACATTTACGGTCACTCAAGCTTGGAGTCTCTGGATTTTGATTAAGAGTCATCCGGGATGGATGAAAACTATTGAAGCGTTGTAAATTGCCATACCTGATGTTTTAAAGTAGCCAGACTCCTCGTGTGCATTGGAGATTGAGGGATGACTCCATTAGCTGGAGGGATTCCGAGGAGACCACACAGGATGACCTGACATTGTTTCATTTTCAGTCAGAATAATTAATAAAAGCATCTAAAGTGACGCATTGACCCATATTCTCCTGAAAACATACCATGAAACCAAGAAGAAGCAAGTCGTAGTGGAAAGATGGTGGTTTCCTCAAGTTGAACTCCTTCTGCTGAGCTAGCTGAGATGCCACACTATGATCAAAGTAATATAGCACCGCTATCATGGTTGCTGGGATGAAAGCTCCGATTATGTATAAAACCGGGACATCGAGCATTTCCTGTCAAATATTATCACGTAAGCAATCGGAGAATCATCCATTTGAGAAGGAAGATCTGTGGAAGTAAACTTTGGATGGAGTAGACTATAGGTAGGTAATACCTTTATCACAGTCCAGTTCTTGTAGGCACCAGCTGACCACGGGTTTGGACTGAAGAGGCGTCTCGGGATGCCTGTCGGAGCAGTTCCAGTTGGTATGTAGGAAAGTCCAGTCCATACCAGGACCATTAATGGTACACCATAATCAGCTAGGAATCCCCTCACCCAGCCTGTGGTTCAAGACAACTTTAGATACAGGATCTGCAGAGAACGGAGTTGTTAATATGATGGGCAAGGATTCAATTGGATATATACCTGAACCATATCTCCAAGACCTTGCTTTCCTGCTTTTCAAGGCAGTCAGCAGAAGGCCAAACGAAAGGACGATGGCAAACATTCCATTTGCAAATCTCCATGATAATTGGAACTCAACTGCATTCGGGTCTTCTCTTTCCGGTATCCGAAACTCATCAATGAGTCCCTGCCAGATACAGCCAGGTATCAGGTTTAGAAACCAAGTTATATATATAGCGGGCAGAGAGAGGAACGAAACGAGTTTTGGTTTCTTACTTTGATTGCCTGCTGCATGAAAAGCATGGCAATGAGAAGGCCAAACAACTCCCCAGCAAGACGGGTAAACCTGTTGATTATGGAGCATGCTCCTAATACAGAGAGAAGGAAGAGCAAGAGAGCAGTCCACACGCACACCCTGCCCCATCCACAAGCCATCCGGTTCTTTCAGTAAACCGAAAAGAAAGGAGCAAAATGGTAAAAAGGGGCAAGTGACTACAAGTGAATACCAGCTGGTCCAAGCTAGATAGAGCTTTGATCCCAGTTCAGGTCTGCTGTTGGCGAAATTGAACATGAAAGTGTACATGATCACGGTGGGCTCTGCGACTCCAAGGATCAACAATGGCTGACCTCCTATGATGGAGTGAATGATTCCACACACTGCAGTGGAAGCCAATGTCTGCACTGCCGTGAGAGCCCCATCTGTTAACAGAAAAAAAACCAGACAAGGCTTCAAAGTCATCATCTTTTCCTCCATTTTCTAGCATAGGGAACATTAAAGACAAGATGAGATTGAAGGGTAAGTAACCAAGTAAAGTACCTGTCTCTCTTTCCAATTGTTCCCCAAAGGAAATCACCGGGATTGCAGAGGCGAAGAATATGTAGGTAGTTGGTGCCAAAATACTGGGAGCAAAATCACAAAAATCCAACATAAACCCACCAATTTTCAACAGAAATGAAATGTAACTGGGCAATAGGATTGATCCCCAATGCGAATACGAATCAATGGTACCTTAACCCAGCGCTGAAACCACCCGTCCAATCCTTCTTGTAGAAAGCCAATCTTCCCTGGAGATCGTTCTTGATTCCGCGGAATGGTACAAAGCTTTCCTCCATCACCGCCAATAAGTTACAATGAACCCACCCAGAAACCAAAACTGGGTGGAAATGAAGCGAGTCTTCACCAGCTCAGTTCAGGGCAGTGGTACGGATGAAGCAGACGACACTGCTAGCATCGGATGAATCAGTAAGAAACAGAGACGGAACCTGCTGCATATCAATGATGAAGGTGGAAGACAGAGCTACATCAATGTTTGAGAAGTTAAAACGAAGCAATAAGTTTTACAGAGAGAATGAAGATCTAGAGAAAGCAGACACAAGAATCAGAAGAATGAATGCTGCAGCAGCAGCATAACATTCAGTATTGAGCATTGCTTACCGTCCAAAATATGGGATAAACAAACTTATTTTGTTCTCCTTCTGCTGCTGCTGCTGCCTGCTACTGATTTGTGTTTGTGGGTTGGTGATAGGAGTAATAAGATAAGATGCTAGAGTTTGACAAGCTGGGATGGGGATGGAAGCAACAATGCAGCTTCTTCCTTCCTCTTCTTTACTGGCTTAATGGCTATGGTGGTGTGGGTGCGTTAAATCTGGTCCATTCTCTCTTCCCTTGGATTTGCTGCTTATTATTAACAGTACTGTAGAGACGCGGTGCACCACACCAGACGACAAAACAGGACAGTTCGTGCATGAGACAAAAGTTGGGTTGGGGAAGTAGGAGGAGGAAGGGGCACCGCAAGAGAAGAAGAGATAGATGACTGTGAAAACCGCAATCCTTAATTGATTAATTACTTAATCAAATAACAAATCTAAACCTATAAAGTATGAAGAGAGGAGGGGTCAGGAATTCTGGTTTGATTGTGCTCCTTAATGATAATAATTTATTCATTGTTACATTAATTAATCACCATCACCCCATTCCTTCACAAGTGCTTGTGTTGTAGGACGATTCTCAGGATCTCATTAGAAGTTATAAATTATGAACAATAAAATATAACAAAAGACCGTGACATACGCCAGAATGCCCGGTGCCTTTTGTCCCTCATTAGTTAGTTCCAAGACCAAGAATATTAACCCTACAGCATTCCCCAGTAATAATATTGATAATATTATTATAGCATACATCAAGTCTCAAAATTAACTCTAATTATTTGTTTTAATCATTGACATTTGATCAATAAGCTGATATTATAATTATAATTAATTCATCCATTTTGACTTATAAATCTCTTCTTATAATCATTGTTCTGATTCTCCTTATAAAACTAAACATACAAGTAAATCATAGCTTATTTTTTGATAACTTATAGTGACGAACTGGAACGGCCGTACAAACTCCATTTGCTACCACACATTTTTTTCTATTAATACTTTATTGTTATGATCCAACCCACTGCCGTTCTCCAACTTCAGAAAGCAGGCTAATACTTAAAACGAGTTAATTACTTTACTTTACTAATCTCCCCACCGCGGCAAGCCTGCTTTAAGCTTTCTTCCCACCAAAAGGAAAACAGAGAAGAAAAGAAAACACCGAAAGCTATTAATTAACAGATGGGGAAAAAGAGTACCTGGTTTGGTCTGGTCTCTGGTGGGTCCATGGACACTGGTGGGCCCATTTGGGTGGACGAGTCCAACCCTCTTCTTTAATTGCTTCTTCCAACCTCCAGCCCAACCGCGGCAGTATTCAGATGCCAGCTGTATTACCTTGTGAGTGAGCCTTTGGCATGGCTGGAGGATTGTATACTTGTATGGAGCCTTTGAACCCCTAGCGACCAATGAGTAAGCCCAGCCCAACTAAACACAGGCCCATTTGTCCCAAACACTCACGCAGCATTTCACCAAGCAGCTGAGGAACTCCACAGTTTACCAAGCTCAGCTGCCTTTGGGAGAGTCAAAAGGATTCAAATGTCTGCACAAAGTCAAGTATCATCTCCTCATACTCCTACGTTTAGGAACTCAACATACCTAGCTTATCATTAACAAAATCAATTTCAGTCATGGAGAAGTTCAGCTGTAATAAGTTTTGTCGCCCGTTCATCCACAACTTCATCAAATATATATCAGGTTCCTACCAACGAGTAAAGAGTCGCATGAATAAAATGCAACCCGGGCTAGAGTTGAGCAATTTAGGTACCACTTTTGGCAATGTAGACACCAGAAAACCGCTAAAATGAGGGAAGATCCCAGCAGTTACCTCTTTAGGTAGCAGCATTGTCGTCGAACATGCAGAAGGTCCCCCTCTTCCTCGTTACCGAGCAAGTTCTCAAGCGAATCTGGTGAGTGAGTGGGAGCTATAGCCATCTGAGCATTATAATCATTGCAGAAGAATGTCAAACTTCACAAGGTACTCACCACCACCTGGATATTCATCAAGCAAAATAACAGACAATAGATGCATGGGAATAGGTTGCATCAACGAACACATTGGAAAGATATATAGGAGACACAGTGCCGAGGTTGGTGCTTACAGAATGTTCCATGAGAATCTCCAACAGCAAATCAACATTGTCTTCGCCTAAAATTAGAAGGATTGGTCATCAGAGAGTTGTTAACTCGGAAATGTCAGCAAACATACCATTTTCCTGAAACACCTGATCAACAAGCAAAGGTGAGAATCCCACAACAGCGAGAAAGGATCTCGCATGGCTTTCCTGACGAGCTTGCGTTGTTTTCCTGCAGTAGTCGAAGTACAACAAAGAAAAAGGAAACAGGCTATGAACAAACCAGTTGTCCATCAAGTTAAAGCTACACAGAGCGCTGTTGTAGCCAACAGATTGAAACATGCACATTCAACAAATTGAATTATCTATTGAGATTGGCAAGTGTTGTAAAAAAACGTAAAGACGCACCCCAACTTGAGAGTAGACGGCATCAGAAGGGAAGATGAAATCCAGAACCTCTGGCTTCAGTTCATCATCTCTGGACAATAAGAACTCCCGACGTTAAGAGTAATTGCTTGGTTTGCCCTGCTCTGGAAAGCACAATGTGAGCAAAAAAGACATACAAACAAACGAACAAAGAGGCGGAACTGCAATTCCTGTCCCCAGCCACCGGCGCAAAAGGGCCAAACCAAACCATTTGGAAGCCTTGCGTCCAAGCCTCCCTAAGTCCAGATTCTTCTGCAAGTGCGAATAAGAACATCACCGCGTCGGAACGCGAACGCTAAACCAAACGAATCCAAGTTCAAGTAGAGTGGAGAAATCAAACCACGAAGAATAGCTGCGAATTTTACTCAATCCACTTCCGCTTTACAATCATAGTGAGATTTCCAGGTTATCGCGATTGAGGGAGCCAAAATCAAAAGCATTATCGAGGAATTACCTTAGTTCGGAAAGGAAGAATCAGCGAAGTGCCGGAAGATATTGGAAGACGGAGTCGGCGACGGAGTATCAGGACGTGTTACCTCCTCACCCACCGGCAGGAGATACGCCGATTCTGGGTGAATTACGCCGGAGGCCTGAGGTGTAGAGGAGCCTGAAAAATGTTACCATTTTCCCCTTTTCCTTCTCTTCCGCAAAGATTTAACTGAGAAACCGTGATTCTGTTCATCACATGGCAAGGTAGAACCTAAAGAAAACGATTCGGATTAACAATTTAACCAAGGAGGAACTAGAGACAATACATTACAATTCTTCTCTTTTTTACTTTCCTTTTTTTTTTTTTTTACTTTTCCATATATTCATGATAAAAATTGAAAAAGATACCACATTACAAAGTAACTTTCATCGCTTCTGCGAAGGCAAAAACAACCATCGAGAAAATAATGAAAATCGATATTCTCCCACCAAAGACAATTAGAGAAAAATGAGAAACAGTAAACAAAACAAAAGCAACGGAACGCCTGATAACCACGGTCAAAGCATACGCCCACAGCCTGAACCACTTCCCACTGCTACATCATCAGGCGCGCCCCCTCCAAACCGAGAATGGTGTAAAGTGTGTAACTCTGAAGTTATACAATGAATCCCGCTGTGACAAAAAAAGAACTTGCAAAACCCCTTTACCCCGCCAAAATACTGTTACTGCCAACCCCAAAATCAATCAAACCTCAGCAAGCTCTTTAGACTGCATTTTTCTTCGAAACATCACCTCCTTTCCCGCCCTGAAGAGCCCTCGAATCAGGTGGAATTGTGCCAAAAGTTAGAACCCCAGAAGATGCAGCAAATCCATTGACTTTAACTGGGACCGTTCCTACAGTAACAACAGTAGCAGCATTGCCTCCAGCAGCTGATACAGTTGGAACGGGCTTTGCGATGGACTGAGGCTTCATCGGGTTTATACTGAGGGAGCCAATCTTCAGAGCAGTAGCTGCTACTGCACCATTGTCTACTTCAGCAACTGCAAGGTCGGACGGATGACTTCTGACGGTGGTGGATTCGGATATAGCTGCAATTTTTTCTGTACCAGATTGTGCCCGGGCCTCCTCTGAAGCTGCTTTGTCATATTTACTCGGGAAGATCCCAGGTAGACTATTGAGTTTGAGAGTGGGGTCCAATGAAGCTGCCAGGAATGGAGTTCCAAACCTCTTAACTGTAAACCGGGTTTTCTCTTCTTGCATGATTCTCTGCCGGTGCTCGTAGTAGGTGAAGTCATCAAGTAACGAAGTATCAACAACTTGCCTTTTGAAAATCTTCAGCATCTCCAGGCCTTGCTTGATCATTACCTGCAAAAAACCGATAGAGCTTGTTCAGACAAGTTTCCATAATAAGAAACCCATCTTCCCAAAGCTGAAAAGACCAAATAGACTTGCTACAGAACTACTTCTTTGAACAGAGATCTCACAATACTGAAGAAGCAGTAAAGCTGAAGGCTAACTATCTAGGAACTTAAATGTTGGTATACCTCTTGAGTGTCTCTACTATTAGTCACTGGCTTATTTTCATTGTTCTCCAAGATTATGTGTCTAAAGCTCCCATTTTGTACATCTTTAATCATGTGCCACTTCACAGGGAAACTACCAGACCATTTATCTTGCTGCCAAAAATCCATATCCTTTCTGAAGTTAACTGGACCAATCATCTCAGCAACACCACAAAACTGTCCACTTGCATTAACCTGTACCACCAAATAAACACATTAATGGAGCTACTTATAATGCATATTTCTAAATAGGTGACAACTCACCACCATGAACGAAGCAAAGCTTACCGAAAAGAAAAGAAAGATGGGACAACTACTAGCTTTCTCTGCAGCCATCTTCTGTGCATCTTCATAGGCACTCTGCAGCTTTTTGTTCCCATGAGGAGTTGATGACCAAACGTTGTATTTGATGCTCTTGTGAACATCATCCTCGCTATATGACTTAATCACAAAGAACTTTGCACAAGTGTAGTCAACTTGGAAATCATCCCTGTTGTATTGATCTGTAGAAATTATGATATTCCCCTCTGCATTAGAATCACCTACTTTGGCCGTGTACGCTTTGACAGCTAACTGAGTTTTTGACTTGGTTGTTCTAGGTCCACGATTCTGCTCACCCAGTGCATCATGGCCCCCATCTGCATCATTGAGGGTTCTGCCAGCATGGACATTTGATCGATTCTTATCCATGTAGGTTCTTCCATGAGAATTTGCTCCGAACTCAGAGAGGCCATTGTTGACAGGGGGAGCATGTTTCAGCTGGTTCCGTTGAGGTAAATATTTTACCTTAGTTGTGCTATCAATTGGCTGCATTGGTCCAGATGCATTCCTGCTCTGTTATCAGTACATCATCGATACAAAAGAATGTGTGAGAATAGTGTCATGGTGAAGAATCATGTACATTAGGTCAGACATGACTACAAGTAACAGGCATGTTCTTTGTAACAAATAAGAAGAAAACCACAAATTACCTGAAGCACACGTGTTGCCGCTGTCTGATAGCTACCAGAAGAAACATTATCATGCACCAAAGAATACTTGCTACTTCCATTGTTAGATCTAGGTCCCTCAGAAGCTGGTCTTGCCAATGAGTTAGTCTGATTACCAAATGATTTAGAAGGATTCCTAGAGAAGGATGCAGAAGATGATCCATGCCTTCTTCCACCTTGTCCACTATTAGCATATACAACCCCAGCATCAGGAAGGGGATCCACCAAATTGCTCGAAGAAACGTCGGCTTGAACAAGAACAGGGACGTAACCAGCGGAAGAAAGAGAGTCCTGATATTGAGGCATGGTATAGCCTACATAGGAGCCATCCACTCCCATCATGGCACCAGGTATGTAAGGATTGTATGGGTTGTATGGTGACTGTGCATATCCATAGCTAGGTGTATAACATACATAAGGTAAATTTTCAGTTTGTGCACCCTGAAAAAGGTAAAGTGGAGTTGTAATAAGCAATTCATTAGCAATGCACTGGAACTGAACAAAAGAATTATCAATCAAAGGAACACTCACCGCATACTGAACTTCAGGACCATCAACGCCAAAAATCATGTGGGGGTCCTCCCATTCGCCAGGTGCTTCAAATCCTGAGTTGCATTAAAAATGCATACAAACAAGTGAGTAATTATAGGTTAAGCTAGCAGCACACTCCGAAATTAAAAACAGAGCGACGAAATTACCTGTACAGTACCAACTGTAGTTGCTGGCGGTAGGATAGTACATTCCTTGATGAACATATTCAGGGGCTCCTTCGTTGTACATGGCTTCAAATTGTTCAAACACCGGAGACGTCAATACAGGGTCAAATCCAGATTGCTGAATCTAAAGGCAACAACAGGGAGTGTGTTAACAAAGCAAAGATCCACATAATTCAAAATAGCATAATTACCAGGTTAAGGTGAAATAAGAGTGCACAACAAAGATAACAAGATGCAGAAAATGAACTGCAAGAAAATACCAAATATGTTTCCGTGTTTGCATTTCCAGAAACATTGTACATTTCCATTCCCAAGCTCCAAGCCCTGGATAAGTAAATGAATCCAAACTTAAGCATGGAATGGGAAAAACCACCAGAAAAATCAAAGCGACTCAATCAGATAGCCAAAACAGTCAACCAGAAGAACACAATCAGATATGCAAAACAATTTGCACGAAACAATTCGACTACGCAACAGTGCCCCCAAAGGAGTGTCGCTCTCGCGAGCCATAGAAAGGAAGAATACGCAGAACAATAGAACCTTCCAACTCGAGCCAGTGCCTAGTACCGGAACGAAGCAAGACAACACTAGAACGGGAACACTCGTCCAATCCAACCGACAGCAGCCAAACCAACTACACAGCCCGAATATCATTAACCCCAAAAAAATCAGTGGAAAACAGCTCTGGCGAATCCCCCCAATCAGGAACACCTAAGTTCAAAACCCTAAATTAAACACGAAGGACAGAAGCAGCCACCACAACAGCCTTAGAACTCACGCTGCAATTACCCGGCACAACGACTGAGACAGAATTCGTCGAAGAGCTTCGCAGAAGGATAGGATTAATTACCAGAGAAAAGAGAAGATGGAGAGGAAATCAAGCCACGGTTGAAGCAGACCGCTGCTGCAGATAGAGATTGGGGCGGTTGGAGGGCGGATAAGTTGGTGCTGGGACCATTGTTTTCCCTTCGTTTTCTCCTGGTTTTCAAAGTTGACACGACTGAGAAACCCTAACCCTAGAAGAGAGAGTGTAGAGAGAGAGATAAGGAGGGATAGAGGACGGACGGAGACTTTGGAGAAAAGGCGGTTTGGGGTGTGCGCTAAGAAAAGTAGAAAAGAAAACACAGAGAGTTAGACGCGGAAAGCGGGGATTCGGATTCGCACCACCAAATACGAAGCGTTTCCCTTCCGTCGTCGCGGTTCTTCTATTTTCGTTCCGGTGAATTTCCTGAATCGCCCTCGAAGGTCCGCGGGGATAAATGGAACGGTGAATTGGCTTGTCGTTTTGGCTGGGGACGGAAACGGACATTTTCGGGAAGAGCCCATATTAGCTGTCAGTATCTGGCCTTTTTCTAGAACGGGCCGAGTTAGCATTCAATGAGGATGAGCAAATGCAACGCTGGCCTGCCAATCACAATATCCTGTTACGATAGCCTCAACTTTTTCCCCAATATATCAGCATCACTAGTGTTTTCAAAAATTAATCAGTTAAGTTGATGAACGAGCGAGGGTATAAGTAACATACATTTATTTTAAAAATAGAGAAGTTGCAAGATGTCTTTTAGATTGCATGAGATCGCATATTCTCATTATTCATAGTTGACTTATGCTTTTTTGTAATAAATAGTTCAAAATGTGTCTTAAAACTTTTATTTCCACGAGAGTAAAAGAATTGTATGTTACTCACTTGTGCATCCACTGCAAAAATCATGAACACCATCACTCTCATAAAGCACCATCTAATCACATCTAACACGATCAACATCCACAATAAATGAATTAGAGATCCCCGAATATAGAGTGGTTGAAGCCTTTCCACCACACATGTTGGATCCTGCAAAATCCAACGACGACTCTATGGGATTTACTACACGTAGCACCATCTATGAGCCTCACCAACCCGCATAACAAGGGAGAACCACTAGCACTATGGCTGGCTGCACCCATGCCCCTAAAGACCACGATGAACAAGAGCAGTTGCTATCTCATGTGCAATATCTCAATCTGCAACCTAAAAGTAAAAACATGGACACACACTCAATATCTTATCAAACCAAGTTAACTGTGCATTTTGAATGAAAACATGGACGATAAGATAGAGGAGAGTGTTTTATTATATAGAGGAGAGTGTTTTATCAGAGAGCGTCTTATCCTCGCCACCATTGCCGACGTCGCGGGGAGGAGGAGCGAATCAGGGGAACAAAACGATGCCGTCTCCGCGGCGTGTTGTGTGGTGTGCTTGAACCAGATGAATCCGGAGGACGCCGCCGTTGGTGACTGGATCGCAGAGCCGTGTGGCGGCGGAGTAGTAGCAGCCGAATTGGGCGATGTTGTGTGTGCCTACCGACGCACCGACGCGACGGTTACCGGTCGGGGGCGGTGTGGCGATACACCGGGAGACGGTTAAGCTAAGTATTCTTACATATTCAATTTTCTTATTCATTAGTAATATTTATTTGTTTTCTTTTGTTAATTATCCTCCCTCATTTATTAATTTTCTTATTCATTATTAATTTGGTGTGTTGCTGTTGCTAAATCGAATTTTGGGATGCTGTCGTGGAGGTTATCCTTTTGAGTCCTGCTTCTTCACCGGATCAAGTTGGCGTCGCACTTATCATGAAGTTGTATCCTTTCGATGGTTTGAGTGGTTTCCCTCACTTTTTTCTTAGGAACTAACAGAGCTGCCCATTGCGTGGCAAAAACGGCTCTTTCATCGACAGCTCAATTAGTATTGACTGTCGCTTTTATTTTTCAATCCATTGTAATCAACTATCTATTACTATTCTATCTATGGCAAAAAAAAAAATCTATATGACCACTTAAATAAATTATCAAAAACTCAGTGAGTAATTTGTATTAGTATATCAAACAAAAAAAGTAATAAGAGTTGAGTCTTCAATTATCATAGCCAGTAACTTCCGGCTATCGTGCATATCACGTTACTTGTAATTAGTAGTTGCTGCTCCTATTTCTGAGTAGTAGTGCTCCTTATTTCTAGCTGAGATAGTTAACAATCCTACATATATCAGTTCGCACTTTCAATGAGAAAATGAGAATCTCAACTCCTCCCCCTCTCAACATTTCCCTCTAATTCCATAGAACGGCCATGGAAGCAGAAGATGCACCAGCTTCCGAGTTGGCTCTCGCCGACACAAACATTCACTGGGACAGGTTCTTTCGCCGCTCCTCTCCTCCGCGTCTTACTTTCCATCCACATTTCGTAGTAAATAATATATGGGTTCGTTTGGAAGTTGCGATTGTTTTGTTGAGATTGTCATTATTCATGTATTGTTTACAATACATCGTTTTTTTGTTTTTTTAACAGAAACAATACATGGATTGTTTCTGTGATGTGACAGAAACTATCACTCATTTTGAGTGATTGTTATATCTCAACTTTTAGGGGTCGTTTGGAAGTTGCGATAGTTTTGTTGAGATTGTCATTATGCATGAATTGTTTACAATGCATCGTTTTTTTGTTTTTTTAGCAGAAACAATACATGAATTGTTTCTGTGATGTGACAGAAACTATCACTCATTTTGAGTGATTGTTATATCTCAACTTTTAGTTGAGATTGTTGAGATAGTTGAGTTGAGATTGTTTTGTCTCAGCTTTTAGCTTATGTGACATACACAATCACACATACCAAACGTTGTATTCTACAATGCATCAAATTCGACAATACATGTATAATATTATACATGCATTCTCAACAATGCATCTATTTAACAATCGCAACTTCCAAACGACCCCTTAGTTGTGATTGTTGAGATAGTTGAGTTGAGATTGTTTTGTCTCAGCTTTTAGCTAATGCGACATACACAATCACACATACCAAACGTTGTATTCTACAATGCATCAAATTCGACAATACATGTATAATATTATACATGCATTCTTAACAATACATCTATTTAACAATCGCAACTTCCAAACGACACCATGATCCATAATTAAATCTCTAGATCTAGTTATAAAATAATAGCGAATTGTTCGATGGCGTGTGTATATTCAGGCTGGACAAGACGAGGTTCCACGTGATCGGAGCCGTGCTGCTCACCGCGCAGCAAGCATTGCTCCATCCGACGGCGGTGGTGAAGACGAGAATGCAAGTGGCGGCCGAGGCCGGGAGAGGGTTCTCCGTGTTCAGGAGCATACTGAGGAGCGACGGAATTGCAGGGATTTACAGAGGTTTCGGGACTTCCGCAATTGGATCGCTGCCTGGCAGGGCTTTGGCACTGACGTCGCTAGAAGTCTCCAAGGACGTGACGCTGAAGTACCTGGAGAAATTCGACATGCCGGAGGCAACCAGGCTTGGAATTGCAAACGGAGTTGCGGGGATGGTGTCGAATCTGGTTTCTTGTGGCTACTACGTGCCTCTGGATGTGGTAACGTCAATCAACATTTTAGTCCCCTCTCTCCTTAATGATGTAGTTTAATTTTGTCCTGTGAGCTGTTTGTATAGCAGTAAAAATTTTCACGGGACAAGGTGAACATTAATAAAACTAAAATCAACGCTAGCTATCGCGTCCAACCCAAATCGACTCATCCGTAATATCCGAAAATAAAATTGAATTTCATGGGGTCGTAGCGGATTCGAATTTTGAAAACCGTTGCATTGTGATTGGGTACGAGTTTTGATCGTTACAACCTGAAAACCGTATACATTCCTCTAATCGCAATTTTTTTTTACGTTAATTGTTACACATATCATTTGTTTACATGGTTATAATTGATAAATTCTAAAGTGTTCGCTGAAGTGAAATTTTATCTTAATACTTGCATTTGTCTAGTATAAATACACATTTAACATGATATTTCATTTTATTATTTCGTATAACGTCATATATGTCGTATGCTTCGTATTAGATTATTAAAATTATGAATTTTATTCTCGTTTAGTGGATTTTGAATTTTCATCCAACCAGACTCAAATCGTGACCCAAGAAACACATAGGCTCTTGATTTACCATAATTCAACCCGTGACTCATTGATTGGGTGGTTAAAATGCTCGAAACCTTTCAGGTGCGACAGAGACTAATGGTGCAAGGGCTTCCGGGGACAACAGTGTGCCACGGGCCACTCGACGCCATCTACAAGGTGATCAAATCCGAAGGGTTTCGAGGTTTGTATAGAGGTTTCGGACTAACAACATTGACACAATCCCCATCTACTGCTCTGTGCTGGGGCGTTTATGGCGCTTCACAACACCTTATCTGGAGGTGTTTCCCCCATTAATCTTTTTCCTTTCATTTGATTCATCTCTACTGTTCGAGGAACTGTGCTAAACTGTTGTCTCGTTTGTTAGGGCTTGTGGCTATGGAGATGAATTAACATCGAAGGTGGAGAAACCGTCTCATGTTGAGATGATTGCAGTTCAGTCGGCAGCAGGGATGGCAGCAGGTGCTTGTTCGTCGGTGATCACTACCCCAGTGGACACTGTCAAGACGAGACTCCAGGTAATTATCAGACACATGGTGGGTTTTTTTTTTTATCGTTTGGTTTCTTGTAAATGTGCAAACTTGGTGTGATTAACTATGGTTTGGGGGGTGATTGGTGAAGGTGATGGACAACTATGGTGGTGGGAGGCCTTCGGTGATGAAGACGGTGAAGAACCTTGTTGAGGAGGATGGATGGTGGGGGTTTTATAGAGGGGTTGGACCGCGGTTCGTGAACATGTCGTTGTGTGGCACTACCATGATTGTTACGTACGAGCTCATAAGTATGTCCGCCACTACGTACACTACTACTTGATGCATATGTCTTTCAAACAAAATTTGGTGTATATATTTTCATGTTGCTCTCCTTCTCTGGACGAATTTGAGTGTGTTAACTTTGTTTGATTTTGTGGTTTTGGAGCAGAGAGACTTTCGGTAAAACAACAGAATTAAGATGGCGACGACGGGATCAGATTTCAATTGCATGCCTAACTCGACCATATTTCTTGGATGGTTCGTTTTTTCTTTGTGTCTCTACCGAAATAATTTTTTAAAAATAATAAAATAAAAGGGGTTATGTATACTAGCTTTGTATCCGACGCGTTAGACGATTAGTAGTCTTATTAATTTATATTTCATAGCTGTGTTTTTTTTTATCAGTATTTGATCATTTATATGCAACACACCATGAATTGAGTGTACATAAAACTTCATATCACTAAAACGATAAATTGTGACTTTGAAAAATCAATACATCTAATCCAAATTTACGAAATGATAGCAACTTTAAGTCTTTGACAAATGAATACATGAAGTTCACAAACTTTTAAAACATTGTATCATTTGGTATGTACCAAAGTCCTAAATTTTCTTATTCTCCTATTACTAATATGTGAACCTTAAAGTATATTAATTGAAAATACTTAACTGATTAATTGATTTGTAATCTCAATCAGGTGACTAAAATAACACGTGGAGTAGAAACTACAATTAGATCCAAAACATTAATATTAAAGGTATAATCAAATAGTATTGATTCAAACATTAATATTAAATTGTATGTGTTGTTTAGTTCAGAAAAAATACAGAAGTGTAACCAAAACATGGACCTTTCACATTTGTGACGAGTATAATCATTTTTTTGTGACAAATCTACACATAATATAATGATAAAATTGGAAGATGAGAGTCTCATTTCAAATTTCGTGGTCTGAGAGTGATTCTAGTAAGCTTTTTTAGTCATAATGCACAATTTATCTTTATATGTGTAGATTTGTGATAAAAAAATTACTATATTTGTCATAAAGATCCATGTTTTGGCTACACATATGTATTTTGTCTAAACTGAACCACACATACAATTTATTATTTAATGTTTGAATCAATGTTACTTGAGTTCCGATTTCACAATTAACCACTTTCTATAAGAAATAATAATTTCAGGTAAAATACCTTTCCTACTTGGTTGAAGAAACTCTTTCTATGAGATATATATATATATATATATATATATATATATATTCAATGTTTTAATATTTTTTTATTTCAAATTTCGTGAAGCGAGAGCGAAAGTAGGAAGAGTATTTTTGTCATCACAATTATTATATACTTCATGTGAAAAAGTATCAATATCAAGATTTAAATCATGGTCTCTTAAAACAAAAACAATAATCACAACCAATTACACTAAACAAATTTGTTTTATCTTCATAAATTGTAAACATGCACTAAACGAAGATTTGAAAAGCCGAGGACTTTTCACAGTTAACTAGCCTATTAAATCTTCTAAAAAGCAAAATTTAATACGTTATTTATAATTTTCATAGGCTATAAAATGACGGGTAATCTTAAAATTGTAACACAAATTTCATTGCTTAAAATATTGCATATCAAACTGCAGTATTGAATATGCAAAAGCGATGTAGAATTCTGTAAATGAATATGAATTTTCATAACTAATACGAAACAATAATATTTGTGCAAACTATAGGTGACTGGTTCGCTAAAATTTTACCCTGGTTAACTGCTAAACGTTAAACTCTTGCTAATCGGACATGAATGGACCCGACAATAATGAGACGATATCGAGTTTAATGTGATGTTCATTTCGTCAGTTTTGGATCGGATGCGTTGATCAATTTATAAGGCATTAACATATAAAGGAGTTATAATTAACCTCATTATACAATTTTTGCTCTTCATAATAATTAATTTAATCTTAATATTTGTGATGTTTGAAATATTTTATGTATGATTGAGAGGTATAATTATTATTTATCACATCATTTTATTATTTGAATGCAAAATTAGAGAAGTAATTGGGATGTTTATAGGTTTCTCTCGATTTCAGGCGGTGGGAAGAAAGAAGAAGGAAAAATGGGAGAGTTGTGACTTGTGAGATACAAAGGTGAGAGAAAGAAAGAGATGGAAGAACAAATGGAAAAACAAAGAGCAAGACAAAGAGAAAGTGAGAGGACACATTTAAAAGAGGAGGAAAATGACATATTCTTGGGCATATTCGGTTGAGTTTTGATTTATTTTAGGACATGACATTATGTTTGACATGTTTTTTCTATTTCAATTTAAAATCCTAAATCAATATTATCATTTGGAAGATTTTTTTCCCTTAATACGATTATTATATTTTTTGAGATTTAAGGGGTATTTGATAATGTCAATATTTTAGAGATTTTTTATTTAAAGTTTGTATTGAAAGATCGTACGTACCAGCGGTTAGACCATAAAACTTCACATAATAGGCTAAATCAATAGGTGATATTTAGCAATATGAAACAGTTGAATCATAGTTAAATTGTGACTTCAGTATAAAATACTGTACTTCCAACTTTTTCGATACGGTTTTACAATCCTTTGGTACATACAATTCTTTTACACTGGTGGAAATAAAAGTTTTAAGGCACATTTTGAACTATTTATTGCAAAAAAGAATAAGTCAACTAGGTATAATGAGAATATGCAATATCATGCAACCCAAAAGACACTTTGCAACTTCTATCTTTTTAAAATAAATGTATGTTACTCATACTCTCGCTCATTCATCAACTTAATGAGTAACATATATTTCATGTAATATTATTTTCATACTTTTTTATTTATTGAATTATTTTATAAAAAAATATTTGCTGCATGAAAATTACTACATTGTTGCTAGACATGTTTGCAATCTGAGAATAATTTGGGAAGTCCGTACACAACACATTGTCCAACTAACTATTAGCGACAGCTTAGCTGCATGGCCCGCATGACCGCATCATGTCCGATATATTTCAAATCAAGCAACTTCAGATTCATTGCCAATAGTGTGATAAAAAAGAATGCTTTGTATTGGGAAAAACCGAAATGACATACTAAACTTTCTGATACATTTTCTTTCATCCTAAAGCTCTTCCCCAATTTTGTTTTTTGTGTGGTGTGGTTGGCCATGTGAGCCGGTTGTGCCCAAGGAAGGAAGAGTTGGCAGGGGCTCCTCCTCGTTATGGTAAGCATATGGTGGCTCGAGAATTCGGTCCTCGTGTCAACGAAACTACTCTGGCTCGGCGTCGCAAACGTTTTGTTTGGACCTTGGCTGGCAACCATTATGGGCCTCGATCGGCGGCGATTTCTCACATGCCTGCTGCCGACCCTTGCTTGGCTGCTGCTTCTGGTCAGGAACAAGGCTTGCAGGAGGGAATGACTTCTCATCTTTGTCAGCTTCAGATTTCGGATCTGCCTTTTGAAGAGAAGAGTGCCCAGTCCGCCCCTTTGGATGTTTCTTATGATCAGGAGATGATCGAGGCTTCTGAGCCCCCTTCCAAGAAGGCTCGTGTTGTGCCTCAAGAGCAAGATTCTTCTTTTTCTCAACATGTCAGGGTGGAGGCAGCCGGCCCAAACCGGTCCCAAATCGATAAATGAGTATTCTTGCGTGGAATTGTCGGGGTTTGGGAGCTCCCCTGACAGTTCCGGTTCTCCGAGAGGCTCTAGTTCGAGACACCCCTTTTCTGGTTTGCTTAAGTGAGACTCGTCGTGATGATGATTTCGTTGTGCAGCAGTTGATTTCTCTTGGCTTTACTGAGGAGCGTGTACATAGTGTTTCCAATAATGGTAGCGGTTTAGCTGTTGCCTGGTCCTCATGTTTAGTGTGCTCAGTTTCGGTTGAGTCGTCGGGTTTTTTGTTTTTAGAATGTGACCACTCATCTTTGGGTCGTTTTGCGGTGATTTTTGTTCACTTACATTGTGATGTTGCACCCCGCCAATTTCAACTTAATGAAATCTCTTTTCTTGTTTCGTCGTATGAGGATCCTGTTTTTGTGATGGGTGATTTTAATTGCTTACTTTCTAGTAGTGAGAAACAGGGTGGTCGCCCTCCTACTCCTGCTGCTTTACAACAATTAAACCTTTTCTTGTCAGCAGGCGGTCTCCAAGACCTAGGTTTCTCTGGACCTCCTTTTACATGGTCTAATCGACAGTCGAATGGTGATCATATTCAATCCCGTTTGGATCGTTGTTTAGCTAACCATCTAGTTCTTTCCTTGTGGCCAGACTTGCAGGTTCACCATCTCTCGGACAGGGGTTCGGATCATAGGATGATTCTTGTTCGTTTTGTGCAGCCAACTGCTAGGCGGACCCGGCTTTTCCACTATGATAATCGGTGGAATTTCAACCCGGAGGTTCCTCCTATTCTTCTCTCGGCGTGGCATACTCCTGTTGTCGGCACTCCTCTATTCCGCATTCAAACCAAGCTCAAACAGGTGCGGCACGAGCTGTTGAGCTGGGCAAAAGTGGGAACTTCGAATTCTGCCCGTCAAATTCGGGAACTCCGGGGCGGTATTGATATAGCGAGGGATGGTGTTGCTGTCAATTGGGAGGAGATTAACCGGTTGGAGGTTCTTTTGACCGAGGCGTACCGGCAAGAGGAGCTATATTGGAAACAAAAGTCTCGGGTTAATTGGCTTCAGGGCGGTGATGCGAATACTCATTTTTTTTCATCTGGCTGCTCTTCAACGTCGGCGGGCGAATATCGTCTCCGTTCTCCGGGATGATCAGGGTGAACTTCATACGGATGAGCAGGAGAAAGGGGAAGTGTCTACTACTTATTTCCAGAATATTTTCACCTCCAATGGCTTGGACCCCTTACAGTTTGTTACTGATCTGCATATTCCGTTTTTGATTTCTCCCGCTATGAATGCTTTCCTCACTGCACAGGTTACCAGTGCTGAAATCAAACAAGCATTTTTCAGCATAGGGAAGTACCAAGCTCCGGGCCCTGACGGTTTCACAGCTGGTTTTTATCAACGATTTTGGGATGAGATTGGGGGTGATGTGACTGAGGCTCTCCTCTCCTTTTTTAGGACGGGTCGTCTCCTTCATAGCATTAATCATACATGGTTGTCCCTTATCCCAAAAGTGCCAAATGCTGACTCTATGCGTCAAATGAGACCTATTGGACTTTGTCAAGTTCTATATAAGGCGATCTCCAAGATCCTTTCCAATAGGCTAAGTTCCATTCTCCCTCATATTATTAGTCCTTTTCAGAATGGCTTTGTCAAAGGACGTTGCATCACTGATAATATTCTTATTGGTCAAGAGGTGATGCAGTTTCTCAAAACAAAGGTTCGCGGTCAGGACAAGTGGATGGCGCTTAAGCTCGACATGGAAAAGGCGTACGATCGTGTGGAGTGGGATTTCCTCTTCCATATTATGGATTCGATGGGTTTTTGTGCTCAATGGATGAAATGGATTAAGGCCTGCATCACTACTGTTCATTTCTCGGTCCTGCTCAATGGCAGTGAGTACGGCTACTTTCAGCCTCAGCGAGGAATTCGGCAAGGCGATCCCTTGTCGCCTCTCCTTTTCGCCATCTATACTGAAGCTTTTGCGGCACAGATCACCCAAGCTACGGAGAGTTCAATGCTACATGAATTAAAGGTTCACAGGTCTGCTCCACCCTTATCTCATCTCTTTTTCGCGGATGATTCATATCTCTTCCTTCGTGCCTCTATTCCTGAATGTGCGAATCTTCTTCAACTGTTGGCTGACTATGAAATGTTTAGTGGGCAACGGGTTAATTTGAATAAATCTGCTGTGTGTGTGAGTGCTAATGTTTCAGAACAGGAATTATTATCGATCAGCTCTTTTCTAGGAGTTGCTATTTTGACTCCTGATGACAGGTACTTGGGACTCCCCTCCCAACTCCGTCGGTCTAAATCTCTTTCCTTTCAATTCATTGAAGAGGACTTGGCAGCTCGAATAAGGTCTTGGAAGACTAAGGCTATGTCCCTGGCGGCAAAAGAAGTGGTGATCAAAGCCATTGGGGTGGCTGGTCCTATTTATGCTATGTCTGCTTTCAGACTTCCTCAAGAAACCTGTCGTCGTTGCAACAGTCAGCTGTCTAAGTTTTGGTGGGCGGGCCAGGACAAGGAGAATGGCATTCACTGGATATCTTGGAGTGCTGTATGTCAGAGTAAGTTTGCTGGTGGGTTAGGTTTTCGGGATTTTAATCGGTTTAATGTTGCTTTGCTAGCCAAACAGGCATGGCGCATCCTCAGCAACCCCAACAGCAATCTAGCCCGGCTTTACCAGGCTAGGTATCATCCCCACAGGAATTTTCTTGATGCGACAACGGGCTCCCGGCCTTCATGGGCCTGGCAGGGCATCTTGGAAGGGAGGGACCTCCTCCTCAAAGGCTTACGGTGGCAGGTTGGAGATGGCTCTCGGATCCGCACTTTGCAAGATAACTGGCTCCCTTCCTCTCCTCCTTCCTGCCCTTTATTACTTCCAGGTTTGAGCGTTTGCCCCCCTCTTGTCTCTGACCTCATCTGTCATGTTTCTCATTCATGGAAAAAGGATCTGTTAACATCTCTTTTCTCTCAAGAAAGTGTTGAGCTCATCTTGTCTATTCCACTACCTCTAGTTTTCTCCTCAGATCGTTTGATTTGGCATTACTCTCCTTCTGGTATCTACACCGTTAAAACCGGGTATCATTTTCTGTCATCTGAGTACAACCTTCTTCACCCCCCGGCGGCGCTACCTTTTGATTCAAAATTTTGGAAATTGCTTTGGAGTATTCCTGTGCCACCCAAATTGAAGTTCTTCTTTTGGCGGGCTGTTCGTGGTTTCTTGGCTCTTCAGATAGTGTTATTCACTAAAACTCTTGTTACTGATACTATTTGTCCTATTTGTTCTGGGGAACCAGAATCCTTTTCCCACTTTTTCTTTTCTTGCAGGGTAGCTCGAGGCCTTTGGAGGCTGGCTAACCTTGAAGGTTTGAGTACCATTCTTGGTGGAATGCCTCCTGATGAGGCCTGGACACATCTTTTCTTCTCCATGAACTTGTCCAAACTTGAACTTGCTAACATTGTTTTCATTCTTTGGAGAATTTGGAAGGGACGTTGTTGGGCGGTCCACGATCACATTCAGTATCTCCCTCATGCTTTATTTCGACAGTATCGACGCCAAGTGGACGAGTGGAGGGAGGCTACCCAGGCACCTCCACCTCAGTCTCATCGTAGGGCTTCTCCTCTCCCTGCCGCATCAGCTCGTGTTGGGTCATCCTCTGGAATTTCTCCCACTATAAATGTTTGGTTTGATGGGGCAGCCAAGCGTGGCCAAGGAGGTAGTATCGGTTTCGTAGGTTTTCATGAGACAGGTACTGTGCTCTTTGCATTTGGCAAATTTTATGATGGAATTCAGGATCCATTTATTATGGAATGTTTAGCCTTGCGTGATGCCTTGCAGTGGTGTCTAACCCATTCTTTCCTTGTTGTTTCTTTGCATGGGGACTCTCAACTTTTAATCCGGCGGATGGTTGGCGGTGATTTGCATCATGATCGGGGAGGTGCTATTTTGGCGGATGTTAAGAGCTTGGCGTCATCGTTTAGCAGCATCTCTTACTGTTTTGTGTCCCGTTTACATAATAGGGCTGCCCATCATGTGGCACAAAAGGCCCTCTCATCGAGAGTTCGACTATTGGTCGACTCTCGCTCTTTTCTTTCTTCTTCATTATGACTTTCTTTCAACACTGACTTTGCGAAAAAAAAAAAAAAAAAAAAAAAAAAAAGGTTAATTATGTATGTATTATGAGAAACAACTCTAATATTCAACTATATGGTTTAATTAAGCAATGAATGACAATTAGTTATATTTATTTTTTCCATTCAATAATTATATGTAATGCTCATATTATATTTTTGTTCTCTTTTCATGGAGGTTTAAACACATTATGCATAGTTGAATCACTTTCAAAAATGTTATGCGCATAACTAAGGTAGAAGACAATAATTTCCTGCAATTCAAATCATCTACTATATCCATTATTAATTATTATATAGTATATTTCTCGATAAAATTCTTCCGGCCAAGGAGTCGGACTCGGCCCTGTACTAGTATAAATAGTGTGAAAAATTCAGGTAAACACAAAATACAATGGAAAAATGTAAAGAAATAAATTAAGAAGAAATCATTTACAAATTACAAAAAGGAAAAACGTTTTATACCTCCAAAAATAAAAACAAATTAGGAAAACAGGAGTCGACAAGATAACCATGCTGCTTTAACCAACGGGCTTGCACAGCCGTGTTTGGGCCCATGAATCTGGAGAACTGAGTGGACGAAAGTGTGTGGGCTACAATAATTGGCACCACCTCTTTAACTGGAGTCACCGACTGATTAAGCACCGGAACTTTCTTGATTAAGTCAGTTTGTTCCTCTCTAAAAATTACACCGTCGACGAGTATTGTTCCCGCCAGCCGCTGCAGAGAAACAGCCGGCTGAGATCCACCGGGGACGGCGCCGGAAGGAGAAGAAAGACAGTAGTAGAACGGTGATGGAGGCAGAAGCGGCAGCAGCTTCCGAGCTGGCTCTCGCCGACACCAACATTAATTGGGACAGGTTCGCTCGCTGCTCCTCTCCCTAATTCCGTTGCTTCCCTCCACATTTCGTGCTCTCAACTTGTAGTCGCGGCCATGAAATTGGAATTCGTGTGTAAGTCGAGTTTCGAGCATCAGAATCGTGATCTGATTTTCGATGGTGTGTCTATTCAGGCTGGACAAGACGAGGTTTCACGCGTTTGGAGCCGTACTGTTTACCGCGCAGCAAGGGCTGCTCCACCCAACGGCGGTGGTGAAGACCAGAATGCAAGTGGCCGACGGAGGGATTCCCCAAATGCGGGGGTTTTCCGTGTTCAAAAGCATACTGAGGAGCGATGGAATTGCAGGGGCTTACAGAGGGTTTGGGACATCTGCGGTTGGATCGCTGCCTGGCAGGGTTTTGGCACTGACATCCCTAGAAGTCTCCAAGGACATGACCCTGAAATACATGGAGAAATTCGATATGCCGGAGGCCACCAGGCTCGGCATTGCAAATGGGGTGGCAGGCATGTTGTCGAATCTAGTTTCTTGTGGCTACTATGTGCCTTTGGATGTGGTAGGTTAAAGAACATTTTAGTCCTTCCTTACTGAATTTGTTCCTTTGTCTGCTTTGCCCTCTTTGCTTCCATTCGAGTTGTGATAGCAGTAGGCCTATTTGCGGGGCATAGTGGATACTGCTAATCACGCATTAGCCCTGCAGACTGATATGTGGAGCTTCTGGTATATACTGTTGTGCTGATCTTGCTTGTAATGCTTGGAATGGTATGGTGTGTGTGCTTTTAGGTGTGCCAAAGGCTAATGGTGCAAGGGCTTCCGGGGACAACAGTCTGCCACGGGCCACTAGATGCCATGCGCAAGGTCATCAAATCGGAAGGGCTTCGAGGCTTATATAGAGGTTTCGGACTAACTGCATTGACTCAATCCCCAGCTTCTGCTCTGTGGTGGGGTGCTTATGGTGCTGCCCAACACCTTATCTGGAGGTGTGTCTCTAACATTTCCTTCCCGTTTGATAATCTGTATTGTTGGAATTGAAGATTTCCAGTTGATGTTGTTTCATATGTTTAGTGGCTTAGGATATGGAGATGAATTAGCGGAGAAGATGGAGAAACCATCTCATGTTGAGATGATTACAGTTCAGGCTGCAGCAGGGATGGTAGCAGGTGCTTGTTCGTCAGTGATCACTACACCTGTGGACACTGTCAAGACGAGACTCCAGGTAATCAATCACGTGGTCACTTGGCTGTTTAGTTTCTTATAAATGTGCAACTAGAAGGTCTAATTATGGCTGGGGGATTCTTGAAGGTGATGGACAACTATGGTGGCGGGAGGCCTTCGGTGATGAAGACAGTGAAGAACCTTGTTAAGGAAGATGGATGGTGGGGTTTCTATAGAGGGTTTGGACCGCGATTCCTGAACATGTCGTTGTATGGCACTACCATGATTGTTACGTACGAGCTCATAAGTATGTTTTCCACACACAATCTCGTTGGTTCATGTATCTGCAGACTGCTTTTGTTCTTCCAAAGACTGTTCAATAACTTTAGTGTGTTGATTGTGCTTGGTTTTGTGGTTTGGAGCAGAGAGACTTTCGGTAAAGCAAAGGAATTAAACTGGAGACAGGATCAGATTTCATTTGCCTGCCAAACTCGGCCATTTCCTCTTGTATTGTAATTTCACACTCTATTACTTGCTCCTGTATTATTCTTTGACTGTGATAATGATGCTGATTAGAGGGCTTGATTCATATTCACAAATGCTTGTGTCTCTGTGGAACGAATTTTCCAGAATAATAGAAAAAGGATTTATGCATACAGCATATATGCTTTTTTGTTACTTGTTTTAGTCGACGGCAGGTTCCTTGTTTTAGTCGACGACAGGCGAAGCTGCCGTCGCACCCTGGTCGCCTCAAAAAATTAATTAATTACTTATTAAATGAAGGGAAAACTGAAAAATGTAAAAGGAATAAAAAAAAAGGAAAAGAAAGAAGGCTCGGTGGATGAAAAATTAGATTCAGATTCAGAAGGAGGGCTATAAACATAAATAAATCTGGGGATCGAAAGCACTCCGTCCCCCGATTTGTTCCCCTCTCCTTCCTGACCACTGCTATAACTGCGCTTTTTTCTCTGCGAGGGAAGGGAAAAGGGAGGTTGGGAATCAACTTCGTTTCTCCACCGTCCATCTACAGAATCCGAAGACGTCAATTTCAAGCCCTGTTCAACCAATCGTCAATCCAGATCTCGCTTCTTTCTTACATCCTGGTAAGCAAAAATCTTTCCTTTCTTCTATTCATTCCGGATCTTTGCTTGATCTTGTTTCCTAGATCTCGCAAAGTTCGCTTCTTTGTCTGGTTTTGATGTTTCAAGCTTGGATCTTTTGCCAATTTTCCATCGCGAGTATCGAACTGTGATCTGAACCCTTCCGTTCTTGGGTTCTGATTTTGGATGTGGAGCAGGTTGGTAGAGTGGTATAGAAAAATGGGTCTTTCATTCGCGAAGCTGTTCAGCAGTCTCTTCTCCAAGAAGGAGATGCGAATCCTGATGGTGGGTCTCGATGCCGCTGGTAAAACCACCATTCTTTACAAGCTCAAGCTGGGGGAGATCGTCACCACTATCCCCACAATTGGTATTCTCTCCTCTCTTTTCTGGTTGCTAGCCTGATTTTCTGTTAGATGTGGCAAGATCATCGAATAGGTTGCTAGATCTGTGCGCAATCTCTACCTGTTACTTGCTGAATATTGAGATCATTCAATGATTATACCGCTCCATGGTTCAGGATTCAATGTTGAAACCGTGGAGTACAAGAACATCAGCTTCACAGTCTGGGATGTCGGGGGTCAGGACAAGGTATTACTCCTCTTTCCAAGATCTGTCGCTTACTGGAGATAGGCTGTTCTAACTTTGTGATTTGCCTTATGATGAGTGCATCTTGCTAAAATAATTTTTGGCATACAGATCAGTATTAGATGTATGCTTGTGCTTGTGTTTGTGATGCATGATAACCGTTATATAAGGAGAATCAAAATGACCGTGTATTACTATTATTCACAAGGTGCTTAGCCACATATTGAGAGTAGGGTAGTGATTATGCATGCTGGATGAAAGGAGTGTGCTTTTGCCTTGTGAGCAACTGAGCATGCCTTTTGCTGAGTTCTTCTTGGGTTTTCATGCAAGTGTCATAGGATATGCCTTGTCTGAGTGCCTAATATCTTCATTTGTTCTTTTTATTCTTAAGATCCGACCCTTGTGGAGGCACTACTTCCAAAACACACAAGGGCTGATATTTGTGGTGGACAGCAATGATCGTGACCGTGTTGTTGAGGCTAGAGATGAGCTGCACAGGATGCTGAATGAGGTAATCAGAGCATTTCAAGAGGTCCTTTATTCAGTCATGAGTTAGTTTATGTGGGAATAGTGTTAAACTTTATCAATGATCTCATATTTGATAGGACGAACTAAGGGATGCCGTGCTGTTGGTGTTTGCAAACAAGCAAGATCTTCCTAATGCAATGAATGCTGCTGAGATAACCGACAAGCTTGGCCTTCACTCTCTGAGACAACGCCACTGGTAAGATTGTATCATTACTCATCATCATCTAATGAATGTCTAATTTGGGGTAGAAATTATTAGGTGTCTGGTTTTAGAGGATGCCAATGCTTGCTATTCTGCAGCCGTTAAATACAAGTCCGAGTTTTCCTAATTAGTGGTAGGCTTTCAGTTTTTTGGAGAGACAAAGTTCATTGACTGGACAGAATTGGCTACACGAAGTAATTACTTCAGTTCTCTAGGGTCTGGCTTTGTGGTAGAGCACTAGAATCTCCACCATGTGATTCCTTGTGCTGCTACTGCAGTGCTTCTACCAATTTTAGTGTTTGACCCACTCGTATATAAGCAGAGGCTGATACAGAAACACTGGAAGTAACCTTTTATTGTCTGTTGGCAGGTACATCCAGAGCACTTGTGCCACATCTGGGGAGGGACTCTATGAAGGACTGGATTGGCTCTCCAACAACATTGCTAGCAAGGTATGCTGAACATTGTCAATGTCTATTGGTTACTCTGCCTCTTCTCCTTCTTCATCCTCCATGCTAAACTGATACGTGGTCTCGGTGATTTTGTTTTCCAGGCTTGAGTGTCTTTTTGTCAGGATCCGACGAAAGAGATTTAGCAGTGGGTTCCGTTGTCGAAAGTTTTCTTTATTGTGCATGTACTCTACTCTTAGAATTCCAGAAAGTTTGTATGTACACTACTGTCAATTTTTTCATGTTATTTCTGTTTCCTTTTCCCCGTTTTTATGCTTTGAAGGAGTGTTGTGGAATAAACCATGGTGCAATTTTAGTTGAATTCTTGATTTTGTTACCTCTTTTATCATTAGTGTTTTCATGTTGGTGCTTCATTGTTCCACCTGGTTGGATTTGGTCCGGGAGTTGCATCTTGCATGCATGTTTTGTGGTTTCAGTGTTCGCATCTGTTTGACAAAACATGTACATGGTTTGTTTATAACGTACTGCCATTCGAATGGCGGCCAAAGAGACTGGTAAGGTGCACACATACATTGAAGCCTGTATTTTATAGTATTCATACAGGGAAAGTCTCGTCGGACCCTAATATTGATACGGTTGCATGAGTAGTTCAGTACAGAGCAGAAGCAGAGGATGTTGGCTGAGTGAATCAAATACTTGCTGATTGGGGAGTTGACTATCAGTTTGATTAACTTAGATTTGTGAGAGAAGAATGCTTGTAATCGTGATACAATGCCATGAATTGAACAGAAAACCAGAAGTAACGCAGAGAAGAAACTCCTAAATGGTCAGGGGCTATAATAAACCACCGTTGCAGCTAAACAATTAGATATCAACTATCAAGTGAAACTGACACCATGGATTAACTGAAGATCCATCCATTCTCTCAAAAAATAAAATAAAAACCCATGAACTAGTTCACAATTGAGAACCCGACAATAATTGACAATTACAAGGAGCCGATGAAGGAAGAAAACCCGGGTCCTCCAGCAGGCCTCAAAAGCATAAAACCACCACCAATGCTCAGTGTGAACCCAATCAACAATGTCAACATCGAACAGCCGCTCCTGACTCCTCCGGCAGTGAAGCTACCAGCACCTGCCACCAGAAAGAAAGAAAAAAGTGACCGGATCATCATTTTATTAGGTCGACGTCATAGCATCTAATTCGTATTAATAATCAACCAATCGTGGGAGATACCCATAAATATCGTGGATGTGTATCAAAACTAACGAAATGACCCTTGTTAGCTACTAGGTAATCAGCAGCAAAAATTAGCATCTCTATACTCAAAACAACCGACCAACTAGTGATAGTGGCAGAGCATCGAAATCTCACCGCATTGTCTTGTTCCGTTGCTAGAGCCAGAGCAGAGGCAGAGCATCCCTTCCGTCTCCGTATCAAACCCACAAGTTCCCCCCGACGCCGAACACCGATCACACCCTCTGTCCGGCAATCCATACGACAACTTAATCCCGTAAACCCAATCCAACGGCGACACTCCCCTCATCCCATCGGCATCCACCACCGTCGTGTAATGCGAACAATCCAAAATGTTCATGCTCATGTACCTCACCGTGTCATACCCGGTAAAACAGCACGGCGGGGTCGAATTGGTCAGCAGGCGAAACACCCGGAACGCGTTGCACGACGCGTAGAGCTCGTCGCACGAGTGCGACGACACGTTGAAGCAGAGGGACCTGTAGTGGTTGAGCACCGGGGAGTCGACGGAGCAGTTGAGGAGGGCGAATACGGTGTCGGAGGAAGGCGGGATGACGGCGGTCTGGATGTCGGTCATGAGGAAGTCGTGGTGCGGCTGGAGGATGGAGCAGGTGGACATTGACGGGTCGTAGATGGTTAGGGTGGATTTGAGGTAGTCGATGTGCTGGACCTTGTAGGAGCCGGAAGGTGTGAGGAAGAAGAGGTCAGGGGATGTGCAGTTGAGGGTGTGGCGGAGCTGGATCGCGCCGCAGCCGTCGTCGATGCCGAATGGGTAGTTGATTGGGATCGTGCCGCAGAAAGAGCGGCATTGGGTTGTTGTGGTTGTTGTGAGTAGGGATGTGGCGAGGGATGGGAAGAGGAGGAGGTAGAGGAACATTTGGTTTAGTATGACTGAAGAGCCCATCTATCTATTTCCCCCCTGTTTTACTCTGTTTTGGCTTTCTGTTGCTCTGCTTATGTGGAGAGTGAAGAGCAAAGGGTTAGGAAGTAGGAGAAGTGAACCAAGTTGGGATGATAATGGATTGGTGGGAAAGGTGAGACTGGGGAGTAAGTTTGGGGTGTGTTGGCTCCCGAGATTTACTCGGGTAAAGGGACCTTTTTTTGACTTGTGAAGTGGGCAGAGCCAGAGGGCCCGCCATTGTTGCAGATTTGAAATTTGGAGGTGGAAAGCTTTCTAATTTCTATGGCCTTTTTCAGGGAATCGGGGACACGAGAGTCCCACTCTCAAGTATGGGCTACGCCGCTACGATGATCGATGCCTGCGCCAGGCTCGTTTGAGCAGAGTACTCGATAGCGTTGGTTAATTATGCAACCACTTGTAGTAGTGACGATTGACGAGTTTTGACTTAATTTGCTCTGGGTTGGTTAATGAACGAGCCGAATTCGATTTTGATTTGTATAACTCGACTCATTAATAATGAGTTCAGTCCAACTCAACTAATCAATTAGTTGAGCTGCTCGACCTAAAATTATATATCATTTAGTTCATGTTATTTGATATAGATTTTGATTTGCACAACTCGACTCATTAATAATGAGTTCAGTCCAACTCAACTAATCAATTAGTTGAGCTGCTCGACCTAAAGTTATGTATCATTTAGTTCATGTTATTTGATAGCAAATGTGAGTTCGTACCTCGAAATGAGCTAAGCTCACGAGTCCAACGGACCGATGAGCCTTGCAAGCCGAACAAGACTAAGCCGCTTGGCTCACTCGAGGCCTTAAGTACGGTACAACATCCACAACATGCCACGGACCGAATCGGCATATTTTAATGTGTTCTTCGTCATTAATATGTTTGCTTGCGCTAATTGTGGCCGTTCGGGAGAATTGATGACTCCACTTGCTAGTACTAGTAAGTCTGGAAATTCTGAATTGGCTAGTCCTCTTCCCCATTACTTAGAAAAAGTGAGCCACCAATTCAGGTACAATAGACTATCATTATCATCTAGACAATTAGACATTCGATCCGTAATCTCATAACCATCAATCAATCTCATAACCATCAATCGAATCACTTTTTCGAGAAATGCAAGACATCTAAGTCATACAAGTAAAAGAGATTTATTCATTGCAAGTCTCCCAACATACATTAGTGAAAAGACGCATAATATTTGATTAGTGTTATTACAAGCGGGTAGCTAAGTACACATAACATAGCGATCTGGCAATAGTACTACTAATCAGTCGACGTGGGTGAAGCGGAGGTAATCCTTCCCAGACGGCAGGTCCGGCGCCTCATAACCTTGAGGGAACATCTTCTTGGCTTCTTCATTCGACACGCTGGGGGATATCACCACCGGATCCCCCGGCTTCCAGTTCGCCGGAGTCGCCACCTTGTGCTTTGCCGCCCTCTGCAGCGACTCCACCACCCTCATCACCTCGTCCATGTTCCGGCCCGTGCTGGCGGGATACAGGAAGCTCAGCTTTATCTTCAGATCGGGCCCGACGATATGGAGGGCGCGGGAAGGGACCGTGTTCCCCGAGGCATCTTTCTCGTCGGGTTCCACCATGTTCAGCTGCTTTATCACCTCTCTGTTCGGGTCCGAGATGATTGGGTATGTCACCTTGCTCCTTGGCTGCAGCCACCAAAATCATAGTACTAAGAAAAGAAATAGATAACACATATTGCAATTAGTTCGAAATTCGATTGATCGATAGGGGATATTGATTGCTCACGGTGAAGGCTTCGACGTCCTTGATCCACTCGACGTGGGACACCACGTCGTCACAGGATAACCCCAAGAGCTTCACCCCTCGCTTCTCGAACTCCGGCGCGTAAGCCGCCATCTTCCCCAGCTCCGTTGTGCATACCGGAGTGAAATCACCTACACAAATAGCAACAAATTAACCTCCAAGTCAAAAATCACCACCAAATCGGCAAATTCACCTCCGTTGTGTATGCATATATCTCTTAGTTTACCTGGGTGAGAGAAGAGGATGGTCCAGGAATTGGAGAGGAAGTCATGGAGTTTGATGACGCCATGGGTGCTTTCCACCTGAAGGTTTGGGATTGTATCTCCGATTGTTAGGCCCGGCATGATTCGTCGATGTAACTGGTTCTAGCTCTGCCTCGTTCTATAGCTTGTTCAAGTACAGAGTAACGATACACAGAAGTTGGGTCAAATTAGGATGGATTGTTGGGAACTTGGCAAGGCAAAGGCAGTGAATTCAGTGACCATATAAAAGGGAGAAAAAAAGGAACGGAGACGGACTAGTAGGATCCTTGCATGGAGAGAACGTGGCCTGCTTCTTTGTCTACGTGCCAACTCCTGAAATGCCCCATCCTTCGCCAGGTGTCACGTTTGACCACGCTCATTGACTACCTCCACCGTGGCCCACATAGGAGTCGTGCTGTGTGGGCCTTTGAGTCTCTCTGGCCCAACTGAGCCCAATGTGCGCGGAGATGGATTTGAAAATTGAAATACAATTTGGGGGTATTTCGTTGTTTTTGAAAAGTTAAAGCATCATTGTGCAAAAACTGGAAAGTGTGTTCGAAAAATTGAAAACAAAATGGGCGGGCGCCTAATCCGAAAAATATTCAACTTTCTGTGCCTTCCTGCGTTCTCCAGCTTCCACCGCCACCACTGGTGAGCAGTTTACCTGTCCATCTCGTTCCACCATCCACTTCAGAAATTCTTCGATGTTGCAGTCTCTGGTTCCTGTTCCTCCAACTAGAATCCATCACATCGCCACATAGCAGTGCAGCAATGAGCTCAAGCGAAGTCCAATTAGCAATTGCATTTTCCTTCTGCAGCTTTTCTTCTCAGTAGAGTCTTGAAGAGAGCATCAAGCATTTTTTTCACAAGGACTGTTCCACGTACAGCTCTCCGATGACCTCAGAAGCTGCTCCTCGTCACTCCACGAGCAATCCTGGAGATGAAGCCAAGGAGAACGAATTCGAGAGCTCGTTCGTTTCTGCTCAATTTCCGCCTCCAAGGACTCCGCTCCACACAATCGCAGATCCAGCTCAGTACCACCACGAACCGGCACGAATTGGATCGCCTCGATCCGTTAGGTTTCTCGATAAGAACTTCGATAGGTCGGTCTCGGTGAATGCCACTCCCAGAGGCTTCAATCGTTCTGCTAAAGCGCATTCCGAGCCGAGCTCTGCACACAGCACTCCGGCCAGGACTGGACCTCGAGTTTCCGTTGGATCGTACTCAGTAGCAGCGCCTAGAAACAGTCTGGTTGCTAGGGGGAAGGAACTTGCGTCTTGCAGTTCTTCTAGGGTTTCGAGAGGCATTTCCGTACCCAATTGTGATGTCTCTGAAGATATTCCGCACTTTGAGCTCCGTGGAGATCCCTCCTTTTGGGCAGAGCACAATGTGCAGGTGAATTTTCCCCCTGTTAGGCTGTCTATTTCACTGCATTATGGAGCGTGGAATTATTGTTGTTGTCTTAGTTTCTGATGTACAAGTTGTTGGTGATTTAGGTTTTGATTCGAATTCGACCATTGAATGCGACAGAGAAGGTTTCACAAGGATACAACCGGTGTCTCAGGCAAGAGAGCGCCAACTCACTTGTGTGGCTCGGAAATCCTGAAACCAGATTCACATTTGATCACATAGCGTGCGAGACCATATCTCAGGTTCCTCATTCCCCTCTCAAAAGGAATATCTTAGCTAATATAACAGCATAGAGCACTTCAATTTTGTTTCGTCTTATTGAATTCTTCGTGTTCAATTTTAGTTCTTTGATATTATCAGCCTTGGTCCAAGCAGAACCTAACTAGGGCTCAACCTCTACAGTGTCCTTTTCTAATTAGTTGCCAAAGCCTGGTAACAGATTCTAATCGAGTACTTTCAGTTCTCATTCATGTAATGTTGTGGGTTGTATCAGGAGGAACTCTTCAGGGTTGCTGGATTACCCATGGTGGACAACTGCATGTCTGGATACAATAGTTGCATATTTGCTTATGGCCAGGTAAGGAAGGGCGTATCTGTTGTCCAGTCAGGCAAGTTATGATTTTAGCATTCTTATATCTTTCGATGCTTTCATACAGACAGGCAGTGGAAAGACTCATACCATGATGGGTGAGATAAATCATGGAGAGGGCCAGCTTGGTGAACATTGTGGGATGACCAGTCGTATCTTTGAGTATTTATTTTCAAGGATTAGAATGGTGAGGGACCGTTTCTTTTAGAGCACAATATTTCAAGGATTTTAAATCCTCTTCGCATAGATTTGATATTCTTTTTGGAGTGGAGGAATAAGCTTATCTTAGTGTTCTTCTGTATTTTCAGGAAGAAGAGAGTAAGAGAGACGAAAAACTGAAGTTCCATTGTAAATGCTCATTTCTGGAGATATACAACGAGCAGATAACTGATCTGCTTGAACCTTCTTCAACAAATCTGCAAGTATGCACTCACTGTTCCCACACTGAGCTTCTAAATATTGATGTACTTAGTTTCCACCATTCCTGCTGAGCCAAGCATGTTTATATCGTAGCTAAGAGAAGACTTGAGTAAAGGTGTATATGTCGAGAATTTGTCTGAGCACAATGTTCGGACTGTTAATGATGTAGTCAAACTTCTGTTACAGGTAATTAGAACTCATTTCAGTAGTTAATAAACTGAATTTTGAATGAGTAGACCATTTGATTAATTTCCAAAACTACAGGGTGTTGCAAACCGGAAGATTGCAGCAACCCACATGAACAGTGAAAGCAGTCGTTCTCATAGTGTGTTCACCTGCATAATTGAAAGCTCTAGGGAGAAGGACTCCTTGACCCACTTCAGGTTTGCAAGGTTGAATCTAGTAGACTTGGCTGGTTCTGAAAGGTACATGCCTCGCTTCACAGGAATATTTATCTCTTTTTTTTAATGCCCTCATCTCTGGGCTAAAATACTTGTTTTTTCAGGCAGAAGAGCTCGGGTGCAGACGGAGATCGTCTGAGAGAAGCAGCAAATATAAACAAATCTCTTTCAACTCTAGGGTAATAATTAACTACCATTTTCTTACAGTCAAGTTTTTCCCTAAAGGATTGCTTAAGCTTTTTTCTTTGTTTTGTACACTTAACAGAATTGTTAGAGCTCAATCAATATATTCATTGAACACATTGTACCCGAACTTTAACTTATCTGTACTGGAACCATCATTACATCTTAATGACCATTAAGTTAAGTTTTGCATCGCTACAGGGTTATTGAAGTTCCAGTTCAGCCTTTGATTTTACAACAGATATCATTTGGTCTATGTATGCTCTGGTTTCAATTGATAAGCAAATGCTTCTAATCTGTTTCCTCAACTACCGTTCCAAGGATTAATCTACATCATTTTGTTCATATGAATCCTATATTCTTAAGTTTTGTCTCCACTTGTAATGCAATATAATAATTGTCTCTTTGTACTTATTTACGGGTAATGATTCATGCCTTTTGCCTTTAGCTTGGTGATCATGTCTCTGGTTGATTTAGCACACGGCAAGAATAGGCATGTCCCATACAGAGATTCTCGGCTAACATTTTTACTTCAGGTTAAAGAGTTAACATTGGACTTCATGAGTTACTCTATAATGTCTTGGTACTTCTTGAAAGGTCTTATGCATTTAGTTTATTTGCTGCAGGACTCTTTAGGTGGAAACTCAAAAACGATGATTGTTGCAAATGTCAGCCCCTCTATATGGTCTGTTTCATTTTAAATGAAACTATGAATAGTTTTAGAATTTTGTTTCCATCTACATAAATTTGCTTTGCTTGGTCTTGCAGTTCAGCACATGAAACAATCAGCACTCTCAAGTTTGCTCAGCGTGCTAAACTCATCCAAAACAATGTACCTTTTTTATTAATACTTATTTTAACATGATATAGCATTGAGTCTCTGCTTTGGTATAACCTCCCATTTGGATTCATCCTGAAGGCTAAGGTGAATGAAGATGCTAAAGGTGATGTTGGTGCTCTCCAGCGTCAAATCCAACAGCTAAAAGTATGCTTGAGTCAGCTCTCTGAAAATTTTGATTGGTATCCTATTGGATAGGTGTACTAATACATGCTCTATGCAGGAACAACTATTAATTGTAATGAAAGAGCAGAGACCTCCAAGACCTATTGCAAACTATGAAGAGTCCCAGTTGTCTGACTGCTGCAGAATGGATGATTCTTTTGATGAAAAAGAATTGATAAATGACAGCAATATGCTGAATTCTGAAAGCAAGAAGGTAGCTCTTGCAATTACTAATTGAGATTTGTCTTTGTCGAGACATTATACAATAGTAACAGGTTAAGAGTTCATGCAAAATCGATTGTCCAAATGTCAGCTACGGTGCATGAAAACTATCATGGTTGGCGCACTTAGGAGAGAAAGGACAGCAGAAACTGCTCTCAAACAATTACAAGCTATGATCGAGCAAGCGAACCAGTTGGTAAGTCTCACCTTTCTATAAACAACAATCCTTAGCCACATAAGAATAGGTTTGATGTTCATAAAATACTCAAACAAATGAAATACAATGAATTTTTCTTTTATAACTTCCAGGCTCATGAGAAGGAAGAGGATGTGCAATGTACTAGAATGATGGTAAAAATGCGAGATGAGAAAATTAGGCGTCTTGAGTTGCTGGTAGATGATTCAGTGCCTGCGGAGCATTATCTTAAGGAGGATAATAAAGCATTAATGGAAGAGATTCAGGTACTTCATGCAAGAATTGACAAAAATCCTGAAGTGACCCGCCTTACTTTGGAGAATATGAGACTTCACGAGCAACTTCAATTGTAAGGGCTATTTACTAGTGCTTTTTATTGATTTCATCTTATATTCGTTCATTGATACCTGTGACAAAAGTAAGGATGAACTGGATAAGGAAAGTTCTAATAAGATTGCTTTCTATTTTAAAACCCAAAAATTGATTTCTTTCGTCTACCACGTTTGGAATGTGTGAATATGGTGTCAGGTCTCAGAAGTTCTACGAGGAAGGAGAACGAGAGGCATTATTGACAGAGATATCATTATTACGTGATCAGGTTGGTGGATATATTTTTCTTTTTGCTCTCTACCAGAGTTAATGTGTAAACAAATGGTTATCTTAAGATTTCTCTTTGTT